ATTCAACAGAAAATGAAAATACAAAATACATAAATTTCAGAAAGTGTACCAAGGCTTAAGACAGGGATAGTATATACCATATTAGATGATACGCTACATAAGACTGAAATTTACAATAAGATATGGGGCAATAATATTAGTATAGTTGTCAGTTTTAGTTGAAACTAACTGGAAAGACCAGAGCTTTGAAAAGAAATAATTATATATAATCTTTGAATTTCCTTTTTGTAGTAACAATTCCGCATTTAAAACTTAATAACAAGATCAGCCGAGGATGCTAAGGTTGGCACCCACACCAGTCAATACCATTTACTACTAGCAGGGAGTCGAGAATCTTAGGACTTTGAAATTGTGATATCAGTTTGGAGAGTTGATTGCAACCGAACGTCTTCAAACAGAAAGAAGCCTAACATTTACGAAACCTAAAATCTTTGAAATCATTCGGAACGAAAAAAGAGAATTACAGCATGAAGGACTAAAAAGGATGGATAACAAAAAAAGCATTAGCGGCTTTTCTTAAAACATTCCTGGGGGGTGATAGTCCTCAATTTGCAGAGTATTGAAAAGACAGGTCGCTGTTAACTTTGTACTTCTTTATGATCTATTTTGAGGCTGATCTTGATGCAAAATTGCTAACTGGAGGTTGCTCCTTTCTCCATTACCCCAAATAACCTAATAATCGCCCCACTGACTTTATGAAGAACCGACAAAATTTGTCGAGCTTAATTATATACTAAACACTTTTTGCACCAATTCTTGCTTGTTGGACTTTACAGCTTAATCATTGTTTTTTGCATGAACTTTTAGAGTTTGGTTTCAAGGGTGCCGCATTTAAGAAATATAACTGGTCTTACCTCAAGCAGCTTATCCCGTAAAATCAGCTGCTCTCGTGCTTTCTCTAGTTCTTCTATATGGTTCTTGTTTTCTCTTGATAAACGATTAATATCCTACGAAAAATAATAAATTATAAACAATAAAGCAGAGAGGAACATGCAATGCAAAAATTAAAAACGAACGTCTCCTTACAATAGAATGGTAAAACAATTTTTAGTGGGAGCCTGAACCAAACTTTGACTTCAGAATACGACGCTTTGGTGTAAGGATGTCTTTTGACCGGCTTGTGCACTAGGGCATGCTTGATTATATTCTACAATCGACATTACTCATTCAGAATATCACTGAGGTTTGACCAATGAAATGGGATACACTCCTGTCTCTCTGAAAACAGCTAAGGTTTCCTTCTAATGGGTGACTAATAATGGATCAATTGAGCGTCGAAAATCTACATGAAATTTGACAAATATTTCCTCATAACGTAAAAATAAGCGAAATGCATGTTCGAATTTTCCTTCTTACTGTCTCTTTTATCGTATACAGGGTTTCTGCTCACAAAAATATGAAGCATTGGGGTAGTACTTTGGGGCTAATTATGAATTAAATCACAGAAGGTATTCACAGAAGGAAATCGCTTCAGATCTGGGAGGGGGGGCACAGTTTTGCCTCAAAGCCATCGTATTGATTTCTGTATTTGGCAACTCTTTTTACTTATAGGCCTTAAACAGTAAGAGAAACATCAATGACATACAAAGCAAAATAAAGTTTTTACCCTTGTTTTGTCTAAAATTTCTTGTTTTAAATTTTCGATCACTTCCTCTGCCTCTTCAAGCCTGGATATAACAAGGCAAAAACCATAAATCCTTTAAAAAGATTACACACAAAAACAAAATACAAATAAATACTGCAAAGACGAATGATCTTCATGAAAGTGAATTTTATGTATGGAACATAACGCAAACAAAGCAGAAGGAACGGACAACTCTAGAACACGAGAAAGCTATTTTGCTTCAGGTGAAATGATGTTACAATGTTTGAAACCAGAAAAATTTATACACCTTGCTAAGAATACGACTGTAAGGGGGCAAAGACAAAATGAGCATATCTTGTCCAAAATATGTCTTAGACGCAATCGCAGATTTACTTTATTTGGCACGACCTGTTTTAAATTTCATTCCAATAACAATTTCCTTTAACATGTTTCATCACTTACTTTGCTACACATTTCTACTTGAAATTCCCAGTATCAAAAAACATCTATAAATCCTGCTAAAATCCTCTTTACATAACGATCTTATATCACAATAACTTCAAATTTACTTATCGTCTAAAGACTGAAAAATCACTAAACTGATGAAAAGGGTAAGAATAAGACTTACCTGTCCTTGAGACAGTCCACTTGGTATGCAAGAGCTTGCTTCTCGTTGTCAAACTGAGCATTTGATACCATTGCCTTCTTAAACTTTTCACTCACTTCTCGAAGGTTATCCTTCAAAACGATAAAAAAATTCTTAATATATAGAACTTTTTGTGTTTGACACTACTCATTTCTTTCAGGTTTTTACGCAGTAACGAGCACAAGATGAAAGTATAACTAAAAATTTGGTTCAGATGGAAATAGCAGACACATTCAACAAAACATCAATGAGTTGATGTTTCATAAGCTCATAGCATGCCCCCTAACGAATAAACCGGAGCAAAATTCATCTAAAAAACCAAAGCATAAACGAAAGTCAAATTCTGCGACTATTTTACTGGATCAAAGCCTAAGTTTCATAGCTTCAAACAAAGTCCGAAACCAAGTTTCAAACTTTCTTCTAGAGATCTGTAAATAAGAGGACAGCCCTACCTGTAAATTGCGAAGTTGTGTGTCTTGTGAGACTGGTCCGTTCATTTCGTTGTCGTTTGACGGTGGGGGTCTGGACTGTAACTAAAAGAAGAATACAGGCTTAATCTACCGCGGGAAAAAAACTTAAAAAAGCTCAAAAGCGAAAGTAGTCAGTAAAGACAAAATCAACACAAGAGCGGACAACCAGCTGCTTTATACAAATGGCCACTAGGGAATGCGAAAACGATGCTTTCACTTTGAATAAAAAGTAGGGTGAAAACAAAGCATAAGGCATTCGAAATGTTTTTAGTATGGGTATTAAGGTGGATTGAAAAAATGCAAAAAGTAACGAATGGTGCGAGTATAGCTGTCAGTTCGCCTACCTTTTCCGTGACTCGTGCAGCCTACAAAAATAAGTGGTAGAGCTTAGCATCTTGGAGATGACGTCAAATAAGAAGTAAATTGAGAATATTAACCAAAATGATGGCAAATAAATCTGTTTGACGGTTTCAAGAAAATACCAATAAACTATCATGATGAAATCCTTGCACACCACTTTGACCATGAACAGACCATGTAGGCGAAACAAGGAAGCAGCACTGCATGCGATATACATTATTCTTTGCGTTTATTTTTTATATTATATACATGAAAGCTTCAAGGCCAAGAGTGGCTGGAATGCCTTTTCAAAATCAGCAAAAACAGAGTGGCTGAAATTGTGGACTAACAGCACAGACATTCTCATTATATTCATAAACCTACTTATAGGCTAAAGGAAACCTCTGTATCAAGCACTCTTAGATCGGCCTGGCAGCAACATACAACAACATACTTAAAAATGATACGGGCGGCATAAAGAGGCTACGTAAAGATGCTACCTTAATCTGCTGACATTCAAGCGTTGTAGCCAATACGAACGATGACGCCTTTTGGTAACGAAAAATATTTTCACAGAGTAACTCTAAAAGGAAATCTAGATTGAACTGCAGGATTTCAACGCGAAATTTTGATATAAAATATTAAATAAAGTCTTACCCGTTGCTTGATGGGATCTTCTGTGATTAAACTTCGTTGGTATTCTCTGTCCATCTTTTCATCTGCCTGTACATCGTAACCATAAATATTACAGTTACAATCAATTAGCGTATCCATTTTACAAAATAAGTCAATAAGAATACCTTGCTTTATTGTGTGCACAACGTGCTGTCGCTGTGCAAAGAAATAGCTGGAAATACAAATGTTAAGAATTGTCTTTGTAACAGGCTAATGGCTTTGTTCTGAAGACGAAATTCTAAACTGTTCGCTTCTTATCAATAGCTTGTATCTGCCAATTCAACAGTAAACCAAAATTTCCATGCAGGTCAAACCACTTTAGAATCCATTTACTTCAACTGTGGGCCACAATCATGGTTGATAGCAAAGACGGCAGAAAACACAGGGTAAAACTGGATTGATATCAACGCGTGATCTACACCGATCATTTTGCAAAGGGCTATCTACTAAGTACTGGCCACCGCATAATTAAAAGCTTAAAACCCCAGCTGCTCCACAACAGTAAACAACGATAAACTCCTGCTAGTTAGTAAGGCTCACTGGCAACTGGATCTTTTCACGTGAAAATAACTGACGTAGGTAGCTTAATTTACGTAACTCAATAGCGAATGTAAAATCATAATTGACAATAGGCTTCGATTGACATTGGCCAGCAACAATAAGTTTGGTGGGAAAACCGGATTTACAGTAACTGAGTATGAAAATATATAGCTATAAAAATTGGTTTTAGATTTAAAAATTATAGCAGAATACAATGTTCTTAGAAGGATTTCTTAATACAAAAAAAATAATTTTTGACAGATGTAATTTAAGTTTGCGATTAAGATAATTTGCCCTACATGTAATCAAGATGTATTTAAACACCTTGAAATCAATCAAAGCACCTGCAGGGTTCGTTTCAAAGGTGAAAAAACCCAATTGATATAGAAAGCGCGCCGATGGGATTATCAAAAAGCAGTTGCATTCAATCATAAACCTGACGCTACTACTAAAGGAACGCTTTGCTATAACCAGATTGCATCACTTTTAGCCTTTTTGTAGAGGTGTGCATTTGAATACATCGCAAAATGTTGTCAAAAAGTTTTGCTGGTACGCAAAAGCACACTGTTTTAAAATTCTCCGCCATTAAGCGGATAAGGTAGTCTAGACTTATTTCTGAAGGTTAAGTCTTTAAAACAACTTTTTGCAATCACTTATTAAAGTGAGGCTATTTATGATGAAATTGAGGTTATTCAGCGTTTCTCAAAAACAGGTATATAAATTTGGATCCATTAATGCAGCCTACAATTTCTGCCTAAAGTCTTGCTACAAGAAACCAAACCAAATTTGCGAACATTTCCTATTGCAGCTCCCTCTCTCCTTCCGTACAATGTCATTTTATGCATTGTCAAAAGGTTTAGTGTGATCCAATGGATTCCTTTCAGGTTACTAGGATATATAACTCTACAACATACAATATATTGGGGGAGAGGGCTGTGGTGTCGGTCTTCTTTACAAGAAAAAACATTTAAGCAATTCAGCGTTCCAAGGACATTTGGCATGAATTTTATGTGCAAGACAGATTGTAACTGTTGTAACCCTTTGAAGACGTGACTAAAAGTGGCCTAGGCTGATAAAGATAACCTATAAATATCGATCATTAGATTTTGCATGTGGCATTTTTTTCATCTTTTGTGTAGTTTCCTGGGCCAAAAACACTGCCATTATTCCCTGGCCAATAAAAAAACATTGAATGTGGCTTGATTAGATCTGTATAAATGTCATATGAAGAAAGCTAAACAACTGTACTATATATAATCATAATAGCTGGTTTAGAAATACCTTGTTTTTATACCAGCATTGACTTTTAACAAAGTTGGGTTAAAAAACGATTTTTAAAATTTAATTAGCTTCAGATATTGAAATGGGTTCTTTGCTACCACAAACCCCACAGAAAATCACATCTCCCAATAAAAATAGTAAAGTCCTAAGGCTCCCTTAAACAGGCTACAAGATTCCCTTAATTTTTCCGTTTTTCATTTTCCTTCCTTGTCTTTTCCCGCAATCAATAAAGCCAAAATGCCCAAAATGTTCTCTATGTTTTGTCACTTTGCAAATAAATTATATAAATATAAAATTTCAGATTACCAGGCTGCCTTTCAACTATCCTTGGTTAAAACAAACGGGTTAAAATGTATCCGTCTTCAAAATGAGTCAACAGAAATGTCAGTTTGCTTTAAGCTCGTTCTAATCCATTTTTGATCCTTCCACTTACCTGGGTTAAAATGTACCCAATCTTTAATAATAATAATAAGAGGAATATTTATACAGGGTAAAATCTTGTCAATACTACGAGTATTCTTATCAATAAGGGCCCTGTTTGAAAAAAAAATGTAACTCATAAAAAATACATAATACAAAGTAAAAGCCTTAAAATGTCTTTTAATATTTATTCTTATAAAAAATCCTAAAAAATCGTAGTTATGAAAAAGAACGACTATAATCGTTTAAAAGTATTTTTAGATCTCTACACTTCAGGTAAATCATTATTATAAACAGAAACCAAAGCAAACAGAGCTGTGAGAGATATCAGTGTTTACAACTATAGTCCTAAATTTTTGTGCATAATGGTTTTGTTGTTGTAAGTGATCAAAAGTTATACGGTTTTGCATTCCCATTAGCCCACAGTTGGGTTAAAAGATGCTTTGGTTAAAACTGAATTATTTGGTGACCCGTCTATAAGCTTAACCGTTTTCAAGTGGATTAGTGGGAACTTGACGCAAAAACGGAAAACTTTTTACGTTTTTGTTTTAAGCTGGGTTAGTCTGCTCGGAAAGCCTGCCTAACTGAACTCTCAAACAGCAGCAGTTTAATTTTAAACAATAAGAAATTTTTTGTTAAAACTTTATGTTAAATACTTTGTTACTAAGAATGCTTGATGAACAAACCTCTTGCTGCATTCTTTCCAGCTCTTTCATTCTGATTATCCGCGCTTCAGCTCTTGCAGCCCTCTTGGCTGCAAGCCTTGCTTCTGCCTAAAATTTGCAAATTGAAATTAATAATTTCACTTCATATCCAATTTTGATCAATACTGATTTAATAATAAGGCAACTTGATGAATTTCTAACTTCAAAGGAAGTACAAACATTCTAGTGTTTGTTACACAAAGAATATACAGTGCTACAAACTGGAAATATTATTTCAGAAGTTTAAAAATTCATTTTGACCAGTCATTTTTATATTAACTGTATTGTCATGAAACCAGGGATTTGATCATGCTCTGAAAATGTATATACTGAAGGAGTTTACATGGAAAGCTATGTAATTTCATTTTCTGGTAGGAATTTCATTTTCAAGCAGAACTTGAAATGACCCATGAGGAAGTAGGTTTACAGGTCTTCTTCAGCAAACATTTCTGAAATGCCCAAGAATTTCACAAAACCAAATTAAAGTACATGTTTTATTGGCTATAAAAATAACAAACATCAATTTAAGAAGGTATGCAGCCTTGTGGAATATATTTTTGCAGTCTTTAGATTTCCCAGGTTTCTTTATTAGTCAGCTTTTTGACTCAAATTGCTGTCATTTGTTGCATGCTATTACAGATTGTGATGCATACAGTAATATTGTATGGCCCAGTCAGCTATTCCTTGCCTGTTTTTCGAAATACTTTGTCAATTAGAAACTTATGTTGTAACAGCAAGGAAACCTTATGCAAAATGTTTTCTCTTTTAAGTCATTGTTTTGACATCTACAGGCCTTTTTTTATGAAAGAGTGGCCAAAGCTGGCAGTGAACACAAGTTTGCAGCAACATGCCCTGTAAATGGCCCAAAGGTATTATTGAATACTCATTTTGAATACCTTGGACTTCAGCAACTTCATTTTTCAGTTAACAAATGCTTTTATCCAGATAGAGCAATTAAAAAGATGAAATGGCCATAAGCTTGCTACATTTCCATCATCACCTTAACATATGATGCCCATGGTTTAAACGATTTCCTTGCCATACTCTTAGAGAAAAGACATCTGCAACCTCCAGAAATATGGATTTCACTGCATTCAATCCATTTATATATATATACTCAGATATACCAAATCTATATAAATATGTCTTAAAATATGAACATTTTGCTCAAAGTATTCAAAATGAAAAATGAATACCATCGCAACATCAGACCCCGCCAAAGAAAAAAAAGTGATGGTAATCAAAATCTGCTTGAATACCTTGATATTGTATTGCGGCTCCAACATGGAATGGCAGACTTGTATTTCAATAAAGATTTGTAAGTCACCTATGATATCTTTGAATCAAAGCAAAAAGCAAATATTGCTTTCCTTAATAATAATAATGGAAACTTTTCATTTTGAATTCCTGTTAAAACTACAATTACAAATCTCACTATTACAAGGTAATTTGTAACTGGCTAGCCTGTGTTTACAAAATAAAAACTATTACATCGTAGAAAAAAAATGTTAAAAGGGGTGTAGCTCTGGATTAGTCCAAGTTTTGTTTCTACAGCAGAATATATAGTATGTGGTGCGAATGGAGATGCTTGTAAGTTTGGAGATGAGGTAGCGTTTCTGTTGATGATCAATGGACAAAGAGTCACACATGTCGATGAAAGAGCTGCAGGAGTCGCCAAAAATACCAAGTGAACTGATGGAAAGATTGACAAACAAGACTGACTTAAACTGGCGTTTTAAGTCAGATACGAGGGTGGCATATTTCCCTGACTTTCTGACAGCATTGCAGTTGAAATTTTTTCTGGTTAAAATAATAATAATAATAACAATAATAATAATATGAATATTTATACAGGATAAAAACAGTTCAGCGAATTATCACTGTTATCAACCTGTGTCCTGATAAAAATAATAAGTCAATCTCCAGTCTCCAGGCTTAGTCAATTTGATATATCATTTCTGACATGAACAGCCCCTCGTCTCTTCAATTTTTAAAAATTATTTTCAACAAAATGATAAATATACAGTTTACATATTTTTAGGGAATAAACCAAGTCTTTGTTGCCCCTGTTAGCCAATAAAACTTAATTGCAACTACAAAAGGGAGTCCCCACCAGAGGTTTTCTGTGTTTGGTGTTTCACTTTCAATTCAAAAGTAATGAAGTTAATGTTACAAAGCCCCTTGCTCAAAAAAGTTTACTTTTAAAACCAATGTATTGTTTTAAAGGTTTATAGCATGGCAAATAAACACAAACCCTTCTGATAACCTGATGCTTTTATATTATGCACCGTGTGAAAGCAGAAATTGATTAAAAAGAACACAATGCTGTTGTCTTTTTATTTGAAAGTGCTATTTGGTGAATACACTAAATAATAAGTATAATATCAGCCTATCCCTACCAAGAACTTCAAAATTACAAGATCAAAAATTATCCAGCTATTTCTGACACAGGTTACAATATTATCAGCAATTTCATCATAACTCATGTGGATATCAAAAACATATAAACAGAACTAGCTTCTACTTGTGGGTATTTTACTGCAAACATTTCAGGAATACCTTTACAGCCTACTCTTCATAAAACTGTATTATACTCAACTTTTGCTCTGATGAAGCCCTGTATGCCGGGGAGAAATATTAGCCTTTACTGATTTACGTGTATTGATTCTTTTTTATTCTCGGCGTGTTGCGGTGTTTCATATTTGCTACATTTTTATATTGTAAGCAAATATTCTAAGACCAGAACCACTGTATCTGTGGTAACAAACTGTAAAATTTGGCTTTCAATGAAACCACCCTATTTCTAATCAATTAAAATTAGTGCTTACTGGTCTGTCACTAAGTGCAACAACTGTTGCCTGATGGTCACATTTAAGGCTCTTCTCAACCTGCATGCATTGGAACTACATTTTCAAAACTAGCCTAACATTGTACTGCATGAAAATACAAAATACAGCCCAATTTTTTCTCATGTAAGAAAACAGCTACCACAAAGCATGCAAATTGCTCAAGAGCCTTAAAGCCAGAAACTGCAAGTAGCAACTAAGAATTATCATTGCATTGCAACAGATCTGATGCAAAACAGGTCTCAAATACAAACTGATTAAGCAGTTTGTTGCCATCTGTCAAAATCTACTATTACATTTATCACATAAATAGATAAAAACTCTTATGAATATTTTTTATGGCAAAAATTGGACATCAAACATATCAATCTACAATTAATGCAATGTTTTAGTCGATCAAAGGCATAAACAATGTTCAAGTATGAACTGACATTGTCTGAAAAAAACAGGTGAATTTCATAACATACTTATGGCACTTCTTCACTGACACTAGAGAAGACTTGGGCATGAATCAAGGTGTCACAAGCAAACCTTGGTGCACAGCAAGCAAGACTTGCTGTATGCTAAATAGAAAGTTGAGCCCTACATTTGGTACTAGCACTTTTTACCATATTGTTATTAGGAAATGTTTCTTTCATCCGAAAATGGCAGCATCATAAAGCTTTTGACAGGGTGGTGAAAACATTTCAATCCTGGAATTCGATTTATTTGACCAGCAGACCCATTGTTCATTTTTCCAACTTAAAATGGCAAATGAAATTTGTTGTGCAAGCAGCGTATATGGTATCCGAGAAAGACTACAGCAGAAGCAAAAAACGATGAGATCCGACCATCATGTGTGGTTTATTGACAAGTATTTTTGAGTATATTATCACAAAATTGAAACACGAGAAGCGGCTTCTACACCTCTACCCGTGTCGACCGCCGTTGATAGGCCTGTTCAAAAACGTTAAATTCCTCACCTCACTTGCAATAACATTTAGAGCCTGGTCTTCGGTGGTAGATTTTCCTGGAGTTCTCCTTCTACCTTGTGATGATGGGGACGCCATGTTTCTTTAACGACTTGAACCAAATTTCAGCAGGTAAACTCGGAAGTTGACCAACCCTGCTTATGATAACATACCATCAAGGGGCTAGGCCCGGTTCTGATGCAACCATAAATCGATTAGATATGACGAAAAACGATACTTATAATTCTTGGGAAATATCTCCAACGCATTCTGTCTTAAATAAAATACTTTTGCGAGATTTTAGCTCGCATTTAATTATTATTGCAGCAAATGAAGATCCAGGTTCTGCTGGCCTTTCACATTCATGCTCAAGCTGCTTGGCCAACAAGAGGTTACGGAGGAGGAAAGGGCGCTGCCTCGACCCATGCTTCTATCACATGTCTATGTCCGAATGATGTCACCACACCAGCAATGAAGTGTTTACTCAAAAATAATGTTAGATCTTTCACTTTTAATGATATTTTAAAATCTCAATTTTCTTCGAGCATGCCACGCAAAGATTTGCAACCAAACGGAAAATGAAAAATTCATGTAATTCATTATCATATTTTGACATAAAGATCTTTCCAGCCAAAAAGGAAAAGGCTATAATCGCTACATAAACAGATATCTATTCACTTATTAAATCTTTTTTGTCAATGTTAGTGCTCAGGCAGGGTACAATAGAGCCTAATTTGTTTCCCAAGTGGAAAACCCTTGCCATGTTTACACTACTCATACCTAGCTTGGTTTTTCGTTATTCAGGTTTACTGTAAGAAACAAAGAACAGGTTCGACTTCAAGCAAGGTAAACAAAAATCCAAAGTTGGTTAACCCCACTTTTTGCTCAAACTGCAAGTTTCCCATTTGTTGGTTGAATAAACAAGGCTCGACTTGAGTTCGTTTAAGTCTTGAGCCATTTTTTGGTTCATTTTTAAAGTGCTAATGATTCTCGTTAACCAAACTTGTACCAATACAAGTACCAACATGGTACTGGACCTTGCATTAGATGTATCAGTAGACGATTGATACAAAGGCATTAAATGTTTTCCATTATTGCTACAACAATATCTTTGTTGCAGTCTCGAAGCGTATAAGCAAAGAAAGTTTTTTCAACGTTAACTTTTCGTATCTAACCACATTATCTTGTGTTTTCTCTTTTTGAATTAAATAATTCCCAGTAATTACAATATTTCATGACTGTGCCTGCAAAATGAAAGTATCACCGATGAAGAGTTTCTCATTTCAATAAAAATCATCTAAACAGCTATCCAGCTGCTCATCTAAACACACTTGTTCTCATTCATTGAAAAATTATTTTTCCTTCAATTTTTTCTTTTTCTGCCTCTGCCTATTAAATGAATCATCTAAAATTTGATACGTTGGCAGTGTGGATATTTTCTGATTGACATGATTTATTTTTCCATCAATTCCATTATAATGTGGAGCTAGATACCAAATCGACGAACAATGTGCACCTGATATTTGCATCGTTATGATTATGTCTTGGAACGCAGGCAGTACACGAAAGAACACACATTCCCTAGAATCAGAACAGAAAATTCAGCTAAGCGTTTGTATCTCCATGACTAACAAATTAACCAATTATTCTAATTTATGCAATGCTTTTAATATGTGCATAAATCACAACATTACAACAATCAGGGGTGGCGCTAGAAACCAAATCTGTGCCGACAATCTTAGAAAAATTCAAGTGCCGACGACTATAAAGATGGTTGCCGACATTCTTCATGAACTTCCCTTTACAATTTCTTTAAATCTTAAAATGTTTTAAAAATGAATTAAAAAACGTTTTTATCCTTCAATCAAATCGTGTATACTTTCTGTAAACTAACAATTTCTTTAAAGCGTTTCAGATAACCAAAATTTGATATGCAAATGTTTTTGATGTGCTTAGCTTGTAGGCCTTTGTACAGTACATCGTTTACTGGCTAAGCAATTTTAAGCCATTTGATGCTTGGTTTCTGGAAAAGACGGGAAGGTCAAGCATCTCGGCCCGCTTTGACTGAGTATCATGGAAATATCTTGTTGACAGTGAACATGGCTAGGCCTTTAACAGTTACCAAAAGCCCTGGGGCAAGACATCAGAAGAGACTTCCCCGCGAGCGAAGCGAGGAGAAAAATTCTGCGAGCACGCCCTTTAGTTTAGCTTAAAATGCATTCCAGAATATTTCTTGGGGCCATTTGTTTGAAATGTTTCACTATCCTTGGGCATACTTTTTCTATGTTTGATTAATTCCATTCTTAAAAATTGAATTCATTACTCTATAAGACCCCATGGAGCCTTAAAGCCCTGGGGAAATTTGCACCCTTGCCCCTCTTTCTACGGTCCTGGTTATTTGATGCCTCTCAGATTGAGAACAATCCAGCCTCATAGCTCTAATAGTTTTAATGGTTTTACTGAAAGTAGAAAAGCCAGCCTGAACTTTAATTTAATGGTTCTTTCAAATAAGGTAAATTTCTCATTAGACAGTTTCAAAGTGCCGACAGTTCTTTTTCTTTTCTTATAATGAGCTGCCGACGGAGAGTCATTGGGAACTTTTAGGGGGGCAGCTGCCCCCATGACACCCCATAGCGCCATCCCTGACAACAATGCTATCTGAGAAACTCAGCAAAAACCGTAGTAGTTCAAGTTTCTAAAATTTTAGGTTTCAGCTATTTCTGGCTCTTATCTCTTAATTGAGAGAAGAGTCGATGGGGAAAGTAATTTTAATTATAGTATTGCCCTGTCTGTCTACCTATACAATATCATAAGCGAAAAATATAACAATGACTGACTCAATTTCTCTAAGCACTCAAAGTCACAGGTTCAAAAATTTTGATATCAAAAGAAATTTTTCTTCATATTTGAATCCTGATCGTGGCAGGCAGTTACTGAGCTCACACTAGGATGGCAATTAACAGTGAAATTTAGAGACTTTTTTGAAAATTTTCAAAAAAACGTATTTGGGTTTTCAGCGCCGTAAGCATTAGATTTTTTAGAAACAGGTACCACGAAGAGACAGCTGTACCAAAAACTGCATTGTGAAATACGTCTATTTTTGACTACGAATAAAATGCTTGGAGGTCATGCTTCCGAATATATATATATGTTTATAAGGTAGTGCGTGAAAAAGTTATCTTAGAATTATAATTTGACCTGGCACGAAGTCAAATCTGCATTATTAAAGGCTCAACAACACAATTGTTTTGAAAAAATATATCATTATATCGGAGCCTTTGCTGCACAGTCTTGGAAAAACTTCCCAATGTCAAGATGATAATGCTTTCAAAGAAACCTAATTGATTTTGAGTAGAAATAAGAGACGTTTAAGCCTCGGAGTATTTTCTCGAATTGATAACCTTTAATAAATGTAGATATGCTTGATTGGAATTATCTCTGATTTTCTCTTCACACAGCTGCATGGTTCTTCCAGAAACTAGATTATGCATAGTAAATTAATAGTAATTTCTTTAAATCAATAAACTTGCTATATTCCACTTCCATTGCTTTAGGATTCCAAGGTCAGTACTTGTTAGGGAGGTAAAATAACGAAAATTGCGAATGAGGCATCTCCCCCCTCCCTTATAGAGTAAGGGTGGTTCATTTCAACTACATACGTTCTCCTCTTTTTCTCTCCAAGCTCAGAGATACATGCTTTTGTAGGATCTTTCCTTTCCTTGTATACAACTAAAGCAACCATTCATTGGAATCATAGAAATGCCTAAAAGTTGACACTAGATTAGGCCTTACCAAAGAGCAAAAAGTACCCTTACGCAATTTTATAAGCAACCAATGTGCAAGCCAAAAATTTTAATTGCCTCTGTTTGCTAAGAAAATTGAAATATGACATTTGTTAAATCAAGCTGTTACAACATGTCATCAAAATGTTATGCAAATGTTTTACCTATATGCAAACGGCTGCCTAAAGATTTCGTTACTGCTTGTGGAAAGGAGGGTATATTGTCAAACATTTAGTCTTTAGTAGATCACAATTAAATTTTAGTTAAAATCTTTAACATATTACATAGTGCTAGAAAGTAACAAGCAAACAACCTTTATCACATTGATGTTTGGTAATTTTAAATACCTCCAATGCTGAAGCTTGATGTGCTGCGGCTTGCTTATAAAACGGACACATGTAATGTAGATTAAAAAAATCAAGGTACTAGAAGACCAATGTCCAGGAAACCCTCTAAAATCTGAAAATTCTTGACTTACTGAGACTTGCAAGAGCCTTATCCGTATTAAAAGTATCAGCAGCATTACTTTTCACATTGCATTTTGCAATCCACAAACTTAGCCCTTTTTGTGACTTGTTTCAAGCTGTGCTGTATGTAAGATCTTTTGTGCCATTTTTGTTGAAAACACCAAAAGTGCATTTTCATCGCCAACAGTAATTTTCACATCGTTGCTGTCTAAAGTTTGTTCATTGCTAGATGCATTTAGAATGCTACTGTCTTGCGTTTTCATCTCTGATTTTGACCCCTCCTCGCAATTTCTTTCCTTCTTGTTATTTGGTGTATTGTTAACATCTTTATGATTCTCTTGGTCCTGATCCTGTTGATATTATCATCAAATAAGGCATTATGTGAAATGAGAAAAATGAAGTTGGTATGGAATAGGGCTATTATACAATACAAGTAATTATGAATAAGCCAGGAAATGTTCTATCACCGTGCAAGACGAAAATTGAAGATCACTCTAACTCAAGTTTAATATTCAGATAAACTTTAAGTAATTTCGAAAATCTCATATCTTTTCTCCTTAATTCGTATCATTCAAAGTTGGTAAACATTCTTTATAGTATATACAACAAAATTCATCCCTTGAGAAATGCTAAAATATTTGCATGTATAACAATGTGTCTATTAGCAAAAGATAGGAAGAAAAACATAACGTAGAAATGCATGAAATTTAATTTAATTTATTGCATTGAATGCATTGAAGTCCAATTTAATTTAATGTTGAATGTTACTGTTAGATAAATAAAGTTGATTGGACAGTATGTGCAAAATTTAATGCGTTGTTTTAAAACCTTTTTTTTGCCACATCAATTGAATGGCATTCGATTATATGGCTTTAGGAAATCTAACAAAGGTATCAGCATTTGCCATCAAAAATACTTAAATTGATGATTTTTAACTTGGACCGAAACTCTTTGACAGCATATCGATGTTCGTGGTCAAATAACTGTTATGCTAAGAAACAAAAATGGAAATTTAGATTCTGACCGAAAATGTGTTTCTGACAAAGATTTGATCACCCATAAGCATGTACATTATTTTACGCTACAGAATCAAAGCATGTAAAATTAAGATTTTTAGGAACTGTGATGGCGACGAAAAAAAATTGGAATTATCTTTGAGATAATTCAAATTTTCCAATATAAACTAAAGCGATAATAGATACCTTATCCTGAAATATTTCTCAACTGCAACAGGACAGTTTAAAGTATAAATAAAATTTGAGTGGTAATATATTCTTTGGCAGCGGAATGGCCATTTTTACATGACAAAATGAGCGACCATTAGTTGACATTTGGTCGAGATTAAAACTGAAACAATTCGAGATGTGTTCGTGATACATCACCTGCTTGACAGCAAACGTGGTCTTTGAGAAGCAAGAACCCATTTGCAGCGCTTCTGGTTGATCCGATTTCTCCTGCCTGAATATCCTCCTTCGGAAAAAAAAAAATATCAATGTTTGTTTGTTCATACAAAACAAGAATGACAGTTCACGAGAAAACCACGTTTATTGGGTTGATGTGATCAAGGCACAGGTGTTATAGTCAAATACAATTTTAATGGTATCTAAGGAAATGTATTAGATGTTCTGCAGGTCACAGTCGGACGACGAAAACCTGCAGCACAAAGCTTAAAGAGCACACTGAAATCGTTCGTCGCAATCTTTTGTAGATATTCACGACTTGAAATATGGTAAAATTGGCCTTTAAATTAATTCACGTATTGAATCATTTCGAAGCTTTTTACAGCAAACGACAATTCTCGTACCACAACTAGCTAACGCTATCAGACCTGTTCAAAACCAGCACTGTCTGTCGACAAAAACACGCGTATTGGGCTAAAATGTCATCAACTTTTATCTACACATCTTTCCATAAATTCTAGCATTCAATGCATTTCATTTGGATGAATTTATAAAGGTGCATATTCGAGAAACAGATCGACAAACCTTTTACATTCTGTTCAATCTTCTTCAGCTGCCTATTGTAATAGCCTGCACTCAGAAACAACGAGCTTTGTTGACATTGGTTGAGTGAGATCTCGCTGCCCATACTAATTCTGCTTAGGATACCCACGTGAAAATAATGGCAAAATTCCTGTCAATTTGCTCGTACATAGCGTGATTGCCCAGTCAGTTGCGCAAAAGCATTATGCTAATACTTACCTAAAGCCCTAACAACAAATTAGACAAAGAAGGCAAATTTGTGCAAGCAGCATGCGACGGTCAAGAAACAAATCTGCGAGGAGCAGAGTGAAAAGGGGGTATTTTGGGCAATAGATTTTTGACTGATCTACATTGATTAAATTTCCTCAGACCAAATATTCTGCCATGTTTGGGACAAAAATTGCAAGGTTACAATGAGTTTTTCATATTTGTGTGAATTCATAAGGAGGAAGATAATGCTATCAGTTCATTTTTACACACAGAAATGCAGCTCATCGCATTCAATCACTTTACGATTCTCGTTTTGCAAGATTCTGTGATAGATTTCAAACCAATGTTAATCTCTATTTACGGTTAGACCATGGGTATGGAGCTAAAAAAATATCTGCACTTGTAACAGTGAAACGGCTGGCTATTAGAACACTTTGCATGTGCGCCTTGTCTTAACAATACGGATAGCTACTGTCAATACTAACACTCTTTTATGTGTCACTGTGCTAATTGTACGATAGGATTTACTTTCAATCGGGTAAAAGTTGTAGTCATGTAGGTATCAATGTTCACAACAACATAACACCATACAGAATTAGTCAAAACTTGTGAATAGTTACACTGGGTATCAGAGCCTCAGAGAGCCAAAGGAAGTAAGAGCAGGGGATTGAAGCGAGATCAGCAATTTAGCGAATTAACAGCAAGAAATCAGAAAAAAAGGTTGCTTAACCAAGGCATTGCTCAACCAAATACTACTTCATTATAAAGTAAGCAAATTTGTAAAAGTCCTAGATTAGGATAGAAGAAGTATGAGCAGGTCACACAGAGATTTCAAATGTAATACCCCAAAACTAACAGTGTTGTCAATAGGGCGAGGCTTATCTTCAAGAGAATTTACTGTCTTTAGAGGGCAAGCCTAAAGAAAAGTGGCTGAAAACAGACTCCATAAAAGCCATTTTAGGTGTCCCTGGTGAAGGATTTCAGCTTTTAAAACGATCAATGTGCTCTCAGCGGCGATTAGGCAATAACGCATTGATTTTTGAGGACGAAAGATTATTCTTATACTATTCAAAAATATTGACACCTAAATTTCATCGCAGATGCCAATCATCATTGGTGGACTAGAAGACACCTTTTGCCAAAAGCAATGCAGCAGTTTAGTAGGAATAAAGCCGTTATCATCTTCTCTGTCAACTCAGCAAAGAGACATTGGAATTAGGCCGGGAAAAATGATCCTTTACCTCTCATACAAGAAACATTACAGCGAGCTTTCCCATCACTCGTCTCGTCTTAAAGCCGATTCGATATTAGCAATGCACGAACAGCTCTACATGATAAAAAATCAGTTCTTTAAAGTAAGGATTGACTTTTAACAAGCAAACACCACCTCACAGCTGCCATCTGCCTTCATGTGATCAAAAAAAAATTATCTTTATTTTAAGCTTATTTGTGCTTTGTTGGTGCTAATGGAGTTTTTTCTAATTGCATAGCTAATAATAACAGCTTTCTTATGTTCTCAACCACTCATTGAGTGAGACAAACGCACCGAGAGAACGCCAGGCAGCATCATTATACCAATCATTGCTTTGCAGATGGATGTTTGCTAATTAAATTTTTCAATTGTTAGTTTAGAAGAAACATGAATATTTGGTACGTGCTACACCTTAAAGGAAAGAGTTAAAAATAACAGCTTCATGGCCTGTTTGCATCCTATTTTATTCCTTTGCGGCGAAAGTAGAATGTATCACCTAAACACTGTACTGGCATTGAAGACCATTGTAGGTGGGGCAGAGCTATACCCAGAGCGCATTTTTATAACTAAGAAAAACCTTGAGTAAGAAAAATTTAAATTATGTAAGAATCAAGCTTCTACCTAAAATTAACAGGGAAACAGGGAAAGTCAATATTTGTCTGTTTATAAACTGAAATCAAAGACCATGAAAACAGAAGTGCTGTGGAGTCATCAGCCCCAGCAGCGTGGTTTAAATCTTTTGTGGCTAGAAACTGTTGTAGTTTGGGGCCTCCAAAGTATTTTAATTGGACACCATACTGTTTGGAAAGGACCACCAAATGAAGAAAAGTTAAACATAAAGAATGCTTTTGCTCCGCTCAAATTTAGCCATGTTTCTAGAGAACGACCGAGGCTAAAAGTAAGTGCGAATCAGTCGAAAACTTTGAAGAGGCCATGGACTCTAGACTAAATGATTTATCTGATGGTGGATAACTCTACATTAAAAGGCAAGTAAAGTTAGCGAAAAATCCGACTGAACTGCAATATAGTTTCTCTTTATATTCAACAAAACACGAAATTGTACATTCTTCGAGAATAACTGTAACAAAACATGATAAAACAGAACAAAACAAAACATTTATATGCTTAATTATCTTAATTATTTTAAATGTAAACAGTGGACTTATATAACTAAGATATTCATCTAGAAGGCCGTAATGTAAGTGAATAACAGCGTATTTACAAAAATAAAAGGTTACAAGACGACAAAGCAAATTCAGACCACTGGAATAAAAATTGAAAATTATCGAAAAAGATTTTCCAAAAAAGCATAGGAAAAGATTAAATCGGAAAGATGATCAAAACTGCAATTGTTTCCTTATAAAATTACAATATAAAGATCAAAATTACAATGTTTCTCGGAAAATTCCTTTGTTTTTTAGAATACTTTATCTTTAGAAATGCTACTCTGAACTCTAAATATGTGAAAATAGAATGATCTGAATTCTGAAATGTAAACAAATATCAATATATATATATACACCAATTCAAATATTTCTAAACAGCAAGATACTCAAAAGCATTTTGTTGAGTATTTCTTCCTTAGAAAACAAATGTTACAAAAATATTAGAGCCATTAACGGAACAAAACTATTTATCAGCTGCTCTACTGAGTCCAATAGGATATACCAAAACACAGCTTGTTTTCTCAGCACGGGAAAAACAGCTCAGTCTTTGCGATGTCCGACTTTTTCGATGTGCTGGCCCAAGGCCGTGTGGCTAGCAAAGAAACGACCACATGTGACACAAGCCCAATGCATTAGCTCCTCACTGTGTTGTTCAAGACGGGTTCTTGTTTTGAAGGACTTGAAGCACAATCCACAAGTGTATCCCATCAGTGCAACACTCATGCTCGATAACGAACTGCTATATCTGGCGTCCAAGTATTCTTCTCGTCTTATTTGCCAAATATTATAAAGTTTTTCCTTTGAAAAATGGCCTTTTTTTAAAGCACTGGCAATGGTGTTTTGACCACTTGATGATAATTTTGAATCTGATCCATAAAAAGACCTTCTTCTGTCATTCGGAAGGTACTTTTCTGAAAGTGAGGAAGTCCTGCTTCTTGAAGCAGAAGTATTTCTCCTTGGAAGTGTGTACCTCCGAGAACTACTTGAGTAAACAACTTCCTGTGACTCGTGGTAGCTTTTCTCTCTAAAACTGACACCTCTGCATCCTCGGTAATGAAGTGTTTCTGAGTAGGTTCTTCTTGTTGTCACCCTCTCATTAGTAAAACAAGATGAGCTCCTTGAACGACCCTGCGACGCGCTGTCCCAATCTTCTTCATCCCTGAGGCTGGACGCAGCCTTTGAATATCTGCTTCTGGAAACATCGTAGGGTTTAAGCCTCTGCTTTGCGGCCTGACGCTCTGCTCTGAGCTTGCTAAGATACTCCGCATTATACCTGTCAAAATTCCCGTAGCCATGGAGCCCAGAAAGTGAACTGATCTGCCTCTGGTCTCTTGTTATGGATGACAAAGAAAGTGCTGAGGAACTAGAAAAGGCAGAGTCCAATGATAGCAATGACTCGCTGAGACTCTTTCTCTTTGGCTTGATAAAAAGGTTGTTTTTGCTATGCCCATTTGAATCTCCTTTTTGCCTCTGTAAGCCATCCAAACCAGAATCCTCGCTGTAGCGGGTTCTCACCTCGACTGTTTTTCTTGCAGTTTCATTATCACTGAATACATCATCATTGGCATCACTAGACCTTTCTTCTTGGTCGATTTCTGCATTAATATCATCAATAGCAATCCATTCATCTTCATCATCGCCATCATTTTCCCTTGATTCATCCAAATCTTCGAGATCTACACTTAATCGTTTCCCCTTTCGCCCCCAGTCGTCTATTCCTCTACCATCCGAGATAGATGAACAAACTGAAGGTGATCTTGAAAAGCGAATTGAAAAATCATCCGCTTGATTGGCAATTTCATTTTTGCTTTCCACTTTTTCCGTGTCTTCTAATGAATCTGGCAGATCTGTTACCGCATCACAGGAAGTATTTTTTTCAACAGAAACCTCTACTCTACACGGTGTATCTATATTTGCATTGTCCGCTCTCTCAATCTTGACATTTACGGCTTCAAAAGTACTCTCTACCTTCATTTGCGATTTATCATCCTCTGATACAGCGGTAGCATTTACATTCTCTACATCATCCAATATTTCTTCCGAATTCAGACAATTATCATTGCAATCCTTTTTAATCTTCGGCTTCACGGTCGTCTTAAACCCTTTTTTACTTGATTTAACTGTGCTCAAATGGAGACGTTTGAGCTTCTTTGAAATACAGCGCATACCTTCTCCTTTTTTTCCAATTTTAATACCAGCTGGAAGCTCAATATTCGGCTCGTCAATATCTTCTTCAACAACCTCAGTATCTTCATATAGGTATTTGGGCTTTGCATTGGCTTTCCCACTAAATTCTATCCTCCGCATCTCTATATAAGATACCTTGCCTTCTTTCTCCAACTGGCGATACACCCACAACAATCTATTATCCAATGTGTACCATTCCCATTTTTCAACACTCCATACGACTTCAAGGAATGGACTATCCTGTATTGCAAAGAAGAGCAAAAAAATTAGAGGCCATTGTCCTTTTAATTAGAGGCCTGTACATCAATACTAAACAGTTTTAATAAGAAACGACTTATAAAAGTCATTTGATTTTCATCAGAGTACGAAAAAATTCAATCTTCGTGAGATTTTCACATATGAACAATCAAATTAACCCCTACTACCATTTATACCGTAATACGACTCCGGAGAATGGGCATATCTTGTCAGCTGAATGCATGTTCTTATTCTGCATGCAATAACTGTGATCTGTTACGAAAACACGGAGATCACATCTCACATAATATCGGACATGGCTTAGTAGACACAGCATATAGCGTTTCTTTAGCCCCCTTACCCTGGATGCCTAAGAGAAAGATTTCAGTCCATATAGAACTGAAGGTAACTTCACATCTTCTCTTTCTTATACTTTTCTTTTGGACCATTACCGAAAAGTGGCACTCGAAATGAAGTGACGATAAAACATTTACAGGAGGATGTATTTGCCCCCATTTTATTCGCTCGCAATCAAGCTATCAATGACACGAAGGAAAAAGCGTTTTAGAAATCTGCCGCTTCATTCTCGATTCTAACAACATACAGTAAAACAAAAAACGAACGCCTTCCTTGACAAGACCAATAATAAATTATCCCTTTTAAAGGCTTCCCGCTTTATATGATCATTTGACATAAACAAGGCGGAGAATAGGGGAATTGTGTGCTTTTGGGTAGTACTTTGGTTCAATTTGAAAGTGCTGATTTCGAAAATCGATTCTATACGAGGATTTTTTGGGGGCCATCCGAGATCATCTTTTTCGTGGTTGAAGTTTCATTTTTGCGTATATGAAGGTAATCAATGTAAAAACAGTTTAAATCGAATTAAATTACAATTTAAAAATTGATTAAGCATATTTCTTGCTCATAAATGCTTAAAATTGAATTTTGTGCCCCCAGTCAGAGAGTTCTATTGTTTGACAACTTAAAGCGAGGCAAGTTGGACAGTGGCTTAATATCTCTGTTTTATACGAGGTTTGAAGCCAACTATTGGGTCCTCGAAGTCTGGACAACCTACCAAACATGTAGCAAAAATCCTGTGGGTGTGGGGTGTGACACCCCCTCCCCAATCTCAAACATAATGGATATCCCAGGGCAATCGAAGATTTCACAGAGCACCAAGTGGACACATTATTGCAGTGCAGGAACGTCACCTCTGAAGTTTGTTAAGGAATTTTGAAATGGATATATCATATTTGCCATGAACTTCCTTTCCTGACTTTGCATTCAAGCTAACGAAACAGTTATGGAGGAATGTGAGGAAGAGCTCAGTTATTAGCAAAACGGGGGCATTTCTTAACTAACTGTCATGGCCAATGGATATGGATGCAATAATGATTTATGCATATGTTTATGAGTGCAAGGTTGGTCCAAGGTTAAGTTGCGTCGTCTGTCCATCAAATGAGTCCACACAAATCAACTTGAGTTCCCACCGTGACACCTCCCCTCCCTAATTTTTGCTGAGAAGCGTCGAATTGTCTATCCTAAGCGGTATAGTATTTTGGTATATTTTAGTCTGGGAGATGCTTTTTTAGCTCTTCTACAAGGTATAATTTAAAAATTTTTCTTTCGCATCGGACCCGACTGGCGGGTCCTCCTACGTCCCTTTCTTAGCCCCCTTTGGTTCCATTTCGTGCAGGCATGCATCCGAAACAAATGCCATGAAATGTACGCTTTTTACAAAGAAAAATCCAATTTGACATCTAATTTACGCTCACGTAGATAAAAAGATATAGCATAGGCAATTGCATTAACAACAAAAAAATTCGTAGAAAAAATTCGGACAACTATTCAGAATTTCGTCGTGACAAAATTTCGTCGCAGATTTTTACCACAAAGACAGAAACATATTACCAACATCTAAAGAGGCAAAACCAAACAGGTTGCTTTGTATTCAATCCTATCCTATAGATACGGCTTCGTGGAGACTTGGGGGCTTGAGCACCCGTTTGGAATTTGGTTCAACCCCCCCCCCCACCCCCCATGTAGCATTTTCATACAGAACCGCATGTCAGGAGCGCCAAATTGAAGCGGTATATTTCCTTAGTTTATACGAAGGTGGGGTAAAAAAATTATGTTTTTAGCAATCAAAGAGTATAATTAAAGTATAAGTGTAAAAATAAACGTAAGATTCGGAAAGCATTAAACCATCTCCATCAGGAAAAGTTGATCTCGAGATTGTACTTCCTGTAGAGTTGAAAATTTGGGTTGAGATGCAAATACCTTGAATGATTGAAAGAAATAGTGCAGGTGAGTACAAAAAAACAGAGGTGGAATCCTTTGAAACCGGCGAGAAAACACAGTCGGAGCAGTAGCGTAGCCAGGGTGATAGAATAGGGGCAGGGGGGTTGGGCAAAGGCGAGTTGAGCAGGGAACATTGGTTTCCTTTTGGAGCCAAGATAACGCCCTTTCTCAACCAAACCAAAGAGATTCTTGGCGTTCGCCCCCAATGGCCAAGTTAGAACTATTTTTATCGCAAGTTAGAACTGAGTTAGAACTATTTTTATCGAACGATGGTGAAAACCAAGTTAGTTCAAGAAGGGATAATGGTGATGATAATGATGTCTACGATAATGATAATTATGAAGATGATGTACTGTAAATTAAATAAATGACGTCATTGACATTGAATAGATCAAAGGATACATAAATTTGATTCTTGACCTCAAATAATAGTTTTTCTATGTGGATTTTCTCAAAAATCTTGAATGCAAAAAATTTCGTTGTGGCAAAATTTCGTCTCCTTTTGTATTTAGTCGAAGAAAAAACGCCCCCTCCGCCATACAGCTAAGGACTTGAATTCATTTTGCAAGGGGGATAACAAAGAAAAGTCTTCGATTCCAACAACACAACCTCTGGAACCCATAAAAGATGGGAAAATAATTATTGCTTCAGCAGTAAAATTTGCTGTTCTACCATCATAGTTGCCAGCAAAAATGACGTCACACTTGGTCTGATCAGTGGGTCAATACCAAAACACAACAATCGTGCAGCCCCTACTTTTGGGCAAAATCTATCATTTATTCTTTTTGAATATTTCTTTTTTCAAAAGTGTAGTTTTTAACTAAAAAAGTTAGAATTTATCATAAACCTTGATTAGCTTTCTCCCTTCCAGCAAATCATCAAGCAGGTCATTGAGCAGGCGGCCATTTTTGAACTTGGATGAGACTTTGCTGCTCGTGAATTTCACATCCAGGGGCTTCAAGATAACTTGATACCAGAAGCTCATTTCGAAACTTCAGCTATTTCTTAGTGCTTGATTATCTCTTGGAGCACATCGAACAAAATATTTTCCGATAGCATTCCAGTCCAGGACACTTGAACAACTTGCAGCGCAAGGTTTGTTTTGCACAGAAGATGACCACGAGGGTGCAGGAGGCGGGTCCAGACCACTAATGGTCCGGACAAAAAAGCACTTTTGACACATGTCAATGAAATTCTATTGTACTCTTTCTATGCCTGGCTGGGTGATTGTTAATAGCAACAATTCACTTCAGTTCATTGTAAGGGTAATGCAATTTATAGCTCCCTGCAAAAATTGCAAGGGTAATGCACACTATTTGTTGACTCCTGCAAAAAATACACGGACTTTGAAAAGGGTAGCCCGAGGCCCTACTTTGAAATTGATAAGCTATCTGTTTGTGAACGATCGCCCTTGTCATGTGAGCACAATGTGATCAGTTTGGTCCCATTCGTTGCTGTCGTGGTGGTAGGAAAATTGAGGAATCTTTTCTTTTGAAGCGGTTTGTTTGCAACATTACCAAGGACATGGACATTGTGAGTATAAAAAAATTTGTCTATTAAACGTATAGACCGTATGCACAAACGTATATGCCTGGTCAGAGTTAAAGAAACCCATAAGAAATTTATCCTTCTACATTCACAGAATCTAGTTACTCAAATAACGTCCAGCATATGCAGTAAAATGTGTAGACTTTGGCACCAGGCTCTGGTTTTAGCCAGATGTAGCGCTAGGCTCGTCCTGCCAACAATCTTACAGAAATGATATTGCTAAAAATTTGCCGAATCTTGCTGACAAAGAATATTGTTGGTATTTTCAGGCATGTTTTTTTGAATTTGTTATCATCTAGAAATTTTTAAATATTGACTGCTGTTAGTGTCTAGAAAATTTTGTTTAGAATTTTGGGCTGCCATTTTAGAGCATCTTATAGAGGCATCCCCTGGATAAAATTTCTAGCATTCCAGTGTACTTGTAACTTTCAGATTGTGTAATCATGGATGATGGTTTGTCTTATTATTATGCATGATTACTTTTGGGGATGGGAGGGGCCGAAAAACTAGGAAAGCTTATATCATAATATATGTATAATCACTTAGCGCTTCGAAATTCATGTTAGTTTTTTATCATTCTAGTTTATTGTAAGAAAGCACTTGAAAGACCTCTGTTGCACAAAACAAAGAAAAACATATTGAATATGTCAATAAATATTCAAATGATGGAGGTTACAGTGAAGGTTTGGAACATTTCTATGCTCTCTAAGCTCCATATTTTCCAGAGTTATATTCTAGTATTTTTGCTAGATGGTCAAAAGTGTCAAAAGTGGTACAAAATGTCAAAAGTGAGTAGATTTATCAATAATTTCCTTCATTTAGTTTCAATAATTCTAAATATTTTTTCTCACAATTTTTTTGCTATTTTGCAACATCTGCATTTCATTCTTAGTCACTGTATTCTGTAAACCAAGTATTGCTCCGGTTTCACAAGTGATTTGTCTAGATTGCTGTGGTTTTATTTAATTTCAATTAAATCTAATGGCTCTATATTCCAAAATCCCAAAGTGATAATATTTTGGTTATGATTGTGCTATATATGTCACAACAGGTGCTTGACTGCTTGTCTATGTCAACAGGTTTTTAGGTAGGGATTTCTTTTCTGCAGAAAGACAGCTACTATTGTTCAGTTTGATGTGCTGTCTCAAATCCAATCAAGAGTAGCAGATATGAAAACAGCCAATATGAGTGCCTGTTTGTAAATAATGCAAAATTCCCTTCATATTCCCTTCATTCTGTAAGAGATAAGAAGCACTTTTGAAATAGCATTATTGACAAAGTCTTGACAATAGGGCTTTTAATCTACAATTGAATAAAATGTTTTAATAAACTATAAGTGAAACTCAACTGGCACTGTGTGTCATGACTGACTGATATTCAGCTAAGTTTCTGAAAGGGGGAGCAGATGTTATAGCACTCAAGAACAGAAATCCAAAGTACAGAATTATTCTTGTTCCAAGATATAAATGAATTGTAAGATAAGTATGAGGCACCACAAGTGCTCTTTAAGGGAGCTGTGAAAAGAAAGGGAAATGATTAAAGGCACAATATCACTGTACATTTTGATTACTCTGATACTCACTGCAGCACCTGTACCTTAGACCAAAAATTAAAGTTATTAGTAGAGACAAGCCATTAAAATGTTTCTGCTATCAAGCAAGACAGGCTAGTAAGGGTGACTCAAACATGTCTGTGCCAGAGGACTATTAATTTTTTGGAGAAGCCTAAATTTTTCTCTTTCAATAAATATATTTGAAGGAAAGCAATAAATGATGATAAAGGACAAGAGGAACACTTAGCTCCCTTCCTCACCAGAGAAAAAACCTCAGCATAATAATAACTGTATTTGCAAGGCAGAGGGCTTGGACCCCAATCTTTTTCAAAAGAAAAAGCTTTTGCAAAAAGCATTCATTTTGAGATTTAGTTCTGCCCAAGACCTTTATTTTCCAACTTGGCTCCAAGGCCTTTGATTTGTGCAAGGTTTTGACGATATTAAACTTTCTTTTTCTTTGGTACTGCATTGATTGCAATCATTGCTTTAAATGACTTTTTGGAAGAATTTGAGCTGAGAAATGGGTAGTCATGTTACATTGTCAGGGGTTACATTGTCAAACACAAAGTAATTGTGAAAGCATAAAATGTGAAAGATTGCACACCAGTAACTGGATCTCATAAAAGTATGAATTTTTATAATTTTGGAATTTTAACCACATGTCCTAAATGAACACCATGAAATGCTTCTAGATACGCACAATCAGTTAAATATGTCTAAAATCTGCTAAAAGCAAATACCACCCACCAACCTAAAAGTAGATGGGCTGAAAGGGCGTGACCGAAGATTTTTTGAGATCGCACCCTTTACAACACTGAAAAACACCCCTTTTAAAAATTAATTGCTTCTTTCCACTTATTTTTATAAACCGTACGATTCAGAGAAGAGAAACAGTACAGTACTGTGTACTTAGAAACAGTACTATAAGAATTAATTTATCAAGATAAGACACCAAGAAAATGAATAAAAAATGGTTCCTAGTCAAGACGAACTGGTACTGCTTTTTATTAATTTAGGATCCGTTTGAGTAAATGTTCCAAAGTTGCATTAGAGTACACTTTCTAAAAATTTTCTAACCTACTATTCCAAAAATATGGGGCTATAGCCCCTGCTAGCCCAATGCCTTTGCGGTGCCTGGCTAAAAGATTTGAATTTTTTTACTGATTACTGCATTGTTGTAGTTTTCTCAACTCCCCAACTGGCCAACTGCTATTGTTTACAATGGTTTGGATGTTGGGAATCAATAGAGTTCTAAAGTGTGACGTCACCGAAAATTATTTTTAGAATTTTTGAATTTTAACCACATAGCATAAAAGAACACTACGAAATACTTTCAAATATGCAAAACTGGACAAATATGTCCATAATCGGTTGAGATATAGCAAATGAAAGATTTGAAGTTTGCTAACGAATCATTGTTATTTTCGCTCTGTTCATGAAGTTATGAACAGAGACCAAAATATAGAGGTTTGATGGGGAAAGAGCCAATACACATGTGGCCATATCTCAGCCAATTCGTTAAACAATTGACTGATTTTGCACTTTTAGAGGTATTTCATGATGCTTTTTCAGGTTTTGGGATCCAAATTAAAAAATTCTAAAAATATATTTTTGTGACGTCATCACTCTAACTCTATTACAACTCTCTGCGCCGTTTCTTTGGCACGGTATAATTTATACTAATCCTACAAACATCCAGACTACTAAAAATAATGGATGTTGACAAGTGGTGAAGTTGGTGAGTTAAGCAAACTACGACACCGCAGATTACTTTGGCTCTGTTCATAAACATAAAGTAATGAACAGAGACCGAATTACAGAAGCCAATTTTTAACACATTTAACTGACTTTGCACATTTATCTATTATATTGTGGTATTTCTTGGTACTCTTTCCGTTTATTGGATTCAAATTCTAAAAATTCTAAAACTCGTTTTTGTGACGTCGTTACATAACAGTTCTATTGTCAGATGATAAAAATCAGATAGAAGGCTATTCCTTTGGGCAAATGCGCGAATGCCACACTTGTAGACAAGTATTCAGAAATAGAATCTTTAAGTTCCTCGTGTAGCCCTACTTTTGTTCTTTGTGGGTCGTAAAGGTAGAAATTATAGTGCCAACGCCAGCTGGCTCAGAGATTAATGGTGATGAAGGTGAAACACCAAGATAACACTAAAAGTTCTCTATCGTACTCCGTAGGCCACGTTACTGACAATCTTCTCTCCTTCTCCCTTAACCTTACCTTTATCGACGCAAACTATGTATTTCCACCAATCAAAATTTAGAAAAACAGGGCACAAAATTTAGGACATAGACTTTTTAATGAATCACTTTGAAATGCATACATGTTGTAACCAAATCTATTAAGATAAATCTATGACTCAACCTCAGGTCCTACCTCTAACCTATGTTGCAGACCCCAAACTTGAAAGTAAAGGGGTGTGGCACCAGTGCCGTCGAACGAAATTCATATTGGGGGCTGCCCATTGTTTTCCTTCTCATTCAGTACACTGTTATAAAGAAAACATACTACAGTTTGTCAATCATTGGGGGGGGGCTACAGCCCCCAGCACCCCGGCTCCGACGGGCCCGGGAACACAGGCTACTACCCCCTCCGCCAACAATGCCCGTTCCCACTCTAGATAGAGCCTGCGTGAAATCATTCGTTTCCTCTTTGAAATAAATTCATTACTCTTTTTAATACTCCAACTGTGAATAAACTTAATTTAAATCTCCCTTTTGTTCAAGGCCCTCATAAGGGCCTTGCATATTTAGAATATCCGACTCGCCTCTAACACACCCACTGATCTCAGTGAACACACCCCTTTTCGTTTAACGAAGGTCCCATACACGCCGCAAAATTGTATTGTGACTTCGAAATCCCATTCACATCACAAACTGACTGCGTGTGTAAAACCCTGACTTGCCAACTCACCAAATTATTATATTACGAATATTGCGCATGACGTTTGGTTCTGACGAAGCAACACGAAATCAGACGAAGTTTGAAAACAGTAAGCATCGTTTTCCATTTTTTTTAATTACAGTTATGTAAATTTAGATCTTTCTACTGTTTCTGCTTCGAATGTTCGTTCATTCGTCAAAAGGCAAGGGCGAAGTCAGCAAGATGTTTGTTAATGTTGTGGGACAAAGATAATTTTTATTGTATTGCACTGCAGCCAGAAATAAAATCGAGTCAAGTTTTGGTTTTAAATCAACCTAAGATTGGTGTTGGATGGAAAGAAAGGACAGAATATTATTTCGATTTATTGCCCCCCCCCCTCCGGCTCGCAGTGAAAAGGGAAGGAAGCCTTGGCCCCCTACCTTTGCTAGCCTTGTGGCCCCCACTTGCAAATTCGTGGCTTGGGTCCTGAGCTTAGCAGCAATGTAATCACTTTGTTTATTAATATTTGAACTATATATAGCCATTAGGCACTCAAAAATATTTTTAATAATTTTATCAGACTCTTCATACAAAAGTAAAGACCTTTACAGACAGATATCATGCAAATGTTAGATAGGGTGTCTATAGTGTCACGACTGTGCTTGGATGTATGCATTTTCTTTCCAAGAGATGTAGTAAATGCCAAATCATTAAACAAGTTTTAAAAAAAACTGGAAGATTACTATGAAGACATAAAGTACTCATTGTGATCCTGTGTTTGAATAGTCAGTAAAAATATTACTTAAATAAGATGAAACTAGTGCCAATAGCATATACTCAGGCACCGTGGCATCAGTTACAACATGCCACCTTGTAGGATCCCTAGGATCATTGTTTGATTGTCAAAAGACATACAGTTTTTTGTCACATTGAGTCACAAATTACAATGAGACAGACTTCCGCAGTACTGGATGAATGAGGTCTAGTACTGTGGTGTATATAAAAGGCTTATTCAATGCAAATCTTTCAATGAGAATTAAGACAAGGCAGGTCAGAATTAAGATATGGTGTATTCCCATGCTCTTCCCTCTTTTGCCATGAATATAATTGTCATAGAGAAAAAGCCAAATTATACAATACAAAAATATTTCAAGCTTTCAAAATAAAATGGTAATAGACTGGTACCACCAGTACCGCTGCAAGCGGCCACATTTTATGTTATGATATGTTATGTTGTGTTTTGCTATGCTATGCTATATTTATGTTATGTTATGTTATGTTATGTTATGTTATGTTATGTTATGTTATGTTATGTTATGTTATGTTATTTTTTGTTATCAGTGCAGAAGTCCGCCTAGAGTCAATAGAAAGGATGCATCTTATCAATTTTTCTGTCTGCTTTAAGAGACACAACTCTGCTCTGTATTTGTCTTAGGGCAGTGGGGCAAAACCCCCAGCCAGGATGTTGGAAGTCTTCTAAAAGTTGGCCTGGCAGAGGTAAATTGGGAAACTGGTTCCTAAAATTGGGGGGACTTGTATGAAGTTCTTAAAGTCCATCACTAAAACAACAAGCACTTTTTTTAAAGGGGTTGCCTCACTTGATTCCATTATTCCTTGCCCCTGCTGTTTATGTGCTGCTGGCAACCTTCTTTTGAATAACTAGTTTTTTGCAAAAAGCTGTTTTTCAGTTGGGTAAGCTTTTAGCCTCAGATCCAGACACCTGATCCATTGCAGGGCCTTTGCTTTTACAAGTGAAAACCATTGAAAGTGGTAATGCCTAGATGGGTTCAGGATCTTGCTTGGACTTTCAGTATATAGAATACAAACAACATTAATTCTAACAACAATTTCAAGACTAGTGCCCTGATTTGTGAAATAAAACAATGACAAGGTAGACAAGAGCAGGACAGAACAGTCTATATTTAACCAAGCAAAACTTTTATTGCCACTGTATCTGTAGTGTGCTCAATTCTTTGTACACAAAAATAATCCCAAAGCACTAATAGTTTCTTTCAGCATAGTTTTAATGAACTTGTGATGTTGAAGATAGTATTTAATTTGAGAGCTTATTCAATTTTCTTGAACAAAGTTACAAAAAGAAGAATTTGAATTGTTCTGTTTTCATTCTTATAGCCCAAATGGAAGGCAAAAATAAAGTAAGGATTGGAAACCCCCATTTGGCTGATGTCGATGAAGATAATTTTCACCATCTTGGATTCACTTCATCAGGAGCAAATATAAAAGAAGAATATTCTGATATTAAGGTATAACAAACATTAATCCGATAAATATATATATATTTATTTCAAATCTTTATTAGCTCTTGTTAATGGTTTTAGAATTAAAGCTCAGTTGATGTAGCATTAATGGTGTTTAGCAAAGTTATTGTAGCAGATGTGTATTTTTGTTGGATAACATCTGATATGAATATTACATTTAAACTAATTGTCATTTCCTGGCTTTGATCTTGTTTTTTTCTTTTTTAGTTTATTTGCATCAGTGGAAGCGACAATAGAGTCCTTAGATTTGCTAAATATCTTCAGTCAACTCTGAATATAAACAAAGATGTAGAACTACAGAATAGGTGCCTCACAGACAGATATGTAATGTATAAAGTTGGACCTGTTCTTGTATTAAGTGTAAGTTTTGCTATATATACTTTTTGGTATTTAGTTTGTAAGGCACTGAAAAATCTATATAACCTTTAATTTGAAATAGAATTGTGGAACGAAAGAAAAACCAGAAATTATATTAACTATTGTTTTGAGCATCGCCCATTATCAAGTCAATCTTATTATTTTAGTCCTTTTGAGCATAGCCCATTCTAAAGTCAAATTGACTTGATAGTTTAATTTAACTTTTTTTTTGTTAAGATACTTTTATTTTGTATTTTTAAACTTATATTGTTACATGATATTGTACACCACACAATATAATATATTAACTGAAAAGATATGCTTATCACTCAGTGACTCTAGCCCTTCCCCTCAATGTAACCAAACCTTGCGATTCCCAAGCAAATTTCACCCTTATGCCTAGAATTTCAGTTTATATCTGTTGTTTTCATGCTTTTCTGATTGAAATTTTTAAAGGAAACAATGTGAAATTCTAGTGATTTAAGTTTGGGAATCAGATATAGATATGAATTGTAAATGAATGTGTGCAAATATTTCACACAGTTGCTTTTTATTTTAGCATGGCATGGGTATTCCTTCTGCATCCATTCTACTTCATGAAGTGTTTAAGTTATTGCATTATGCTGGTGCAACAGATGTAGTGCTTTTCAGGATGGGAACAAGTGGTGGTTTAGGTAAGCGTTCACAGAGGAGGAAATTAAACAAAAAACATGGGGTGATTTCTTTTCCTTTACAAATACTACAGCAGAAATATTTGCACCAGCTCATAAAAGACCACACAAAAGTGTCTATTCTGCAAGAGATATCTAGGAAATTTATGATGACAATGTACTAAACATCAAATAGAGATCTGCCTGACCAAAACCATGCCCTCAAACATATCATAACAAAAGCATATTGATCAAACATAATAATTGATCAAACATAACAAAAGCATGTCTAAAAGTAGTGATTTTCTGCTCGGGATGCATTTTAGTGCCATTTTCAAAAGTTGTTTTTTAGTCAGATAATGCTATCAACTAGAGTCTCCCCCCTCCCCCACTTACAATTTCTTGGCATTGTATAATATATGTTTTCAAGCCAAAGCATTTGTGGCTAGCACAGCCTTCAATTTCTTTGGCAGCTAAATGTGTTCTAGGCAGTAGGTCGCAAGCAGGGGACAGCTCTGGAGCAAGATGTTCTTCATCAAGCATTCTAGGTCCATTTGGTAAAGAAAAGAGCCAACATGCTAAAGAATTTCACAAAATGAGTTGACAGATATCAAGTGTCCCAACTTCCAAGTCATTATGCCTCTCTACAAAGTTCCTCTCTCCATTTGGGGCACCTTCCTAGAACCTCAAAAATTATGTAGACCCTAAAAGTCTTCATAGGTCTTTTACAGCATGTAAAAATGTATTACAAGATATTTGTCTATAATGCTTGCTTCTCTATAATGTATTTGCTGTTTAAAATTGGTAACCAAATCTCCATCTGGTTGATAGGTGTGAAAGAAGGTACTGTTGTAGTAACAAAACAGGCAGTGGATGGCCTGTTACGACCATTCCATGAACAGGTAGCAAGACTTTAAATTTTTTATCTAGTGTGCAAAATTGTGTTTCTAACCATTTTTGGTTAGCAGGCATTGGTGGTATAGACATAATTCAAGATTTCGAAACTATAAGGAAAGTTTATCCCTAAGATTAGAGTACAGAATGTAGGTGTTGCTAGAATGCAGATTTCAATTTACCTATCAACAGGCAAGGTAATATATGCATTCCAGCAAGTACATACAGAAAGTATATACATATCACTAAATGAACCTTTTTTCAATGTAAGCCTAAATCAGATAGTTGGACACATTTCAAAGTTAGGGGACAAATACAGAGATATATATTTGATATGGTTTGATATCTGTTGTTTTTGTTTCTCTAGTTTTCAATATCTAGTTTTTATTTCCTATCTGTTCCCAAGTTTAAAGCATTATTTTATATGTAACTGTTACCTCCTCCAAGCTGATCTGCTGGATTTCTGGGGAGGGGACACGTGACAAGGAAAGCGACGGGGTGCACAGAAAATCAGTTTACACCTTGATCCTGTCCCATAAAAATTAGACCAAAAGCTTATCTTTTCTCCAAAAAAAGCCAAAATATACCGGAGCAGAAGGAGAATCTGCACTGTGATTAATGCGCATTGTTTGTGGGAGCAGATAATTGAAAGGATTTCTATCTTCTGCTTCTAAATACCATTTCCCAAATAATTTCCTAAATTTTTATTCCCTGTCCCAGAGTTTTGATACAATCCACTATACCTTTTCCCATAATTGTAATCAGAAAAGCAGACCCTGTCTCACTATGGGAAATAAGAATACCTTGCAAAATCATTGTTCTTTTAACCTCGTAGATGATTCTTGGTGGCATTGTCAGACACCCCACTGACATTGGATCTGTTGTCTCTGATGAACTTGCATCATATAGTAGTGAAAATGATTTCCACTTTGATGTCGTGCAAGGAGACACGATGTGCTGCAATGATTTTTATGAAGGTGAAGTACTTTCTCATCCTTTATCTTTAATACTGCAAGCACGTTAGACTCATTGCCAGCAACATTCCCTTATGTTTTTTTCCAGATTTTGATTGAGCGTAACTTTTAAAGTTTGGATTAAAATGGGTTTGTCAATGAACATAAACTAGACATATCCGGTCCTTCTGATGTCCCTTCTGCTGGTGCGACTGCACTGGAAAATGAAACGCAAGTCACTAGTTGTCAGTTTGTGCAACTAAATTGGTTTTATTTCAAAGATATCTGTTTTGTCAATTTACTCGCATTTTTTCACGTATGTTATTAAAAGTTTCTTTGCAGGGCCAATTTCTTTAGCATTCTACACCTTTCCTAAAAACTAGCTGCCTGCCCATGATTTTGAAGGCTTTTGAATTTAGATTTAGATCAAGGCAAAGATGCATGATGCTTCCACATTTATTTGCACTTGCAGACGATGTAGTTAAAGTTTATTTGATAGGACGGGAAAATGGAAATGTTACAGCCTAAAGCATTCTCGTCCGTCACCTCTCTAGGTGCGGACATCTGCAAATGATATCAATTTACAGGGATGGTTTCAATTTTTTCTTTCTTCGTATCAAATGTGATCTTAAAGATACTTTGACTCCAAAAGTTCTTATCTAGTTTCATATGGATCGATTTATAGCAAAAAGGAAAGAATATTCCACGAAACTGTCATTATTAATTGTTTATTGTTTGTCGTCTGTTGTATAGCACTTTTCTGATGTTTCTTTACATTTTAAATAGGTCAGGGGCGTCTGGATGGTGCTTTCTGCGAATTCTCCAAAGATGCAAAGATGGACTTTTTGAAGAAAGCTTATGCTTCAGGCGTTCGAAATATCGAAATGGAATCTCTTGTTGTTGCATCGATGTGCAGACGTGCTGCTATCAAAGCTGCCATTGTTTGCGTGACATTTTTAAACAGGCTTGAGAGGGACCAGATTTCATTAGACAAGGAAATCATTGATGAGTTCCAGACGAGGCCATGGAGACTTGTTGGACATTACATAAAAAAGAGGCTTTCCAGTCAATAGGTTGCCGTGTTTGTTACTGAATGTTTTAAAAGGACCGCAAATGATACGAATGGTTTTATCTATGAATTTTTTGTATTTATTCCAATAGAATCCTTAGTGAATTTGACCTGTTCGAGGCTTCGCGGCACCATCAAGCTTGTTGTCAACAGTTTTACCTATACTTTAGAAAAGTTGTGATGCCTTTTCGTTGTGCAAGTGCCCAACTTAATTATAAAAGGCAACATGTCTAGCTATTCTAGCACATATGGCCTCTGTTATATTTGAGATGCCCACAGGTGACAGCATTTCCGGGCCTACCATGCCCATTTATTCTGATGGTGCTTTTAAAGCAGCGAATAAAATATCATTGCTTGCTGAAATGGCCACCGTGTTGTTGCTAAATATTACAGCTGTTCTGTTTTCATCAAAAAGTGAAAAGTGTTTTTTATCCAACTGCCATATCAAAATTGTTTATGTTTTCGTACTCCACCTTTAAAAAGTGCACCCCTTTTGCCTCGACCGACACATCAGGTTATTTCAGAAAGCAAGGATTTATCTAGGAAAGTTTGAATTATTTATGTATAAGAATTATTCATCTAATTTTTCTTATCATCGTATTTCGCGTGCCATATTTAATGCATATATGAATATTTCTTTACTCTTATAAATTAGTATATATTAAACAACCTGATATATCCAATTACTGCTCAATTTTAGCCATTTTTCAGGCATTTCATGCAACACTCTTACTTATAGGCCCTAAATACTTTGAGAACCTATATGACTATGCATTAACAAAAAGCAGTATCCTTAATAATTTCAATCGACTGTTCTATTTCAACATGAATTTGAGAGTTTTTGGCTTTTGATTTATTTGACTTTCCGATCGTTTTATAAGCATGACGTTGCCATTTTCGATTGGTATCAGAGAACGAGTAGCCTGCTTGCAGACTTTACTGTTTTCCTCGATCAAGAGGTGTCTGTATCACCCCCTTTCAATCTAAAAGTCATATGAACCGCTTATAGCGATTGTACAAAAAAAAATTTCTAAAAGTCGTTGATCTAAGAGAAAGTAAATTTTCCATATTATTCGAAATATATAATTATTCTCTTTTTAACTATTTGGATTCATAAAGTTGATATTGTACGGTTTAAAAAAGAATTAATTGCCTTATTTTTGCTATTCGTGGCAGAATTAAATATTTATTAGCGTGTTTTTAGATTTGTTTCAATTGGGTGACATTGGAAATTTTTTGACTCACATTACTATGTTCTGTTTACAGTCTTTACCCAACAGACTTTGGAGATATACCCGTTCATTGGTTAGATGTCCTTAATGCTTGCTATATCTTGCTATGTCCTTAATGCATGCAATGCAACAACATCAAGACGTTGAGCATTTGATAAAAAACAATTGGTTTGGTAATATGTGAATTTCTGCGGTATTAATCGTAAAATTGACTTTTGAAATTCGTTTGTCTTCTGCAAATAATTTTCAAATTTGCAAAGCGTAGAACCGTAGAAGGGATTAAATAAAGATAAACCTTATGAAGCTTTGAAAAAGTCGTTCACTTATGACAGTAATTGAAAGAAAAGTTGCTAATATGTTTACAATTTTCGTAAGGGAGGATTTCTAAAGCCTCCTATATGTTAAATCTTCACATCACTTCTGTTTGCTCGTTCTGTAGTCCAGGCTGTAAGGTGAGCAGACGTGCTCTTCGCTTTGTAGCCAGTGGTTTTGTAGCTAGCACCCCTGATTATCCTATTTTCGTTCAAATCTTTTACAAGCAATCTTTTTTATGTAATCAGGGTACTTACTCAATGCAGGTGTATTGACTGCTCTCAAGGTGCTTAGGACAAAAACACTACAATATTTGAAATACGTCTGTATAAGCTGCAAGGGTATAACTATCAACAACTGTTTGTTTATTTTCAAACATCAAGATAATAATGAAGTTCCTACTTTTCAAACAAGGAAGTATTCAGCCCAGGAAGTTTCCTGTTTTGCGCTGAACACCAGGTTGCACACTATTAAAGGTAGATAATGCTAGCGTTTTTTAAATCACGAATATTGTATGTCCTCAAGTCTCAGCAATGACTGCTCTAAAGGATGACCACCATATTTCCTTGTTCGAAACTTTTTTCGATGAGAAAGCAAGTAGTACATTATTCCATGGATCAAAGACAATTCATTTAGACCCATGTAAGAAATAGAGTTAATCTTTTAAATGCAACATTTTTAAATGCAAAATACGCGGACAAGTCGACTTATTTATATCGTCGCGTGCGCCTTTCTCTGGTGGAACATTGCGTTCTCGCTGTTAACAATAGAATTCTCAAGTGTGACATCCCAAAAAAACTATTTTTAGAAGTTTTGAATTTTGACCATATAGCATAAAAGAACACCATGAAATACTCTCATTTATGCAAAATCAGTTAAATTTGTGAAAAATCTGATGAGCTATGGCCAATAGAAGATTTGCAGTTTGCTAACGGATTTATGTTATTTTGGCTCAGTTCATAAAATTATGAACTGAGACCAAATTACAAAGGTTTGATGTGGTCAGAGCTTGTGTTGTGCTTATCTGGACATATCTCAGCTAATTCGTAATAACTTTAACTAATTTTGCAGGTTTAGAGGTATTTTATGATGCTCTTTCAGGTTATGGGGAAAAGTTTCAACAATTCTAGAAACAGATATTTGTGACGTCATCATTTGACAACTCTATGAAAAAGTGAAACTGGAAGGCAATATGCCAAATTTCATTTCCTTCGTTTTAGCTTTTTTAGTCATAGTAAACCAAGCTATGTAAATGCTAATACAACGAAGATCAATGTAAATAAACAGGAAAATTTTCGTAGCAAATGAAATCAAAGAAAGCATACACCTCAACGCTAGCAAACAAAATGAAAATTTACATTAATTAGGGTAGGGTTTCAGAAAGTTTTGAATCGATAATTAAAAGGGATTCGGTCTGATGTTCTTAGTAACTGAAGTTCTTCCAATAGCCGAATCCTGTGATATCAACCTGTCCCTAGCCACTGGCATGTTCCTAGATGACGGGAAGGTCGCACGTTCTGCCCTTGTCTTCAACAGCGGTCAATGGGAGAACAGTGAATACTGCTGATCTATGCGGTTTGTTTTTCATATTAAGACATTCTGAAATCGAAAAACTGGTTTACAATCAGCTAAATGACTCCCTTTGCCAAAATTGGCGGCTAATTACAAATCAGTTTAGTGCGTCTGTAAGACAAGCAAATAAAAACAAGGTGCCAAGTAAATAGCCTTGTTGCATTCTGCTGCATCCCCACGTAAGGAATTAATCATTCTTCGTACGTGGTAAATGGTTCAGGGAACAATGCCACAATTAGAAGAAGGACTTCAATTGTATTTAGTATTTTTGTTTTTCGGTTCAATTTGGCACTAACAGCTGTAGCAAGGAATTTCTTGTAAAATCAGTAGCCTGTTACAGACCTATAACATAGCACATGCTATAAAAGCACATGAGCTCTCATCACAATAACAAACAGTACATGCTCCTTTAACCGGGAAGGGCGCCTTTTAGAGGGGCAAAAAATATTTCATCAATTTTGAAATTTATGTCGGTAAACTATTTCTTTTTGGTCGATATGACTGCAATTCTGACAACTTCGTCTTGGCAAAGTTCGTTGTAAACTAAACTCTTTGACATTCACCAGACTTTTCACGTGCTAGACCGCATGGAATACTCTCATTTCGTGAAAATCGTTTTCTGTGTCAGTCATGGAAATGAATCTTTGCTCGTCTTTTAGGTATGTAGAAATCTCCAAATCTATCTAGATAACTAATTGGTATTGAGCCAATTTGGTGAGGATAGAAAGTTAATATTTACATATCACTAGAAATACTGCTTTGATCTGTGTACACAGAATGAAGAGGCTTACGTCATATGCTTGACTTTACTAGGGTTAAAAATGCTTGCACGAACAATTTGTGTTGCCAACGTAAAAGCAAATATTTCATACTTCAAAAAGTAAATACAATCTGCTGCTTTTCGTCGTATTTTAGTAAATAAGGTCAAGCATTTAAACATATGTAAGTTAATTTTGCTGAACCTCGTCTGAAATTTGTAAACTAGCTTTTGACAGTGACGGTTTTAAACGATAAACAACAGCAATTATATTGTTATCCACAGTCAGGCACAGAGAATTTCTAAATTACAGTAAAAAGTTTATTACATCATTGTAAATAATATGCAGCGGATAGATAAAGCAAATAGTCGATCTATGGCAACTAATCCCGAAAGATTCGTTTAAAAGTGAGACCACATTGCTACGGGATGTTTGTCTTTTTTTCAATATAAGGGGTTAAGCACAGTTTACAATTTAATGTTTCTTCGTTTCTTCCAAAATGATTCTGCTGAACAAAGTTTCTTTGATTTGAATGATAAAAATGTCAGTAGGAACCGATCCAGCTCAAATGATGTCACTGCAATATTCTGCAAAAGGTACTTGAAACTCAGTAAGAAATTGGCAAAATCAGAAATTGAACTAAAAAATCTTCTTGCAACTTTTTTGTAAGCAAACTTCTAAAAGAGAAAAAAGGTCTTTAAAAAGCCTGCCTTAGTGTGGTATTCTTTATCATTCTTTTATATCAAAGTTATGTTCTATTATTTTATATTTTATATCATTCTTTGTTAAGTCACGTGTAAGGTAGCGGTAATGCTTGATATAGATGTCATTGGATTTACTAGGTAAAAAGTCCAAAGTTATTCATAAGTTACTTTGTCCTTTCTGTGTAGAATAAGTAATAGTTTCAGTATAAGATGGTAGAAAAAAAATCATGTATCGAAGTTTATGCACATATGCAATACCATAATAAAATATAGATTAACAATAAAAGGTGAAAATAACAAGTCCAAGTTAGGAATATCTGCCAAAATAGCTGTTGGTAATCTATATCCATTTTCCCACAAAATCACTTATAGTCACGAGATCAAAATTAATCTTCTCACTTGTTTAACGGCTCTTGACATTATAAAACTTCGAAAACTTTCCCATTTTAGTCATCATGTATTTGAAAAATTTTTCCCACAACAGAATTTATAGGTTCCATGAAAATTATGCAAGACGTTTAATTCAGACGATACCAACAATGAAAGGAACGTACTGTCAAATGGCTCGTTTAACTGTCAGTCACAAAATATAGTCACAAAAATATACTTTTCCCCCAAAATGATTTCCCAATAAAATGATGTTTGTCAATCACATCATTATATAACCACTATCTACAAAAAACCTTCCAAGATAGTTTCAAACTTTGAAGTATTTAGAAACTATCCTAATGAATGTTGATCTCAAACAAGATAAATAATTTATACAGCAAAACCGTAATCTATGAAAGTATCCCAACAAAAACTAACCAAGAGCAACCAAAAACCGAAAAAAAACATCTTAATCTATATGCATCTTGAATCAAATTAAAGAGGCAAGATCAAAAATCTTAAAACCTTTGTTTATCCAAAAGCAAAATAACTATTTCTATACAGTGAATATGCGTGCAGGGCGTTTTAATCTAAATCTGACTACAGTGGTGCTTGTTTGTCCAACCCGAAGCATTCTAAATATCAGCTTTTTAAATTTATTTCTGATTTCTTTGCTACTGGCTGCAAGTAGGAACGGGTCAACTGAACCGTTAACGACTGCAAATATGACAGTTACGCGAACCCATTTCAGGGTATTTGTGTGTCCGTCGTAAGTATCCGGAAACTGTGAGCTGAACATTCTCATGCCCCAATAGATCAAAAACGGGGCCCAACAGAGTACAAAGTTTGCAATAAGAAGAGCAACAAGCTTTTCGCTTCTTTTCATCATCTTGATACGACAGGCCGTGCTATGCCGTCGAAATGTGATTTTCCGACGTGCACGCCTTAATGAGATGTAGCAAAGGAACATAAACGCTATAGGAATTATGATTACGACCACTAGCGTTACGCCTCGGTAAACATCGCCGTTTACGTATCGCCAGTCTCTCTTACAGACGTCGAAATCCTGCGAATATCGATAGGATATGGCTGCCGGTGCAATAAATACAATACTCAATGTCCACATAAGAGCGATGATTGTTTCGACTGTTCGTTTCGATCGAGTCCATATGGCCTGAAGCGGGAAACGAATGATGCTATATCGATAGAACGAAACTGCACAGAGAGTCATCAAGCCAACTCCTGATGCCAAAAAGAATATAGAAAGACCCTCTGTTAAACTGCAAATCATTTGCAGGTGAGATTCGTTAACTGAGATGCTGGACATATTTGTCACAAAAATGTAAGGGTAGACACCAATGCCGCCAACGATATCAGATAAGCTGAGATTCAACAGCAGAATATTAACCGTTGTTCGAAGCTGGCGATGTCGTGAAATCAAGAATATGATTGCTGTATTCCCGACGAAGTTGATCAAGGTTAGAATAACATAAGTTGTGTTAATGGCAATGTCTATGGAGCGACTAAATATTATACCATTTCTATTCGGACCGTATGCGTCAGTAACACCCATCGTAACCGCAGTACTAACCGTGAGGCAGTGTAGCGTGCAGCAACAAGTAGATCACCAACGAAAAGAACCACTTCTCAAATCTCCGTTAAACTTAACCCGATCTTCTGAGTTGATCATTGAAGCAAATCCATGAAGAGACCATCGATCAGCTTTTTGTCGCACTTTATTTACAAATTAACGTTGTTTTTAGTGAACTTAAATGGAATAATCTTTTATGAAATTTTAGTGTAAATGAATTGAAATAATTTCCTCTCTCCCTTTGCGGTCTTTTCTCGCAATTGTGTTCACAAAGAAGATGTAGTGATTTCGAATTATCTCGTTCATTAATTTTTTAAGATACCTTGCTAACCTCATGTTTCGGCTTCTGCTGTAGTTGTGGCAGCTGTGTTCAGGAATCAACTTGGCGGCGAAAAGCAGATCAGCACATGGTGAAAAAAGCCAAAAACAATTCAATGAAACTGTTATTTGATATTGCATTCGCGCACATTAAGTTCCGCTAACTCTACCAAAAGCAAAACAACAAGAAAACTCCTCAAACAAAATATGTTGCATTCATTCAAAATTTTGTAATCAGTAACGGTCTCTCGCAGTTAAGGCGTCTCTCGATTTCCAAATCCCTATCTGCTCCGCAACAGCAAATTCTTCGATTTGCAATCTTCGGTTTAGCCAACACACGACGTTATCAACAGCTGATGTGATTTCAGTTCCAATCACACAGTAAACACAAGTTTAGCATTTCACATCCCTGAACGCAACAGATGGTAACCAACGTATGAACTATTTAACAGGTCTCCAATGACAAGAGCTTTGAGTTTATCGGCGCTGACAAAGACAGTCATACACCGCAGGCTCGGCGGTCAGTTGTACGTTCTTTGTAGGCCATTCATCAGACGATAACTATGTTTCTAATACACATGCATTGCGCCCTGCCATTTACACGTCTCTTTCCATTAAGGTGCAGTGATCATTCTGTGTTGCTGGACAACACATGATTGTCCTAAACCGAGTACAATCCCACCACAAAGAGGACATACATGAAAGAGGTCAGCTTCCAAAACAAAGGAGCCGCATAGCTTTCGCTATCAGATGTGGATGAAATCATAAAGGCAGGGTCAGTCCTCCTTGAAGCCAATCCAAAATTTTCATTACTCGATGCAATTTCTGTGCTCCGTTTTCTCTATCATGTTTGGTTAATTCTCGAAGTGAATTAGTGAACTGAGTCGATTTGTTGATCCACAGATCATGGTGCATTTGATAAAGATTATGTCGAAGAAAAATTGTTGATTGATGACTTGCGATTATTCTTTGCATTTCAATCGCTGAAATCCATAAGATATCAAAATCACTCATAATAAAAACGTAAACATTCATGTAAAGTTTATATCCACGACCTATTAAGCTTTCTGTTCATCCTCCATTACCTCTTAGAAAAAAATGCACCCGGAGGGTAACATCAAGAGATTCATTTAAAACAGCGTAGCGTGCACTTTTTGATGAAATAATATTTCATTGGTATAATTAATTCTGCAGGATCTTTTTAAAGTAACTACTGAGTGGCAAGGTTGAATTTTTGAAAAATTGTAGAGCAACTACACTCCTTTTTTATAAGAACCAGTAAATTTAAGTTCAGGCTGACTGTTCTTAATTTTGTCGAAAATCTGAGGCTGGATTGTTCTTAACTTGTTCTTAAATTAAGAGGGTGTAAGCAGTGCTATTGCTAGCTTTGTCGATCTAAGGAGGTGTTCAGGCCTCATTTGCCAACAAAGTGAGTGAGACAGCCTTAATTTGCTGACAAATTTGAATATTCATCGAAAAAGCATCCACACATCCCTAAAAATCCTCGATTTTGAAAAAAAACGTTGTTCAAAATTGCATTTTGCAGAAGCTCAGCCTCAGCTTGTTCTTAATTTGTTCTTAACTTTTGACCAGTTTTGAAGATCGTGTTCTTATAAAATTGTTCTTATAAAAAAAGAGTGTAGCCTGTTTACGTATACGCTTCTCCAGAGATCCAATGCACTTTTTCTACCTGCTAAAGATAGACACTCGACTGGCTTTTGTAAGCAGGTCCCACGACACTAACCCTAAACTTGCGGGGCCAGCAATGTAAAGAAAGTTTCCTCTTGCCCCCTCTAGTGCCAATTGTGGCAAGCATTTTGCTGACGCTGTTCTCTTTGTGTACTTTGATTTATTGTATTTGTTGTAATCTAAAGGTTTATCTATATAAACAATTCAAGATGTTTTTATTTTATTATTTAACCAAAAAAGGTGGTGGCCATGGTCCTCTGGCCCTCCTGTAGTGTGTGTCCTGGTAGGGCGACTTTGATGACGACTACTATCAACGATTTAAATTACTGCATCTGTCAGACAAATGAGGCATACCCATTGTTGCATTTACCCACTATTACCTATACCCCTCTTTTGACGCTTCAAGCCAGTTTAGAATACACCTTAGTGTGTAGTTTTAGTACAAGGAAAGTTCTTTAATGAAATAAATTTTGAGAAACCAGTGTTCTATTCATAATTGCAGAGTGAAATTGAGAAAGGTGAAATTTTTTGCTTTTCTTTCCAGTTTTAAGAACTCAATTACTTGATAGCATTTCATCAAGAACTTTCAGCTAACGATATACAAGCCTTCATTTTATTAAAAAAAGCTTCAAAAAATTTCTGGAGATTCTCTAAAACCCATTTCTGTGAATTTCTGATTGTCAGACAGAAATACAAAATTTGTTTGATTGCTATTCTTTTTCAAAAGAGACCTGGTCCAGAGGCAATTTTATTCTTTCGAGAACTTGTATCAATTCTATGACACTATTCCAGCAGTATTGAGAGTAATCAAAAGTTTGCAGCACAGTGATCAAATAACAGTATGCTCACAACAACTGTGCTTACGCTTCAGGAGAGTACTTGATTCATTTCGGGAACTAGATAGTTTTCGGGTACTCATAGTATTTGCTTGAGTTTTTGACTTTGACATTAATTTGAGCATTGGCGGATTAAGGGGGGTAACTAGGGGCAGTTGCCCCTCCCTCACTGAGTTGAAACATCTCTAGCATCCTTTTTGGAAATGTTGCTCCCCTTTTGAAGAGTGAGAAGCAGATGAAAAAGTTTCTGAGACTTCTAGGTTAATTTATTTCAAAGATTTCCTCAAAGCATACAACAATACTGTGAAAAATTTCCTTACAAAGTGAATACAGCGTACTCTCATCATCAATTTCTGAAAAATGTTCAGCGCCCCCACTACCAACTGCCCCTCCTTCAAAGTTTCTCTGGATCCGCCCCTGAATTTAAGTATACACCCAATTTTTACATATTAAGGTTTTTATAAGAAACTGAGCCCTAAGGTGAAGACAACTTTTAGAAGCCATAGTGCTGATCTCCCTCAACTTTCTACAAATGGGGCGGTAATGATTCTCTTCGACGATTAGGTACTATGTACTTTTTAATTTGTATAGTTCCTTATGTTATCTTGGTATAGATGATAGAATAAGGAGCTCCTTGCGACTTATTAGGTGTGTCCCATTTCATGTCATCTCCTGTTACCTTCTTTGGTTTCGAGAAAGTTTCTCTTTAGCATTTTATTAAGAAGCTGAGTGCTAATCTCAGCTCTGTTCTTATAAATAATGAGTGTAGTGGGTTAACGTTTTTGGCTCTTGGAAAATACATCTCAACCCAATACCAAGTTAATTACGTTCCTACACCCCTGCTGATAAAGATTGTGTGACCACCATTGTGTGTTCAGTTTTTAATTAATTTTATGTGATGAGGCGCAGATGTGGCACCTTATGTTGTTGAAATACCTACAACAGTTGCTCTACTCCATAGAATATTAGCTAGTGTTCTTCACAGGTTTATGTGTGTATACATGTGTAGTATTTATGATAACTAGATGTAAACTTACTTCTTACGTTGGGAGTTTTAATGAAAAAACATCCTTGAACAATCCACGCCGGGCCGTCGGTAATTAGGTAATTACTAATTAATCATATAAAAATATATGAAATTAGCAATGACTTTCCAAACAATTAGATAGGGCTTCACTTTTGCTCTGATGAAGCCCCGTATGCCAGGGCGAAAAATATTAGCCACCACTGATTTGTGTGTTTGTTGTTGTTTATTCTCGTCGCGTTGCGGTGTTCCTTATATACTACTATTTCAACTATTGCTTGTTAATATGGATGTTCTTCCTTTTGATACTCTGAGGAGTGTCAGACGAAAAAGCTTTAGTAAGAAGAAATATGTTTGTTTTTTTAAAAGCCATTTTCAAAAATATACATAAGAAAGTGATTATCTCTAAATTTGCAATGTAGGGTCTAAACATTTGGCCTTAGTAAGCTGTGTACCAAAATTTCATTGTTCACGTGTTATTTTCTAGACAAAATTTAAGTTGCCCATTATATTTTATCAGAATTTTTAGTTTGGTCTTTGATCATATGAATTTGCCGAAAGAAAAATTTTGGGGTCACGTGGCCTGTTCTCAACTTCTAGTCGCAGGTTGTACGGATCATAGCTCACTGTGTACCTCAGGTTTAGTTTCGACAATAAGGGAGCTGTTTTCAACAGCTTAGAGCATTATAGAAGGATTTTTTCCTGCTGTCCTGCAATATATTCTGACGCCATGAGGAAGTAAAAGTTGTTTGTTGTCGGGAGGTAAGTTTACATTGATGTAGACAGGAGTATTCACTGATGCTTAGGCCAATGTTTATTTGCTGAGCCACCGACGTTTGTTATCAGTAATTCTTTAGGGCATTAAATATAGCAGTAATTCAAGAATTTAGTCATCTTTAGCTCAGATTTTGATATGTTTATATCGCTTTTCCAGGGTGACATCAAATTTTATTTGATACATGGATCAGAACGGAAAAATTGTTCGTAACAGGTGAGACTTAGAATATGTTGAACATATTTAGACTTAAAATATATTTAGAGTCAGTATTGAAACCCGAGGGAAATAACTAGTAGCAAATTCTCTTAATCTAAAGTTTAACGTTATTATTCTACCAGATAAATGCCACTTTTACCACGGGTAAACTGTGACGCTTATCGAATGTATTATCACATAAAACTTGGTAGGAAATGCTGTAAAATTTCATTATTTTTAGTAATTTGTCATTGTAGTTCCAATGATTTCATATTTTCCCTCCATTTTAATGTTAATTTTATATTCTGTATAGGCACTTAATTTTTATGGTTGTAACTGAGTCTAAAAATAGCAACTGATGTAACATAAGAAACAACATGGCCAATTTCTATTTCTGTTTACTCAATATTGTGTGGACGTTTTTATGGTGGGACAACATTCAAAATTATTTCAAATTGATTCTCAAAGTATACACTGTATTCATAAAGCAAGGCAATGTATTTGGCCAGATACAAGAAGGTCCTCAGAATGAAATCCTTTTGCAAAATTTCACTTGTTGGGAACAAATTAACATAAGGCAAGGCATGTTATCATAAAGCAAGACATGATATTGAAAATGTTTCATCTATGTGAATGTTAAAAGAAAACAAATAGATTCAGAGCTTCATCCTTTTGCATCATGAGGTGAACATGCACATGTTAAAAAAAGGCATTAGACCTGTAAGGTAAAACGCATTGTGCAGTTAGAACGCTGTGCCTCTAAAGCATTTGAGGGATACAGGCATGGCTAGCAGCTAAAGTTCTATGTCAATTTTGTAAATTTCTTCTATGATTCCCCTCATAGCTTCATCAACACTTGATATTCATAGTAAATTTAGAACTTCATTGTATTTGATCATGTTGTTTTAAGAATAATCTCTACATATCATGTTCGTTATCCCCTAGATCAGTAATAGTTGATAGAAAAAAGGGGAGTTTTCAGCTTTTTGCCAAATGCAAAATGCTTTGACTACATTGCAGCTTTTTGTATTTCCAAAGAATGGAGTCCAAGTAAAAAGGTTTCAGATAAACTGTGTCAAAATTTGAGTATGATGTAATCCACATCAAAGCTGTAGTGTTCTGTGGGAAAATGTTGCAATGAGAATAATAGGGATAAAGCTGTCTTTCTATTTAGACATATTATATGTGGAAATCAGTTTAAATACTCAACAGGACTCTGCATAAATTGGTTTGCACTGGAGAAAATCCCACACAGCCAGTAATTTGAAATCAAGTTTTGTATATAGCAATAGTTGTGCAAGCCAAGTTTAAAGAGATCACAATGTGCAAATAAGACTTTTGTTTCTGGCAAGATTTTATTTTGTTTAAGGCTGCGATTACTCGATACCAGATTGTTTTTCATATCCGATTGATCTCAGCTATCCGATATGAAAGCATATCGTTTAGACTACGTTTACACGGATTGATATTCATACCATTTTCATCCTGTTTACACGACAATGCTCCGCTATTCACTGTGCAGCATACTTCTTTTGTTTCGATTTTTAGCAATGTAAAATTATGTTGATTTCATCAGTCTACTGAGGAGAGGACGGTCTCAGGAAAAAATTATCACTTTAGTATAGAATATGAGTGCTAGCCAGTGGCATAGAAGAAGAAAATATAAGCAGGAAGGGGAGGCAGAAGTCGAACTGCAGCCTGAATCGGTAAAGGCATATGCCAGTGAATGCCTTTTTGAGGGAAGGGATTGAAAAGATGTAATGTTGAATGATGACAAGATAGATTAGTTTTTGGCAAACGTTACCTGAAGGGTAAAGATGTAGAAATCCGTTGATAAGAACTTTCCTTGAGATTCAGAACGAGTGAAAGCGTATCAGATGAGTATCGGATGATCTAAGAGCAAGTATAGGGGTTTGTTTAATCAGCTGTGCAAGATCAGAAAGAGGTGAGGGTATGAAGCAAGAAGGACGCAAGTCTGGATAATTGTTTCTTTGTCACTTTTGAAAACTTAAACTGATGTAGCCGCCCTTCCAGCTGCATAAAATCTATTATTTGTTCTATATGCTTTAATTTTGTCAAATAATTCAGTTTCAGTTCAGTTTCATATTAATACAAAGAAATTATTAAACTAAAGTACATAATAGTATAAATACAAATACAGGACAAAATAAATTGTATGAAGTGAATTCTTAAAGAAGGAGATCTCTCAATATGTAAACTTCAAGGAGAGACCCCCCTACTATTCTAGGACAATAATTAAGCAACTTTATCCCATATTGAAGACTATTTTAATGGGACAAATATAAATTACCTTGACTGGCCTGTCTTGTGGAATATTGGTGAACAGAGGAACTCAAAAGGAAAAAGTCATAAAAGCAAGTATAGGTGAAATTTTATTGACAGAATCAAAGACAAAAGTCAAGAGACAGAGTTAAAAAATATCAGAAAGTTCTAGAAGTTTGAGATCTTTGAAAATTTGAAGTGAGGGGGACAAGCCTGGCTGAAATGAAATTGCTCTGACTGTTTTTTTTTTCGCAATTTGAAAATTGGCTCAATATATGATGCAAATGTTTGGTCCCAAACAACAAGGCCATATTGTAAAAAGGAAAGAAACAGAGAATTATACAGGTAGAGTAAGACACCTAATGGAAGTAGATTTCTAGTTTTGAAGAAAATTCCACATGTTCTAGATAATTTTTTTGAAAAAAAGATGGTATTTGGTCAGTGGTCATTTAAGATGGTATTAAACAATGATCAGTTGCCAATTTATAATTATTTTAAGTTATTGAAATCTGCAAAATTTCCATTTTTTTAAAGCTGTATAGCAATTATAGTTTCTTGCTATTATTTAATTCGTGCCAGTAGATGGTTGCATTTTATTTGCAACAAAGATTTACAGTACATGTTTGTAGATTGCATGTAAAGAAACATTTTGCAATGTTTGGAGATTGCTTTTCTCATACCTACACTCTCTCAAATGTCTTTTTTGAAAGTTTTCCTTCTGTAAAATTATTAAATTAAAATTAATAAAATTAAAATTTATTACAAAATTAAAAAAATTATTAGTAAAAATAAAAATTAATATGATCAATTAGCTACTAGCTAACATTGCCACTGCAAAAAAGCTGTTAGGTTATTGGTTTCTTCATTATCCCTATATTTTTCAGAAGTGATATACAAGATAATGAATGGCACAGGGAAAATGCAAATACATAGCACCACAAATACATTGCAAAATATAAATTTCAACTAAAAGATTTGAACTTAACATTAACTTAGCAATGACAATTAGCCACAATTTGAATAACAATAAGAAATAATTCTAGCAAAAAATAATTGCTAAGAAGAACAAATGTAAGAAAAGACAAATTACCACAGAGTGTCAAGATTCAAGTTACAGGTTTAGAGTTTTAAACAAAAATTTGAAGACCATGTGGCATTTAACTAGAGTGCTTGTCAGGGGACCTGTCACCAATAAATGATAGCAAAAGGACGTTATGGCAACAACAATTCAACTTTAAAAGGGTACTTGCAAAAACTATGGGGAGCATGGCGCCCCTCCTTCCGGCTCCTACGCTTTTTCACGTTCTGCCGTCACAATCAAAGTTACCAGTGTTGATGTCATCAATTTTCCACCCTATAGCAGCTAAGCTATCTTTGCAAAATTCATTTGAATTTTTGTGTCACTTCTAGGTTTTATTTTGGCGACGATCAGCAACTCTTTCGCAATTTCGTCTACTTCGCTTAGCAATATTCCATTCTAAATGGAGCAATATGACGTCGATATTCTTCACAGCGAGCTCAAATCATTGTCGGAGCAGCTGCTTGCTGAAAAGCGCGTTAATGATAGGCTGCGTTCGGAACTAGAGGTTTACATGAGCAAGGAGCGGTTAGCCTCTGCAAACTTGGAAAAGCTGAAGACAACAATGCAACTGGATATTATAGAGAAAGAACAGTTGAAGGCCCAGAATGACCTATTAAGTCTCGAGCTTGCAGAATGCAGGAAAATCATTAATGCTAAACAGGAAAAGACGAATGAGAAAGAGGTTTGTTCTACTGTATTTCAGCATGCTTCAAATTGAACTCCCAAGTAGCAATGACATGATTTAATTTTTCAAAGAGAACCAAATTAGTGAAACTTTATGTTAGCTGAATAAATATTTCGAAAGTTAAAGCAATATTGATTAGAAATCGTTTAAAGGTACAAGGCATTTTTAATATTGGTAGATTCTAGTCTTGTCTAGTCTTGTTGTAGGGAATTTTTCTTGGAGGCACGTGACTAGGGGTTTAGCCGCAGATAAGGAGTTTTCGAACAGAATTTTTGCTCATTACAGATAAATTTTCGTTAATTATGCTTTCGCTCTATACGCCACATAGTGCAACATTACAAGCTGGAAAAAGACATTTTATTTGAAATTTGACAAATGAAAAAAAGTAGAAGCAAAACTAACCAGACCCTGCCTTATCCTTCTTTCTTGTTATTGTATTTGGGGCCATAAATGTCCAATTCATGTTTCTCAACATTACCCTTTTTTGGATAGGATCAGACGAATAATTTCTTAACTATCCAGTTCATACAGCAAAAGTGTCTGTCGTGTGCAGTGTTCATTACACGTTCCATGTGCATGGTTTTAAATTGCATGGAATCGAAATTTTATTCCAGATTGTTAGCAGAGCAATTTTTGTTGCAGGTAAATGCTAGTTACCAGATGTTAAGACGTGCTGAAAGTCAAGCTAGTCATGCAAGTGATGGAAATCGGAGTGGTAAGTCATCAGCCTCCAGCTCAAGGCGCAACTCGAATTCTTTTAACAACGCTGTCATAACGGGGGATGACACCGAGAGGATGTCAAATTTGGAGCAGCAGGTAATCTCATTAACTAGGGAGAAAAAACAGCTTATGACTCATCTGCATTGGTTAACCAGACAACGAAACGATCCTTCTCTGCCAGAGGACGATTGTAATCAGCTTGATGCGAAGGTTTTCAGAATGAGTTTAGAGGAAGGCAGCAACACAGCAATCCAAGCACAATCATCAAACGCGTCCAGCATCCTTTGCTCTGGTCCTTCCCTGGTACGTGGCAAGCGATTTGAATGCTTTAGCAGAAATGAGAGTATTGATGATGGTACCTGTTTGGGAAAAAAATCGGCTCAAGAAAACACCCACGATGAAGGAGAGCACAAAGACATAGAAAACACTAAGGTGCCAAAGGGAAAACATACTTCTCCGGCGGCCATTGTTGACAGGCTTAGAACTTTGAAGGAAGCGATGTTAGCTGTTAAAATGACGGCGACAAAAAGCAACTCACTTTGTGATACGATTTTCCAGTTATCATTTCAGAATCTTAAACACCCGAATGAACCACGGAGCTACAGTAACTGGTCTAGCTATGATGAGGAAAGTGCATTATCTTTGAAATTCTTAGGAAATGCTAGCCAAATACCTACCTGGCTGCAAGAATCTAAGTTTGGTTATCGCTCGCTAGAAACATATCCTCAAAAAGGTAGAAGCCCAGACGATGATTATGAACTAGACTTCAACAAATGGACGAGAAAAAAGTCATCAACGTCATCACCAGAATTGTTTCCTGCCAAAGAAAAAACATTTGACAATTATTTCCCCCGTCTTTCGAAAGCATCACTGTCCAGATCGCAAAGAGAAAGTATGTTGTTTACAAGAAGTCTCTCTGACCAGCAAACAAAATCTTTACGTGCCCATCACGGTCCACCCTTCTCAATTAACAAAAGAGAAATGCCCGTGTTTTCAACTCTGACGTCAGCAGCTGAATCACCGGTCGATGGTCCAGTGAAACCGCTGTCTTTCAGTTCATTAGGATTTGTAGCAACACCAGAACAAGATGCCACTGATATCGAAAATAACCAATCATTGTCAACATCGTCAACTGTCACTAGTGAAGTTTTATTTTCCGAAAACCTTATATCATAGTATATCGCAGTACCATTCAGCGTATATGCTTTATACCGGGAAAAATTGGGTATGCGGTATTGCATGTTGCCCACTTTAATTTAATGGAAGTCAGTGCATCTACAAATCAGTTGAAGGCAGGTGACTTTAGAATACCGTGACATCTTGACCAACGGTTTTGTCGTCAGCGTCTGTTACCAACATTTTATTTACGATGCGTTGATTTTTTAGGTTGGTCGATTACCGTAAAATCCTCGAATTGGGCCCCCTCGAAAAAGCCCCCCTCCTTGAACCCACGCCCTAGAACTACAAATTGTCAATAAGCCCCCTCCCCTCGAATAAGCCCCAACTGCTACCGTAAATTCTCGAATAAACGAGGTCTTTTAATAATGTCTTCTTAAAGTCTACAATAATTTTATAACCCGCCTTGTATAAGCCCCCCTCGAATAAGCCCCCATCCAAAAATATCAAGAATGAATAAGCCCCCAGGGGGCTAATTCGAGGATTAACGGTATGTATAAATACAAAGTTAGCGATTGCAGATTATTTATAGCATACTTCTAGTCGGTGTTTTCGCAAAATGATTTGCGAATGAAAAACCTTCTTGCTTAGAATTTTTATTTTACAAATATCTTCTTGAACAGAGTCAAGAAAAGTACTAATTCTGCCTCCAGCCAGTAAGTCCAAAACGTTCCCTAAGTAAAACAGTTAAATCCAGGTGTGGCCCGGGTGTGGTTGTTGAATTTTTTCATCATTGAAATTCTTCATGTTTATCGGCCATATTTTCTACACTGTGTACAAGGACTGTTGCCTTCCACTGAGTTCCTCTACCATTTTGTGGAATCGAGATGTCTCAATGCTGCATAATTTTATTTTTTCTTGTTTTAAGTGGAATAAGCTAGCATGCCTAGCTCAATATTGCTTCAAGAAAGGCTCCTGTTTCTCATGCATGGTTTCACCGGTTATATTTATATCTCAAATATTCACTTAGTCTCTAAAACACTTATTCAAAAAGTCCCTTAGTCTCTAAAACAAGTGAGTTATTGAATGCTTTTAATTTTACATCACTACGATGTAATATTACATGTAAATTTATCACTATAGTGGATAGGTATATAAATTCAGAGTGTAGTTATTGTAGTATGTGTAGTTATTAAATCAGGAAATATCTGATGTCTCTGATAAAAGACAACTTCTTTCAGTTAAGAGTGTACAGTTTTTATTAAATGATAATTCTTGGTCGTGGCTTGAATGCTACCTTGATGCTTTTGAAATTTTTTTCAGCATCTTTTTAAACCCCCCCCCCATATTTCTGCGTGATACGTTATTGGTCATATTTTTGTGCGTGAAGTCGTGAATTAGGATTCCTACGTGAAACGTGAATCATGGGTTTTCCTTGCGTTATGTCGTGATAAGGCTTTAACTATCTGTGAATTCGTGAATGAAATTTTGGGTGATAATTTAAAAAATTGGCTCAATTTGGTGCGTAATAATCCAATAACAGTTAAATCTCAGTTTAGTATTTTGTTGAGTTATATTTCACACGAGTCTCTATTTCACTGCGACGGATTCTAAGTGTAGACATTCAAAGTTTGAAAGTAGTGTTGTAGTAGTTGCGTGAATCACAACCACTATGGGGGGGGCCTTAAAACAACCTAGTGAAACAGCTCAAAAATGCGCACCCAGTGCTCTACACGACAGCATTCGTTTACCCTGAATATTTTGATTCTGATGTTTATCTGAAGCTTTTACTGTAAGATTGTGTACTCAAGGGTCTTAACATCAAATTCAACTATCAGCCATATCAGAAAAACATGTCAACTGGCATGCTGGGTTGTTTAGGGCTTCTGAAGTTGACATGAAAAAATTTGGTTCGATGAACGGGTTCAGATGGTTATGGTTACAAATAAGAAGAAGTTACCGCTGGTACTCTTCTTCAAACTCATACTTATAGTATTTTATAAAATACTTCACTATTGAAAAGGGTCAGCTACTTGCCGATTAATCTGTCCTAAATGAGAAAGGAACTTCCATAAATGTTAAATACATCTGGATGAGGACAATTCTTCAAATGATAAGGACTGACGAACTCAGTTATCTGTGTAAATATTCAGGCTAAACGATCCACTTTTTTTGCGGATAGGTGTGCCTAAAAGTTGGAAGGGTTCTGGGCAAGGTGAAGAGGTTATCGCTAAAGTCTGGCAATTTCTGTATCAAGCCGAAAACTAATGATTACAAACAAAAAGTTTAACATTTGAAAATACAAACTGGTAATTTTACGTTGATGATCAAATCAGATCAGACCATAGGCAATGGTTTGTTGAAACCGTTTTTAAATTCACGCTCTTACTTTTGTTTCCTAGATTGGATCCTAATTTTCCGATGTTTTGAACTAGAATTTCATGGAAACAATATCATGCTAGATTAAACTTGATTTTCTGTCATTCAGATCTTTCCTATGCTAGTGGTGAAACAATCGCTTTGACTGTATTTCCAAAAAGGGATGTTATTTTTAAAAAACATTGATAACTCGCATGTATCTTAACAACAGAAAATTTTGTTAGATAAGTTTTCGGCGGATGAACTTCGTAAAAAAAAATTCGGACAATTTATCAGAAATTCTTCGTGACAAAATTTCGTTGTGGATACTTAACACAGGGATATTACCAATATCAAAGGAACCAAAACCACCAGTTTGCTTCATATTCAGTCCCATAGGTACCGACTCCGTGGAGACTTCGGGGCTTGAGCACCCGTTCGGAATAGGACCTAACTTCCCGGGCAGCTTTTTAACACAGAACAACATTTCAGGATAATCAAAATAAAAATAGTATAAATTCTCAGTTTTTGCAAAGGCGGGTCAAAAGAGTTGCACTTAGCACTCAAAGAGTCTCTACACTCTATTTAATATTAATGAAAGTATATAAATACACTCTATATAAATGTTTATAAATACAGTATCATTGAAAGTATATGTATAAATATAAATATAAGATTCGGAAAACAGAAGACCATCTCCAAAAGGGAAAGTTGGTCTGGAATCTTTGCTTTCTATGGAGTTAAAAAATTGGGTTGAAAGGTGCAAATACCTTGAACGAATGAAAAAATATTACGGTCGAGTATGAGTATCACAAACTGGTTTTCATTGATGAAGAAAATGATTAAAAAAATTTCTTCTAGCTCGTATTTGTTCTTTCTTTACGAGAAAACAGCATACAGCGTTTAGAGCCCTGTATGTCTAGCAGATTCATTTAAAATTCATTTTATTTGCATTTTTCCTTAAAAATGTTTGAAAAATGCAATTTTGTGGGTTTTTCTTCTGACAAAATGAAATGTTAAAAGTTCATAGACCCCCCAAAATTAGGAACCGGTTTTATAATGACCAAATTCCCATATATATAGCTAATTTCATTTGATACATCTCCTATAAATATCTCAAAACGACTAAGAGCAAAACGAAGGCGACAAGATCTTTCACAAGCATCTTGCCCCTAAAACAGTGCATGCCTAAACTGCTTTCTCTTGCTGCTACTTTTCCATAATTCTTACTGCCTAGGGTGAGATACGGGGCTCCTATTTATACTGAACTAAAAACAATAGACATACGTAAATGAAACGGTGAAAGGAAGTAATCTACTTAGTACCGAGCGGGGTGGGGTAGCGTGATATCCTTAAATACTTGGTTGCTATGGCAATCTACGTAGGTTTAAAGTTACCCTATCTCTATGGAAGTTACTCATAATAATACAAAGATTAACCTAATACACGTGATAGAAAATGCGGAATGAGGAAGGAAAGTTACAGATAAACAAGAGTGATTAGGTATGGAAAATCAAAGGAATGGACTAGAGAGAAAGACCTAAAATTAGCAGTATTACATACTGAATGGGAGCAAAACAATGGGCAACCCTCCCCCCTCTCAATATGAGTTCCGTTCCGACAAAACTGTTATATGTATCTGTACTGTATTGTTTTAAGTTAAGAACAAGAAAATCGTTTGTTTGTTGACAAAAACTTTCTCCATTACAGGGCCCGTGCCACCGGGGTGGCCGGGATGGCAATTGCCCCCCCCCCCACTTTTTTGCGAAGCAAGTAGTTGAGAAGCTGCAGTAAAAGAGGTAAGAAGCCTTGGCTCCCCAACTTTTTAGCCTTGGTCCCCCCGACTTTTTAACCTTGGCCCCCACTTTCAAATTCGTGGTGCGGGCTCTGCTTAGAAATTTATGATCAAATTTTATTCTCGTCCAATTTACCAGTTCCTACATTTTGAAATTACTGCCAATCTGTATAATTTACCAATTATCTCATATAAATTTCCTCGTTGATGAATTTTTACAGAAAATCTGCTGAGAAGATTGATGAAACCATCGTATCGAAATTATTTGCCTCTCTTTGCAAAAACCTCGTTCAGACATAATGCGCTTGCGCACTAATGAAAATTTTACCGCCATTTTCCGGCCAATCTGCGAACCTGTGAAAAGTACATTGACAGTCAGGTCGTGTCAGGAACAGAATCAAAGGCTAAGGTACCATAACTTAATCGAAGGGTACGTGCATTAGTGCCTTAATTTTGGATGTAAGTTTCTTCCATTTCATAAATATTTGCTGACATTGAAAATGTATGATGCTTAATTTCGAATTATGCATAATTCTTAGGCCGTGCGCGTGTGCTACACACGGGGCATAGAGTTGTTATTTACATGCCTAAGTATTTTCATTTTATTATTTTTAACACAAATACCCTATCAACTAAAAAAGAAAAATATATTGCTATACTTATAGCTATCCATCTACTTAAAAAATCTTATAGATATGCTGGTCTACGTAGGGATCGTGCTTAGGAAAGGAAGGGTGCTAATTTTGAAGGTGCTTCATCAGTTTCCACTAGAATAGTTGCTCATTTAGATTTCTAATAGTATTTCATTCCACGTCCTTAAACCAGAATAGAAAAAAACGGATAATTCTTGGTTCTGCATTTGCATGCCTATCAAGATCTAATTTATTTCTTGTTGGATAGCTAGATATTTGAGACCTAGTTACCATTTTCCCCCTTAATTGTTTTATAGTTCATTATTTTATAGATCATCATTCTCCTGTCAAATTTTATTATGTTTGAGACTGAAAGTTTGTTGACTGGAAGGAGTTTAGATCTTGTAACTTGCTTAAAAAGTAACTGCAGTTAAATTACATGCTCCATGTTCGTCTGTTTCTCGGGTTTGCAAGGGGCACTTAAACTGTAGTGTGCACTGCAAGTGTGCAAGATATTGAAGTTGTTCGATCTAAAGAAAGGGGTAGAGTTATCCTTTTGGTTATATCCCTTGTAAGTGGTGACAAAAATTTCCTAAATTTCCAAAGAAGCAAACATGATGTGTCCTTTCTTTTGATAGTTTAAAGTCTCTATTGAACATGATCTAAAACATTTTATTAGTTTTTAGCGGCTGCTTTTATTAGTAATCATTCATAAATGTATAACTGAATAAACAAGCAAAAAGATATTGAGAAAACTGTTATATATCTTGAATTTTCAATCAGCCCCCTCTCTTCCAAAGAGTCTTAAAAATTGAATTTTCCTCCTTGGGCTAAATAGAGGTTTTACAGAATTCAAAAATTGCTGACTCAAAAGACTCAGTAATATGACACCCAATTAAATGACTAATGTAAATTGCCAAGATACGATGATGTGTTTATTACAACGATTTCTTATTTTGTTTGTAATAATTTTTTCCTTGTTATTAGTTGTTCACAATAAATGAAATAATTTTGAATCTGCTAACAAGCAATGCCAAATTTTGCAGGCCATGCTTGCATGAAATTCAATTCTTGTAGACGAATTTACCTCTGCCATAGTTTCTGTGTCTTAGACATAAGTCTCCAGAATTTAGTTTTTCATGTGTACATTTTTTATTTTCCTTCTCTCCTTCTATTTTCTTTTGATAATTGTTTAAAGGAATCTGTTATCTATGATGGGCAAGTCTAATCGGAAGAGAACCAAGAAAATAGTGGCAGAGGAAGAGGAAGACGAGTACCAAGTTGAAAAGATAATTGACAAAAGGGTTAGTAATGGTGTTGTCGAATATTTTTTAAAGTGGAGAGGATTCTCAGAACTTGAAAATACGTGGGAACCAGAAGCAAATCTAAATTGTACAGAACTTTTACATGAGTTTAATGCAAACCTTGCGAAGGCTGATGGCCCAAGCAGTTCTAGCATTACTGAAGAAAAAGAGCCAGTACCAGATAGTAAAGGAACTGAAGAGCAACAAGAGGAAAAGTCTGTAAAGGAGAGCACAGATAAACCAGATACAAAACTAGAATCTTCACAATCAGAAAAGAAAGACAAAAAGGAGAAAAAGCCTGTAGATAAAGAACAAAAATCTGTAAAACGAAAAGCAGAAAAAGCAGAGTCAAGGTATTTATTCCCTGTTTAACATTGCAATATCTATAGAGTGTATGGCTAATTATAGATGCCAGAGTTATTCAAAGAAAATCTATAAACATGGGTAACTCATTGCGTCAGGGTATATTGATGATAATTAAGACCAACTCTCAATTTCCCACTTCATTTGAGGAAGGAAATCAACCGGTTGCCAATACTAGGCTTAGGAATAGATCAGGGTAAGCTTCAATGAATACCTCTTCCTCATTTCAAATATATATATAAATTGTCAATGTATATTGATCATATCTTGGCTCATTTAGTCTTTGTCGTTTAATGCATGCGATTGCACACATACGCATTGGCATAGGCATGTCACCAATAATGCAAGCGATTGATTGCACACATGATTTGTAAATTTGACCATTGTTTTTGACCTGAATAAAATTGTTTTCTTCAATGAAATATTGGAAGTCTTTAAATAGTGCCTATTTTGCTCCTTAACATGGCTAATCGCTTTGCTCTGTTAAAATTCTCCCGGAAACATGTCGGTCATCAGGTAGTGTCCAAAACTTCTACCTTCCCGTTTTCGCCATTTTTGAGATAACAGAAGAGATCACCATATTCAGCTTTAATATTTTCTCTCAAATGCAATATTTCGATTAAAATAGACAACCATGTAAATTTCCTATCAGTTCAGAAGTTTTCTGACAAAACAGCAGTTTAGATGTACCGGGGGGGGGGTTTGCCCTGCCCCCTGACCCATGCCACTGTATCAATCAATATTTCCCTATATTTGCCCTGTAATATCAAATGTTCTCAAAATAAATGCAGCAGAAGCACTCAAGAAGTCAGGCTCTCTCAAAAGTACCCCATGGCCTCGCGGTGAAGGGGGCCTTATAAAGTAATGAATTCTGTCTTCAAATAAAATTGATTAATAGTAACAAAGTTATGCCCATAAACAGTAAAAAATCTTAAGCAAATGGACGAATCTAAGCTATTTTAAAGGGCGTGGTCACAAAATTATTCTGTCTGCTTCGCTTGCAGGGGCCTAATTTACCAGAAACTAATTTTTTCGTGCAAAGCAAATTTTTTTTGCAAATGCACAAAGAATGTGCCCAAAGGTAGAGATGAGAAATTTGCTTCAAAAAAGGTAGAAACCATTCCTAATTTTTTCCTGCTAAATTTTTCAAGTTGTAAGATAAACCAATCAGAACAGCATTTGAAGTAAGATGACTTCTGTTTTAGTTCCTGATGGCCTACATCTTGCTGCATCGCTTTTCTTAAACATTCTCACCTTTACAGTGTCAATAAAATCTCTATTTAAGTGGATTTGTATCAGATTATTATTCAAACATTTTAAATTCAAATTGACAAAAACTGGCTTGAAAGTTCCATTTTCTACCAATTTGTCTGTAATAAACAATCAGCAAGAATTTGGCAAAAGGCTGAAATTTTGGCTGCTTATTGCCTACTCAACAATTTCAGTCATAAAAGACTCAAGATATGTTCAATGCAGATGGCATCATTTGAAAGTATTTGAAGAAGTGTTCTTGGTCATGTAAACGTAAAGCTCTTACCGAAAGATGAAATTCCCCTTTCTGAAGACGTTCTAAATAAATTTTTCTAACTAAGTGTTGCTTTTTGTTGTTTTGCTTGTTTTTTCAATCAAATTAAGTTTAGAATTCAGTCCTTTTCGTTTAGCGCGTGCGATCGCACCCGCACACGCCTGCACACGCGCAAGTTAAATTGCGCGTGCTTTTGACCACACGCGCAAACAGGTGTTTTTGCAGTTTTCTGTTAAAGGGCCTCTCCAGCCAAATTTTGCACTTGCATTTTATTGGCAATTTTTATAAAGAAGTTGAGCCTGCTGATCACGAATTCGTTATTTGTTTTTCGATATTTTTTACAGTTTGTGAGATATAAGCTCTTGCATTTCGATAATTTAATTGAATTAACCGACAAAAATTTTTGGTTTGGTGACACTGTGACGCAATTTTGGCGTCACAGTGTATTTCGGATAGTCTCGCCTCAAACCGAATCGAACGACGGCGATTCGCAAATTGAACACTGCAAGTGATGGTACTTTCAGTTCTGTTCCCCATCTTTTAGTTTGAGCATTTCAGACACCAATTCTGAAGCCTTTAGTTGTTCATCGTTTCTGGAGAACAACTGAAGTGACAATTTCGATTAATTATACGCGAGGGAAGAGCTGGAACAGGAACTGGAACTGGATGCAGTTATCAACGCGTGACCATGAGTCCTTCACGCTTCGGTGGAAGATATACGAAATTCATGGCGAACGAGAGCCGCACATTGTGACGTCAGAATGTCACCAAACTGATTCGGCTTTTGTCTTTTTTTTTCTCGGAAAGGTGCAACTGTAAAGCCTTACAACTTCTAAACTAATTGGAATTTTTCAAAAACAATGACTTTGTCATAATACACGCACCAGATGCTAACTTTTAAGTCATTAAAAAAAAATTTTTTTGCTGGAGAGGCCCTTTAACATCAATTTCCCATGGTCTCATGATTGTTTATCCTTTCCCTTGTTACTTGATTCGCACTTTTGACCACAATATGATTTTTCCAATTTTCGGAAGTGATGTTTGGCTTTTGACTGAGTGCTCCATTCAACTTAGCGTCTCGTCTTTCAGCTAAGTCGCCATTAACATGTTAAGTGTAATAACTGATTTCCTGTCAAAACGTAATTAGGCCCTGAAAGCAAGTAGCTGTTGGAAACAATTTTTACTTGCTCTTGTAACTTTGGAGAGTTACGACGACTTTTAAAAGATGGCTGCTAAGGGCAACAACATCTGTTATGTATTGATTAATTTTGAGTTTTGCTCTTGCACGTATTCGAGTGGCTTTTTCCTTCTTGCTCCTTTTACCAATTTTATCAGGTTTGTACTTCAAATTTTCTTACAAGTGCGATCGCACGCGCAAATTTGTTTACATGTGCGATTTGCCACACACGCGTAATTTTGCTCACGAAAAGGACTGAGAATTATAAGCTTTCTGAAAACAGCACTTTTTGCACAAAACTATATTCTTTTGCAATATAAACAGCGAACTCACATAAAATTTTTACATAAAATTTATGATCTATGCTTATTTTCAGTGGAAGGAAAGAAAAAAGGAACAAACTTGTTTTAAACGGGTTTGATAAAGGATACAAGGCACAGAGCATTCTTGGTGCCACTGATTCTGCTGGTGGGGAACTCCACTTTCTGATATCCTGGTATGATTTTATATTATCACATTTTCATAGTTGTGCTCATTTTAATGAATAACTATTTTGCATAATTCAGTAGGTTTTTCAGTGCATTTTTATGTTTTGTGAATTATTTTTATTGCAGTCATGTAATATAATTGTATCACATTTTCCTAAGTCTACTCTTGTTAGCTAGTGTTTTACCAAATGTTAGCTAGGAAAAAACTTTTAGATTAGCTAGAAAGCTTTTAAATTTGTCACAGGCATTGTCAAAATTTTTCCCAGGGCTAATTCAAGTGATGCAGAACTTATACCTTCCAAAATTGCAAATGTCAAAATACCACAAATGGTTATCAAGTTCTATGAAGATCGGCTAATTTGGACTAATGGTATGTGTATGTTCTTTCATCCTTAATACTACCTAAAAATGATGTTTCATGGTTGCTGTTTGTTAAAAATACATACAATAAAATCTATAAGATAATTAGTTTTTTCTTTTCATCCTGCTCCTGAAAATACCTTAAATTCATATCCTGTCTGCAAATGACATTCAAAAAATCTAAATAACAAGGTCTTTAAAACTTTTTTCCATCATTGCAGTGTTTTCAGTTTCATAATTTAGGTTTCCACTACCTACAATTCAACATGCAAAAACTAGAAAAATCTACTTTACACAAATTGACAAATTTAAAATTAACATAATTCTGTATTAACTACTAACAATAACTGTTTTGAAATATAAATACGATTAAGTTAGAAAAACTATACAGAAGCAAGAAGAGGCTGATCAAGGAGACAGCACCCAATGTTTCGAGGATAATTATTGAAAAATAGTTACCCAATTCTTTTGGAGTTTATATCTGCTTGCAAAAAGTTTAGCAATTCAATGGTTGGTAATTGTTTTCGAAGATAACAGCTTTGAGTTTTCTATGAATGCAAGCTGAAAGCAGACGGTAAACTTCTAATATCCAAAGGAATCAAAAGAAGTAGTATAGAAGAATGAAAGCTTGGCTCAGATTCACCTTCAATTAATGAAGTTCTCATCAATCATTAAATGTATATGGTTTAGAAAGCACAGAAAGTGCTGTCTAAGGAACAAGTTTGACAAAGTCCCTTCAATAATGTCTCTAATGTAATGTGAATACTGGATCATGTTCTTTGGAGAAAAACTTTTGGTGCATTTGCTCCTGTGTGGCCTTAACAATAACAAGTTTTGTGCAAGTAGTTAAAAAGGTAACTTACTGGTCAAGAGTCTATTTGCATAACAATAAAAGATAATAATAATTGATACCTCCTGGTAAGAGGAGAAATGCCTTGCCACACAATCCCTGAAAGATTATTTACATCCATCTTTGTGATTATCAATACAAATTAAACCATTATTTCCCATTTTTTCTGAATTCCTTAGATTATGTTCTTGAATTATAGTGAATATATGTTCTCATTTTTCAGGCTGCATTCTTGCACACAAGGCCTTTTTTAAAAAAAATTGTTCCCATGACATTTGCTCTTTCTCTTTGCTATCTCGTCCGAATATTTTAATCAATGTTGTGTGGTCAGATGCTGCTGTAGTAGTAACCAAATACCCTTTGATATTGCTAAATGACCCTTAATGTGCAGTTTTTCTACATGCATCTTTTGTACTGCAAAGTTTTTGTGTTGGCATTTCTTTTTAGCCATAAAAAGTAAACCTGCTAATCATAAATTTTTATTTGTTTTCATCTTTTTTGTAAATTTTTTTAGTTGCAAAAACTTCATGATGCATATTGTATTATGGCAACCTACGCCATAGACATTAGAAGCACATTTTGTTAATTGATGTCTGTAACATGATTTCTTATCGAGTGAAATGTTTTTTAACGTGTTTGTTTCAACTTCTGTTCCAGCAGCTAATTCTGAGAACGCAGCTGGGTCATCAAAATCTCCTACAGCAGCTCTTGAAAGACCTGACGAAAGTGAACCGCCCCAAAGTACTTCCAATGGAGATGCAAACATGGAAGGGCAGGGCAAACAAGGGGGAGCTGATGCTACTATTGAAACGGCTTAAATATGAAGAGCTTTGTGTAAAACGACATTCATTTATTTCAAGAAGTCACGTGGACTTGGTGTACAAAGATAACATGTAGTAATTTTTGCATATTTGTATCATTGATTCATCTTTGTTCGATAAGACCTGTTTAACAGTATACATTTAGAAGAGGCCGTTGCATGGTTTTCCTTTCTGTTCAACACATATTGTTTCCTATTTAAGTGCTTGTGTGGTTTACTTTTATAAAACCAAGCTTTTTTCAAATATTTTTCAGCAGTGGCCAATTTTTGGTAGATATCAGCAACAAAGCTAAATTCTATCCAAGTTACGAAAGCTTTGTTCGTATTCACGTTAACGTAAGATTAGCCGGTTTCATAAATATAGTGAAAGTTTTTAACCGCATTCGCGTGATTTCCTGCAACTCAGAATCAGGCGATATTCTGCAAGATGCTCGATGTTTGGTACTGGCCAAATTTGTTGAACATAAACGTTTTTAATAATAATTCCGTAAAGTCACTGTACAAGGATTAGCAATTTATTGACTTATTAGTTTGATTTTATTTCATTTTACTGTGATAAAAAGTAGAGTAACTTCATGATTATGGTTTTTTCTTGTGGATATCTTTTTGATTCCAACAGTTACGACAACCTAGCATTCGTATCAATATTTTTCGCTGAATTTATATACAATCAGTGGCTTGGTTTTGTTTCTAAGACGCCATCTATGCGAATACCTTTCAAACGTATTCGTTTCCTTGCGTTTTTTCTTTCCATCTACACAACAGCGATTGATCTATGCCAGAAAACGCAAATTATTAAAAAAGCTTTCCAGAGTGGAATCTTTGAAAACAAGATGATTTCAAAATGTATCGTTTCTTTGCAGGCGCACAACTTTTTTATTCTTTTTCATTTGGATGATGAAGTTACGTAAATCTGCCAATCCAGCAGATTGAAGGATGTGTTCAAGAAATTCAGTCCTAGCTGAACTGAAGCTAAATGGAGATGAAACTGAACTTTTGGTAGTTGTGACGAAAAACAAATGTGCAAAACCCCCAAGCCTAATTACCAGTACTAGGTGTTGCATTATGAAACCAAGAAAGATAGTGAGATTCAGGTGTCATCTTTGACGAAAATTTGTCACTTAAATCACACGCGAACTCTCTATGCAAGTCAGCGAAGTACTACTTGTCTAATGTCCGCTAGGCTAGGAATTATCTTCCCACAAGCTGCCAAAAAGCCATTCATATCTATCAACGTGAGATTTACAAAAGTTGCAAAAAGTTCAGAAATTCTCCTGCCAGTATTTTAACAAGGAAGAAAAGACACAGTCATATAACCCCAGTTCTCTAAATAGCATCTTTGGTTGCCAAAGAATACAAAATATGATTTTAATACTAAAAGCCTGGCCACACGACTAGTTCGTGCGACTTTTTGCTATACATTTGGACTCATTTGAAATCTTGTTTTGTATAGTGTTGAAGCCAAACGGCTACACATTTCACTATGCAACTTGCTCGACTTTCTAACTCTGAACCCCCTTTCACTTAAAGTTGTTGCCCCGCTTCTTCAGAACGGTTTCTTCTTTTACAGCACTTTCATGGCCGCGATCTAGGCTTTTTCTTAGGGTTCGGTGACCTAGAGTCAGGCGTAAAACCTCGCTCTTTCTGTGCTTTAAATTTGCCTACTGTAAATGCATACGCAAACTAACATCAAAGTGTCTTGCTGAATTTGCCACAGTGCGCAGTGCAATCAACAAGATCTGCTCGAGTTTAATTAATACTTGTCGTACCACGGGCAAGGTTTGTGACAGCCGACGATCTTGCCATTTCTAATGCCTCTTCTGGACAGTAGGATAGGCTACCGTTCACACTGCGGGCAGCATGTTTTTGAAATATTCTTAAATGCAATCTTAAGACCTGCTTGTTTAAAGACCATTTTACTTAGATTCTATTTGATTTTACATAAGTTTAACATCGATTTTACCCATTTTAAGTTACAAATTTTTGTAACGTCTCTCCATTTATTCTTACATATGTAGCATTTATATATTCTTATATAGAAATGATATATTGTGCCTTTGAGCAGTAAGGATAAATGGTGTAATATAAACACCTACTACTATTGCCACAATTATCTATGGAACAGTTTTTTTCTTGGTGTTCGCAATACATTTTTAAAGTAAGCACTTTTCTTTGATTCTTCTTTTCTATTAGCCCTAACTTAACCCTCCTTCTACTTTATGTAGATTGATGTTACCTGTGGTGTAAGGCTTTCAATACTCGTTCTTAAAAGAAGCTGCCTCGTTGCTAGCCTACGCCGTAGACCCTCTCCCTTCCCCTTCACAACGAAGATATTTAAAACACATCTCTGCATTTTTTAGAACACTTGTAAACTTAGTCAAACGAGTTTTTCACTAGTTCTGGTAAAAATTTGAAAGTATCACAAGAATTTCTTTGGTTTTTCTTGTCGTCTAGAAAAAGTACATGACGGCCCATTGAAAAGCAAGCTGAAAAGGGAAGCTGTACAACAGTTGATGAATAATTACCGTGCGAATAATGGCCACTAGAGCGAAAAGGAAAACGATCCTACCACAGCCACATTCCAGGAAGAGGTAGCCAGGTAAGGTTCCAGAGCCGAATATAGAAAACCCTTCCTCTATTATTTGCTTCCGCAAAATACTTCAGGTGCGGCAGCCAATTGTGAGGAATGTATCATTCGTGACAAAAACTGCGAATATCAAGCATGTTTATTTATTTGTTCACTTCTGCCACTGCTTCACTTCGTTTGCAGCGAAAGAAAGCATTTTACTTTCGGGTTGACGATGAGGTCACGTGCACGAAGATACCCAGAATTCATGAATGACAGCAACTTCATTTGAAGCGTTTTGCCAACTGCGTTTTGTTCATAAACAGAAAAGTCCGGTCCAGAGCATGTTCTCGACCCCATTTTTTTCCATATTTCGCAGGCATTGCCAGGGGTTTGTAAATACATTTAGTGGCAACATCAATTTCCTAGTCATTATATTCACCGTTGCTTGCATTATAACAACTGCAAACATCTCAATCCCAGAGCGATGTAAATTAGAGATTGCCTTTAACTTTTTGAAGCAAGTCACAACGTACCTTCTTTGGTGCTAAATATAGAGAAATCATTGCTTCTGTAAGTTGGTAACCTTTCTTAACTCACTGATTGACAGTAAAATAAAATGCCTAACATAGATAATAACAGAATATGGGTAAAGGCTTTTTTTCTATTCTGTGAAACGACTTGCAAGAGGTAGTTTTTTGGGTCAAGGTGGGGCCAGGGGCTGAAAACTTCTGCATGGCTCTTGTTAGGAAATTTTTATTGACCAAATTTATATTTCAAGTTGCCATAATGCTTTTATTAATTCTTATTAGGTCCTTTTGTTAACGGTCGAGCTTTCAAAAACGTTGCAAAAAGAGATAAATCAGTTGTTGAAGGAAAAGAAACTGCTAGCACGAAACTTTTTGAGAATACGAGATACATTTTGAACTTCAAACATAAGAAGTTTAAAACTGCAAAGAAATATTTCGTGGTAGAACGATAAAGGGCAGCAATCTATACTTTGAAAATATAGATGTAATAATAAATTCTATTAAAACTTAGACCAGCCTAGTTTGAATTTTTTCAAGTGTAGATTCGTTTTTATCAAAAGTGCATTATTCCCGGATATTCTAAAATCAAATTCTACAAAACTATATCCCAAATGCCCAGAATTGCTCAATCTTGATTTTTTTCGTATTTTAAATTTTTATTCAAATATTTCGAATTTTGTTGACATTTCAAAGTCTGTGTTTTATTGCTAAATCGCATTTCATTTATTGTTCTCTTTAATCGTATTTTGGTTCCTTATCTTATGTAAAAAAGTTGATTATTAGCTGCACAAAAAAGGCCATTCTAAAATTTGTAAGACCTTCCTTTTTCATTCCAACGTCAAAATAGACGAAACTATGAAAAAGAGTAGCAGAACAAAGCTTGAACATATTTCCTTGGATTTTCCCTTCATTCAATGCAGTTTCTGGCGATCTCCAGAATACAATATGTCTAAAATTTTTATTGCTGCCAACCATGGTCGCAGCTTTTACTGAACCCTTTTACAACTTTATTTCGGGCCCTCCACTTTCAAACACGTTTCGCCGACCCTGGAAGAAGATCGTGTGACCTAACATCATATCCTTCCTTGTAACTTGTAAATTCATAAAATATTTCTTTCCTCGAGCAGAAGGATATAAAATACGACCTACGAACAAATAGACTTTTGCAATCCCTTAAAATAAATACGATAGTTTATGGGAACAATTATCAATTAATGGAAGTAAATTGTGGCTCTTGTGGTATCATTAGGACCATAATCATCATCAATGTTGCCTAACTCAACAACAATGTACAAACCATTTTAAGAAATGCGTTTAAGAGATGGAAGGGAGATGCATTTTATTTCGCGAAGCCTTAGGCTGTGGCCCTGTATTTTTTACTTGGTTGTTCTTAATATGTACGATTAATTATACAGTTAATCTGAAGAAGAATCAAAAGAAAAAAGGAGGATCATCGTATTTGAGTGAATCTAATAAATTGCGTGATCTGCACAGTTTCAATGCAATTAAAACGAATTTTTACTGAATAAATACCGGTGTTTTCCTAAATTCATTTTGCTTTAATCTTAAAATACCTGTTCTGTGGTTTTTACAAATCTAAAAGCTTCGATCTAGCAAACAAAATAAGATCTTTCTCAATGGCAGGAAGCAATTGAAGCATGATGCGTAGCACTGAAGTACACTTCCTGTGACATACGAAAAGTATACTTGAGTGCTGTCTGTTATGTTTGCACCTTGACGTGCCATTTTGAAAATTTTACATTACAAAAGGCTTATTGAAATATGAACTATAATGTATTAGGATTGTTATATGCATTTCTAATCTACAATGTAATGAGAGTCACTGCGTATTTGATATTTTAAGGTTAAATCCTATTTGCCATTTTCTGATTAGTACAGTGCTGGGGTCACGTCCCTCCAGTTCTCAGCAGGATCGATTTTGTATTTTGCCTAAATTCGACAAGAAAATGTTAGGAGAAGGGTAACATTTTGGCCATGTAGTTTTTGTAATGTATTTCATGATTTTGAAACTGCCTTTGCATAACCAAAAGTTGGTCATGGGCTTTCCTTATTGGCAAAATTTGCCTTCCTTGTTGGCAAACGGGCCTTTTCTGACAGTAGAAAAGGCGTGGCCTAAATTTGTTCGTTTAGTCTATATTACTATGTTAACATGAGTTGCATAAATTAACATAGTAATGTCGACTAGGGTCCAGTCTTACTACACCAGAGCTTAGTGGCTTGCGCCGCGCCTGCGTGCTGTGACCGAGGGGCATATCACTCCACGGAAATCTCGCACTCTTGGGAGATATCCTTTTGTTTCAGAGAAAAATCCCCCAAAATCCTAAAAATCCTTTTGCTCTGAAAAAATATCCTATGATGTTTGAAAAAAGTGATACATCCCTCGGCTGTGACGAGGGGCGAGTTACTCTATAGAAATCTCGTAAACGCCTTTCGTACAGACACGATCCTGCCATATGACAAATTCCAGGAAATTCTTTTGTTCTGGTGGAAATCTTGTACGTTTTTTGAAAGGGAAATGCATTGGTGTTATAGGGGAGCAACAACGCTATTATAGACTAACAGATCTCTAGCCAGAGTTCTTAGTAAATTGACATCAAGACAGCACAAAAAACTAATTAGCTGGTAGTCCTGTTACTGAACAAATAGAGACGTAATCCAATCAATCCCTATATCTTTAAACAGCTGTTCATATCTGAATTCTATACTTAAAAAACAGCATTTCGAGCATGAACCTAATAGGCGGCATGATGACACAACAGTTCACTCTAAGCCGTTTGCTTTTTCATCAATAATAAAAGTTATCTGAAAATTTGACCACCATTTCCTGAAATTTTTTTGTCGGGAATTTAAATTATCTGAAATGAAGAAGGCCCCCTTTTGTTTTGAAAGTCCCCTTAATTAATTCTCGCACATACAAATAAATATAGTCGTTAAAAGTTGCAAAAATTTAAAAATCCAAACATGATTCTAGTTTGGATACAGAAACGTTAATCATACAAAAAATATCCAAAACTATACGCTCAGGGGCGGCGCCAGCCCCAAAATAGTGGGGTGGGCAATGAAGGAGTGGAGCTGATAAAGGGGTCTGGATGAGAAACCGGTGCAACACCGTACCAGAAATCGCACTCGTTACTGATAACCAAGTTTGACATATTTTGAAATTTTCAATAGAAGAGTTCAATTCCATAGGCACATAGAAGCTAAAAACATAAAAGTTAATTTCAGAGTGGTAATTTTCGGCTAGCAATGGTTTTAAACTTATTAACAAGGCTTTCTTTGTCTATTTTATCTGCCATATCTCGATCGAAGCTAATTTGAACAAGTTTTTCCAACCTTTCGTCTGATATTCAGGCTAAACAGTGATGCAGCTGTAACAGGTGGGGCTGCAAATACTATCCTTATAGCGTAAAAAAGTTTAGGTACAAGTTTTAAAACCAATTATTGTCCAAAACCTTAAACAGGGAGGGAAGGCAATAATCACACTCTAAGAACCAACTGTTTAGCACGATAAAGCTGTGTTTTATAGATCATCTTCATTTAAGTTTCTCACTATTTACGAAAATGATGATCCAACACACCATTCTCTATGTCAGCTAAGATCTGAAACGAACCGTAACTGCCCATCAAAATGAACAAGGTTCCAATCCCAGAGAAGAAACTAACACCCTCACCCAGTTTTGGAAAAATTAGAAAGTCGAACTGAAAAAAGTGGGGTGGACATGTGCACCCCAGTCCAGCCCGTGGCGCCGCCCCTGTATACGTTTTAAGTTAAATCTTTGCAGAACGTTTTTTAAAATCTGAAGTGAACGATTTAAATCTTCTACTCCGCGTCCCTGTCAAAATATCCTTAAATGCATTTCTAAATCGTTTGCTAAGCAACGCATACAGAATTGGATTGACTGTTGAATTCAGCATCGCTAGGCAATAGGAGAAAAGTGCTGAGCCAGGGTCGATATCCCGGCTGGGTGTAAGTTGGAAAACTCTAAGAAATGTGACAACATAATAAGGAATCCAACATATAGCAAAAGCTATCACAATTGCAAACATCATGTGCAACGCACGTATTTTCACACTTCTTGACTGGCGGACACTACGTGATCTGGTGTTTTCCGCTGTCGGTATATTACGCCGCTTCCAAACTGAATATGACATTCGGGCGTATATTAGTACCAGCCCGATGATAATTGGTAAACCAATGAGAAGCTTGATAATAAGACTGAGTTTAGTGGAAGAATCCGATATGTGTTTGCCACTTATTCTATTACAGACATCATAGGTGCCACTGTTCAGCTTCTCTTTATTTATCCCACCTTTAAACACATTTATCACACCAATGGCTGCGCTAAATATCCATATAACAACCATTGTTGTTATGCACTTTTTGCGACTGAAAAACGCATGGCGACGTTGAACGGCGAAGTATCTATCCAAAGCGATCGCAGCCATCGTAAGAATAGACACCACACCACAAACATTCACCACATAAACGGTGGCTGTACAAAAGCCATTATTTAACATCCAAGCAGGCCAGTAGAAGACGAAATAAACAGTCAAAACTGGCATTGGAAAAATGCAAATGAGAACATCGGTTAAGGCTAGGCTGAGAACTAGCAAGTTGATAATCATATTGCTCAGTCTTGTGGTTGTTATAGCAATGATAACAAGAATATTCCCTACCACGCCAGGCAGTATTCCGATCAACACCGAAGAGCCCATTGCAATCTTTAATCCCAACGAAATTTCGTCCTTTTGTACATTTGCTTGAAACACTGATGCAGTTGAGTTGATCAGCATTGTGGTCGTGCCTTGGGGACTGGCTGTCCCGTTTATGGTCATGTTTACTGAAATTTTTCTGCTTCGCTCCGTATCATCTCTTCATGCTGTGCATAGGGAAGTTGGTAAAGAATATCTTTGCCTTTTACACTGACTACAGCCTTCTAGTGAATTCTTCTCTGTTGAAAGAAAGTAATTTCGTTTTATTTCAAAGACACGTTCCGTAACGCTAATTGTGACGAAAGGCTTATTAACGACAATGCAACAATAGGAGTGGGAAGAAAGAACTAAAAGCATCTCTCACGTGAGTCCTTTTTATGTCGAATTGTTTCACCATGTGATATTCATCGGAAACAAAGCACCTTCGAGAGAAAGATGTAAATGACCCTAACAAGATAATAGATTATAGCTTTGAGGCTATAAGGTAAATGTTTTTGCATTACTCCAGCTGCCAAATTCAAATTTTTTTATCGAACAGAAACAGAACGCTCAATTTTAAAAAAAAGAAACAGTGCTAAGAAACAACAGAAAAAATCTAGTAGAAGGACGCACCCATGCTGGCAACTACACACCACCTGCAAACATTTCCTCTGCCAACGAAGAGGGGTGACCGATTCAAAAGTACGATATAAACGTTTATTTATCGAACGAACTTACAAGTCATACATACTAGGTAGTATATTCAGCTGCATTGCAGGTCGAAGTTGACATTTCAGGATGGTGATTTTCTAAGTAATCGAAATCCTGCAAATATTTAATAAGCTTTGTACTGAAATCACATCATGATTAAACTATTTTCAGTGCAAAAATTAGTGAACCGTAGGAGTTATGATGATAAATTATAGCTCGCTTGTATGTTTTGAAATTTCATTTTATTTTTAGATGATTTACCAGATGGGTAGGGGAAAAGGGGGTCGTCCTAAAAATTGTCTAGAGAGGGAGATTCTAAGTTCACTTGATAGAAGACTGCTTTTCTCCATACCTCTGCCCGACAAATCAGGCGCGTAGAAAGGGGAAAATGTGGGGATACCCACGAAGGGGAGGGATGCTTTGTTGCCACACATGTTGACAAAAGAAACACAAAAGGCTTCCCGGCACAGCTTTAAATCGCATTTTCAAAACCCTAAACCCTCGAATTGAATTTGTTGTGGTAATTCAATAAAACGCCATCAGCAACCTCAGATGGCAAAAATCATCAGTTTGTGAAAGTTGCCGTGTGGCCCCCGAAAAAAATCTTACAAGTCAGTGGCCCCAGAAGAACATCAACATGTTTTTTGTGGCCATAAAAGTGGCTTACATCCACTTGACCCTCATGTGTTGACCAATTGATTTACGCCCAGAGAAAAACATGTGAACAATTTCCGCCTTTCTGCCAATCGGCGAGAAGCTAGGATGGTTTCACGTGAGTAGTTTCAAATTCCTTTTAAACGCGCGTGCTTTGATTGAGTTATTTTTGGATTCGCTGTACTTATGCATGTCAAATGCCTTTAAGAACCCCATGCCATATGATATGCCGAATTTGGCATGTTTTGAAGGTGATTTGCATACGAAACCTGTGGCATATTTCTGATAAATTTGCAATATTTGCAATGCTTTTTCTCATGAAAACTCTCAATCAGGAAATAAAAGCCCAACAGCAACTTTAATTTCCTAAGATCAAGTGCAATTTGAAATAACTCTCCATGTTCGAGTGCGTTGGCATTGTAAAATAAAGCATAAAATAATTTTTACCACCAATGGCCTGAAATTTTAACGCAGGCTACTCTTCACTCACATCACTTTCAGCAGATACTGTCAGTAGCTGTTTCTCGTTTGGAAAAGTTATCGTGGATGTATTGGGAGTTTAAGATATAAATACCCCTTCGATTTCCCTCCATCTTTTTATATCTCCAAATCTTTCATATCTCCTACATCATAACGTTTGGCGTTTCAAATTTATATTTGCATTCGTTTACCTGTAACCTGTTTATGCATTTGTAATGATTGCCATCTTTCATATCACATACTAGGAATTCCTGACATAAAGTTTATGATAAACATCCCAAAGGACGTCAAGCTGCCTATCATACCAGGCAAGGGAAAATAAAAAATCCCAATTGGATTCTGGATACACACCTTATTCTTATTGCGTGTTAATATTCCCAACTTCTCTTGATACCACACTGTAGATTGGCTTATATTATAACTGCAACTGCATACAATTTACCGCCAACTTCCTTCTTATCATAGTTCGAAACAGCTATGCCTTTATGAGCCTGATCACCCGCTGACCACCAATGACGTCAGTTCCTTTTGATGTCGTATTGGAAGCTGAACAGGTCAGTTGGCCTACGCAAACATCATTAGGCCCAATCAACCTTCCTCTAAAATATTGAATGAAGTTTCCTTTTCGAACAATGCTGAAGCAGCGTCATAGTCTAACTTTAAAATGTTTGAATTCGGACCTATTTTCATCATGAAACATTCAAAAAACTCAAAAATTTTCTGGATACGTTAGGTTGATTAATGTATGACCATTGATTATAAAAAACGTAAATTACAACAAAGCTTGATAATAATAAAAACAGTTTAATACGTTAATCAGCTGGTGGACACACGGGGAAAAACCTAAAGAAGACAATAATATCTATGTCCCCAGTTTTTATGGGATGATTTGACAGAAAGTTTTTTTAGCTATATTAGATAGTTTCAGATTATTAACAATAAGGATGAAAAATGCTAGCATTTAATTTTCTAGATACTAGAATAGCAAAAAATAGGAGCTAAGTAGCAATTTTAAAAATATTTGTTGCTTTCAAGCCACAATGCACCGAGGCTTTACGCAAACGCCCTTGTGCTCTCAGAGACAGAAACGAGGGTGGTACTTTCTTGGCTTAAGCACCCCCGCACTAGTTTTCGAAAAAAGAGGAAAAGTTTTTTGAAAATTTTATTGAAGACCGTTGTTGTTTTTAGTCAATATAGCATTACATTAATATTAATTTTGTCCTTTTGTGTAAAGTAGATTTGTCTAGCTGAAGATGAAATTTGACCTGATAGATGATAAAGAAATGTTATCTAACTTATTCAACGAAAGACCTAAAGCCACACTCAAAATATATTTCAATCTTGATTTACATTAGCTCCCAAATAGGCAGCCCCTTCTCCTAAAAAAGTTTTGCAATCACGCCCTTTAGATCACCTTAAATTCTTTCATTTCATTAAAATGTTTTACTATTTATAAGGCATAATGATGTTACTTCTAACAAATTCCAGTTTATAAGGCCCCGTAGACATTGAGGCCCTGAGGCAATTTGTTCTTTGCCCCCTCCCCACTTGGCATTGAATAGATCAAAAGGTTACATGAAATTGATTCTTGACCTCATGTAATATTTTTTCTATGTGAATTCTCAAAAATCTTAAATGCAAAAAATTTCGTCGCGAAAAAATTTCTTTTCATTTTGAATTTAGTCAAAGAAAATTTCGTCAAAATATTTGTTCGAAATTTTGTCACGACGAATTTTTTTGTGGTTAATGTATTTTGTAGATTTTTATTAAGGGCCCTTTGCTAGTCAACCACATTGTGGAAGAGTTTCTTATAGGAATAAACAGGAGACAGAATGCAGCTTGTCTCACACCTGATAAGACGTATATCGTGAAAGCGCTTGTTTCATCTGTATTCTAATTATTTTCCTCTGCTATTCTTCTGTGGATGAGAAGCTTTTGCGTTCTTTCAAGGACCAAGAAAAATAGCTATAGCCCACAATAATGGAGATCTAGATTAAGTGCTTTGGAAGTGTGGTTTGGATTATGCGGACAGACAAAGAGGTCAACGATCAAATCTGGGGAAAAATTGGATAAGAAAATAGGAATGGCGATGCTGGAAAGAAATACTTAACACCATCAAAGCGAGCCATAACGTTTTCAAATGGATATCAGCCACCTTGGGGCATGTCTATGTCTATTCACCCCCCTTCCGAGGGGCGATTCTCTCTTGCAAACAGCGTACAAGATTTTGCCTAAAACAAAAGGATTTCTGGGGATTTTCAGATAAAACAATAGGATTTTCACAAAAGGTGCACGAGATTTTCTTAGAGTGATTTGCCCCTCGAGCCTAAGTATAGATTTATTTACCAATTACACTTTGTTTTGTTTACGTAGCTATTTTGTATATGATGTAGATTCTTAGGAAATCCCCCTTGTGTCTTGAATGTTCTGTTTTCGCTTACTATTTTCAAGAGTGAATAGCCCCTCGCTTAGGCTGGCATTATTTTAGCTCTATTACAATGCGGGGGGACAGGACTGGCAGAAAGGGCACCTTGGGGTGTCAAAGTTTGCTTATGAAACCTGGTTGTAGGTGAAATCCCTGTCAAAGAGAGTGAGTTGGTGTTCTGTGGGCCTAGCCCCCTAGGGAAATTTTGCGCTGCTACGCCCTAAAGACTCTCGGAAATAAAGGTCGCACCCATGGAAAATATACTTGAATCAAGACTACAGTCAAGCTTCATTCTCGAAATTCCTTTCACCCGAACATCAACAATCAAGCCATCAAGCCATCATGGTTTACCTTAAAAACTAAATTTTTTCCTGATGACCATCTACATGGCTTGATATTACTTTTGGATATAACTCCTTTGAACTAACTGTTTTTTGTTTCTTGGTTTAAAGTTGGTACAATCTGCAGCTATATTAACCTATGGCACCTATGGCCAATTTTCCATCGCCACCACCTTTCGGTAACCTTTGTTGTAAGCTTGTTTTTAGTGCATTTAAAAGCAGATCGAAAAGTAACATTTTAGATCATTGCCTCAAAAGGTCAACCCTTTGCTCATTTCGTATAACACCTAAGCAACTCAAGGGCACTTTTTGGTCAGGCAGTTGGCAAAAAGAGCAACTCGGTGAGCTGCAAAGAGGTAGATGAACTGAATTTTGGAAAAAAGATGGGTCTGTGCCCACTGTGGCCCCCCGGTTCCTGTCACTTTGCTTGAATTTAAGACATCATTGATGCCTTGACTGATATATGGAACATATGCGAGGCCAAGCCAACGTTGATAGCAATCTGAAATCTGTTTCGCATGATCATGAAAGCTAAAGAGAACTTATCAACGCTTTACAAATCGATTTTCAGTTCTCATCAAAATGGAAAATGATTTTCAGTTCAATATTGACTTTTTTCTTGCATTTAGATATCAAGAGATGCTTGAAACCTAGATTTTATTGGCATTCAAAATATTTATATGAATTATTATTGCTCGGAGATCAACTTCTTGAAAAGGCACTTTGCTTTCCCCGCTGCCCCCGTGGCTCCGGTGCCCTTTCTTGCTAGAAAATTTACCGATTTCAAACGCAATTTTCGTTAAAACCTTTCAATGGATTTTCTTGGAACTTTACTTGAAGCGTCTTTGGTCATTCGAATTACTTGTTTGTCAAAAAATTCGATTTTATCGATGGGAACAATTTTTTGTCAAGATGGCAGCGACCAAAAAGAAAGAATTAACATAGAACACTTGAAATAGTGTTTTTCATAATAATGGGAAAAGCTATTGTGAAATCTCAAAAACCATTGGTTGCTCAAAATCTGCTGCTTTCAATATTTGCAAAAACAAGAAGCGTGAAAAAACAAGAATAGCTATCATAGCTTTTGCAGGCTATCATAGTCACTCTATCATAAGTTGCGTTATTTTTTCTGCAAGTATAGGTTAATCGCGATAATATCAATTGTGAATACATACAATTGTGCAAGTTTTTGTAGCAGGGGGTCTGCCATTTTGATTAGCTTTTTGGCGCGAAATTACGTTGCTGACGACATCAATGCTGCTTAGCTACAATTCAATATTGCAACCGTACATACAGCAACTTTTTAAAGACACTTGACAACATTTTCAATTTTAGACATGTAATAACTACCAAATTCTCCTTATGGAACTCAGTAGATGAATGGAGCTCTCAATAGTGACAAATCTGCTGTTACTCTTACTTTTCTTGGAATTTACAACATCGTCGTCGTCGTTGACAACGGAAATAAACTGCAATAATGCAAATGGTAGGCTAGAATTTGGATTATAATTCTATGTGACTGGTGGAAAGCTAAACATAATTAAATAAACTCACCAAGCATGGATAATTGATAATAAACAAAAAATGAGGTCAGTTTCTGATTTGACTGAAGTCTTTAAGTTTCATTCAAAGTTTGTTCACATTGCCAGTTAATCGTGCAACCAAATATTTACATTGATGCTACAGCATTTATTTTGCTACAGCAGGTTTTGTGTCAATACTTGTTCAACTTACCTATTTCCAGTATATTGTTTTTAAATATCTGCCTTTTATCTTTAGATAAATCGTAAAATTACACTCAAAAAGAAAAAAATTCCCTGAGATTTTTCAATCTAAATTTAAAAGCTAGATTTTTCAGAAACTCTTTTTAAGTGGCAGAACGCAAATTAGATGTTTGTCAAGCGGGAAAATAAACGGCTTGAGGGGCTGTAACCGAAGGCATTAAATTTGAATTGGTTCTTCAGCTATCTTGTGGGCAACTGATCTTTTCCTAAAGGATATAAGAAGGGTGGGATAAGCTGCCTAAATATTGGACTTCCTCAGGGTTCTGTTTCAGCTCCTTTGCTTCTTAATTTAATCAATTGGCTTTGAATTGCCAAGATGAATGCCATAAATGACTGCCATAGATGAGAAAATAGCTTTGAAAACGAGTTATTTGTATTGGGACTCTCATACACTTCCCTGTTAAAACCCTCGTTAAATAAGCCCCTAACCACAAATGTCTTAAAAGTTAAACTTCTAGGGGCCTAATTCAAGGAATCACGGTATGCATCATAAATTTTTGAAGAAAATAGAGAAAGGAATTTGACCGTTGATAGTAGAGTCTCTACTTTCTTTGGTACTTAGAATCTTAGTTTGTCAACCGTGTTGCATTGCTGTATCAAAAACTATCCTTATAAAATTCAATTCAATAATTTAATATAAGGAAACAATCAACATTTTAGAAATGCGTTTTTTCTTTAAAGACATTTGGCTTACAAGGTAAAGCACTTTGATTCAGAAAGTTACAAAATATTTCCTTTTGTTGCCCTAAATGTGCATCGCTTATATAAATGAGCTGAGTATGTGAATATGGTAATACTTCTAATTAGCACCTCCCTCTTATCGCCGCTGATTTTTTGACAAATATTTTATAAGCGCCGCCTTCTGATTAGCTTTGCATCATCTAAAATTGTTCTTTACTGCTGCACCGCTTTCTTATTAGCGCTGCATTTTTTAACCATACCTAACTCAAGAGACAAAGAAATAAGCTTTTTTTCCAACAACATAATTTTTTTCTTTTTATGGAATGCATTATGTAGCCACATATAAAGATTTACTATTTTTAATTCTTTTTTCAATCAGTGGCACCCCCTATTTATTGCCCCATATCTGCTTGCAAGTTCTTTATTAGCACCGCGGCGCTTATTAGAAGTAACAAGGTGGCTATTCTTAACAAAGTTGGTGTCTCATACTCCTCCATCTAGGCAACCTAGTTTCATTTCTTCTTTCATCATTTCTCAACTTTTTTTTTGAAATACTTCTGGATTGATGAAATTTTATAAGGTACAATATATTCAGTGAAATTTTCCTGCAAAAAAAATGTTTACATATCTATAATTTTGAAAGATATTGCAATAGTTTTCCAAAAACAGAAACTAGTGGTTCTCTAAAACTACTTAGCTCTTCTATAATCTTGTTTTAATGTTTTTTAACATTGCCTTTTGGGAGACTTTTTAAAATATGAGCCATGGATGTGCTTTTCTATGGTCATCTACATACGCTGACTCATGATAACGACAGCAGCCGTGACTTTTTCGTCTCCTTAATTAAACAGTAGGTCAATTAATAGCCAGGGATAAAAGTTTTCTATTAAAGAGTATCTGTCAATTCTTGCTAGCTTGACCTCTCTGCCCTGAAAATGATTCTAACACTTGGCAGGACAAAGGGAGCCAGATTTTGACATCTACGCGTGGTTTGTCTCCTTGAACATCTGCAGGAGTATGGGACACCGCTCAGTATGAACACGATGAGACTTATGATAAGAAGTGAACAATTGTAATCTTTCTGTCTCTAGTGACAGAGGACAGAAGGCATTTCTATGGAGTTGTTGGAAAAAAGATTGCTGTTTGTGTTTGTTTTCGGAGTGACAAAAGCATCACACTGGAGCTCCCATTGGCAATCAACAGTGTTATTGGATATGAAAAAAGTGGAAAGAAGTTCAGTCTTCCTAAGACGCTCAATGTTCAATCAGGCAATGGACTCAAATCACGATACTGTATACAGTTTGTTTTCTTCGAAAGAAAACATTATGAAATTCCTGCATATCTTGAGCAGAGGCGTGAACGCATCGATGTGTCTTTCCGTGTCAGCGTTATAACTCTGTCAAAATTCGACATTCAAAATGTGACTGCCCATAAAGAAGGACATTTAGAAGTGCATCTGTATCAATTTGTATTTATTCGTCTTGAAGTATTCACATTTAAAGGTGCTGTCATCTTTCAAATTGACTTTAGCGATGGTGTGACTGAGCAGTATGAATCCAACAGAGGTTCATCAGAGTTTGTACATGCTTATCAAAAAATTGGCACGTACAATGTTTCAGTTTTTCTTGCATACACATCAGATACTGGCTTTCAGTGTCTGGCTCACAGCTTTCCTGTCAGTGTGACGTCAAGAAACAGTTATAGAGGTGGAGAGAGAAGGCTACAAGAGCAATCTGATAGAACACACCAAACGTATAGATGGGAATTCTTGCAAGATAGCATAGTGGTAGGACATGGACAATTTTCCTCTACTCGCAAATATCGTATGAAGGAGACCAGCACTAAGTATTTAACAGAGCGGTCAGATTTTCAGTCAAACGATTTAACAGTGCAAAGTTTATCTTCTGCATATATAACTACTATATCGATGGTCCCATATAGGGGAAACCTTGCAGTAGAAGGCAAAAATTTTACTATTGAAGTCATAGTCGAGCCTCTTGGTGAAACATATCAATATCTATGGACCTCAATCAAAGGAAATACAGTTTATATAAGGCAAAATGACAATCTAGCTACATTCAAAGCTTTAAAAGGATCTTCAGACTTAATAATGGTTTTTGTTAATAGTCGAATCAACAGAGTGACTTCTAGCTACACAGCACAGATTGAAAAGCCATTTGATCAATTCACTGTTGAATACAAGAGCAATAACAATTTTGAATTCGGATTTCCAATGCTCCTTCAAATAAAGTCTGATGGTCTAGACAGATCTGGTGTGCGCTACACACTTATTTGTCAAGGACTGCATGTTGCATATACTTCTAAAATCGGTCACATCACTTTCTTGGATGCTACTTTGCCTCTATATGGAAATTTAACGTGCGATCTAATAGCAGACGTCGCTTCTCCATACACACCAATCGATGCTTACTGTGCTCCGGGTGTCACACCAACAAACCGACAATACATCATAAGCAGAAATAAAATGCAAAACCTTACATACGACGTAAAGGTGAATGGGACCAGCATGCTTTCCAAAGCCATACCAACACACCAAATATTTTTCGTTGAACTCGCCTGCGACGGGGTTGGGGCGCGGTTAAAAGTTCAATTTCAGGACATTGTTTTGGAAAATTGGCCTGAATGGAACCAAAATCTAAACAATACTAAAACAGTTTTCCAGCTTTTTTCGAAAAAAGGCGGACGCTTTAATATACTGCTTAGTGCCTGGAATTGGGTCTCAAACAAATCGAAGACATTTGAAGTCTTAATTCTTGACAGAATTACTGATTTCTCAATAGAAACGCTTGATTACATTGTGGTCAAAAAGGTTGCGACATTTTCGCTATCACCACACAACGGAACGTCAGTTACATATATATGGAATATTAACAACGTATCAGTCGGTGTACTAAATGAAGATCGCCATTTTCATTACATCTTTAATGCAAGCGGTCAAATCAACATCAGCGTTATTGCAACGAATGAAATCAGCAAAGCCGTGGCAAACAAACAGGCATACGTACATGAAGATCTGACCTATGTCTCTTGGGGCTACACGCAAAACATAACAAATATTGCAACCAACAAAACCTTTCCAATTAATCTGACAATTCACTCCGGGCTTCCCGTTTTATTATCAATCGAAGTAGGGTCCCATGTTATGGTAAATCGTACAGTCGAGCCATCGGTAAACAATGTCTTTTACTATGCATTCGGCAGCCCAGGCCTCTACGATATAAACGCCGTTGTGAGTAGTCCGATTGGCAGTCGGTTTCAATTATCACATGTTTTAAACGTAGAGAACACGATTAAAGGCGTGGTTGCCAAATGGACAAGAAATATCACTACCTTCTGTGTCCCGTTTGATATGGAAATTTACGCCACAGCCGAGCAGGGGACAAATATTTACTGCAACATAAGTTCTGGACCTACCAACACGGTGACAAAGCAAGCATTGTATGACAACATTAACAAAGTGTCCTTTTGTCGTGTCACATACCGGCTAATCAATTTTGGCACATACCAATTCTCAACGGCAATGTACAATTCTGTTAGTGCAGAAAAAGTATTTAGCAAACCGATCCATGGGGTCAACTCGTCTATGTCGACTTTCGCGCTTAAGATCACATCAGGATATGCAAAACTTGGAACTGATAGTTTAGCGAAAATTGTCACTGACTTTGACTGTCCGTTTGCATCGTGCAGTATAGATTTTGGAGACGGCTCTTCACCTCAAGTGTCGTATCAAATTCAAAATGGTTCAGTATTTCGTCATGTATATTCAGCTATTGGCTTATATCTGATATCAGGTAGAGTCACCTTGAGCCGTAAGTTTTAAATTAAAAATAGCTTGTCAACATTACATAACAAGAAAGGCCAAAATCTCCCCGACATGCAAATTTTTTCGGAAAAAGCTTTTACAGACATTTACGTGATTAATTTAAAGACTTCAAAGCTGCTGCAGTTACAAAAATACACAAAATTTCTGCTTAATTTGAAAAACGGTAAAACAGTAGAGTTCAGAAATAGCAGCAAAATCGATTCTCGTTCAGCTACCGTTTTACATTATTATTTCTTCGAATCTGCTTGATTCAGAAAAAGTATATGAATAAATTCTGCTAAGCCAATCAGTGTCAAATCAGCTAATCACGAGCGACATTTTTGTCAATTCAGCCAATCACGAGCTCACATCTGGGTACTTTTTTTATTCTCTGGTCGTACAGCCAGTTTTAAGACGACCTAATTAATGGCTTCATAAAAGCTCTAGTCTAATGTTGAAATCAATCAAACTTGATAAAATCGGTTTATCTATCAATTTTTTTATTGGTCAACTTGCCAGTAGCTCTCAAAATTTTGCAACCACTTTCAAGGCTGTCACGTTTTAGGTTTAGGTTTTAGGCATCATCATTTGCAGTTTACATTGCAAAATATTTCCGTGGTTCAGGTTTGAATATTTCTTTTGTTTTAATAATTTTTTAATGTAGCTTTTGTCTCTGCATCCTGTAACAATTCGATTCCAATAGGCCCATATTAAATTTCCAAATGTTTACCGAGGCACTTGTTTGAGACTGGCCCTTATAGGAAGTAGGCGCTCACCTATTCCCTCGTAATATTAAAGGAGGACAAAAAAGGCAAGTAGAAATAAAGTCTTTGCAGCGGCTGCCAGCTACGTTTTAATTATTGCTCGCCTTGCTCAACAGAAGAAAACATTTTGTGACGTAGCTGGATATCATACAAACTCAGTTTGAAAGGGTTTGCATTCCAAAAAGTCAGGATGGGGCAAACATGTAGTAGGCAACTTCAAGAAGCCACAGCCTTGACCACACCCAGTATACTTCACTCAGTGCAGTTTTATTTCAAGGTGATCAGTCTGTTGAAAAAACTCGTTATTTCGATAGTTTTCTCAATTCCGCAGATAAAGCTGATTTTTACTGTACATGTCAATTTACGCCCACTTTCCACGACTGGTTTTCAAGAAAATACTTTCCATATCATCATTTACTTTTAGTACAGTGCTACCTCTATCATCTTTCTTGGTCTTAGTTTAAATGAAATATTTGCCTCTATTTCTGCAACATCTGGGTTCAAGCTTACGTAATTTAAATCTAACCAAAATGATGCAATTCAAAGACAATTAGAGTGACCTAATACAACAGTTTTTCTTTCAGGAACATGTTCGTCTTATAATGAAACAAAGAGAACATCAGCAGAAAGCCAAGTGATCAACCCATTGATAATAATTGAGGTCTCTTCTGAAGATGACTGTGTTATCGAAGGCCAGCCTTATATCGTTCAAACGAAGTTCAAATACAACACAGAGAAGGTATGGGCGGTCAAACTCAATGATACCGCTATTGAAAATCTACGAGATGTCGTTTTTGATAGTGGGTTGAATGCCAAAATTCAAATTGGCTCAGATCTTTATGACAGTCATGGCAACACTACAGTTGAAATAGTGATTTCTGATGTTCTTGAAAAGAAAGTCATCACTAAGCAAATTTGTGTCCTACGCCAAATGAATTTGATAAATATAACGGTTGCAAAGGCGGCTCAACCTTACGAGTTTGTAACTTTTTATGTCGAGAGTAGACGTGAGAGTGGAAGTTTAACAATGACGATAAAATATGGCAACGGCAGGACAGGTAATAAAATGCTAATGAATTCTTTAGAAACATTTTCTAATTCTTACAGAGATCTAGGACATTATAACTACACTTGGGAAGTATCAGGTGCAGCAGGTATTCAGAGGGGAAGTGGTATAGTCAAAGTCATGTGGGCAGTTTTAAAAAGCTATGACTATGAATTCACTGCTAATATCAAGACGTTATACTGGCCAGCTAATGAAGTACGGTTTTTTGCACGAGCAGATTGCAGATATCTCTCAGGGGATACAGCTACCGATGCATATTTCAGAATCATGTTGAGTGATGGAACATTTTTAACCGACTGGCGGGAATTTCCTCAGCCTTCCTGTTGGGACTACGCCTATCTGTTCACTTACAAATTCAAGAAACCAGGTTGCTGGAAGGTCTGGCTTGAGCTTAAGAACCTTCTAGGCTACTGTGCTATAACGGAGAGAGTAGATGTTGTTTTAGAGTTCAAAGTTCATTCACTGGTAATCGAAAATGTTCCACCAGTGAGACGCGTCGTCAAAGAAATTGACGGCAAACAGGTACTGCATCTAAGAAAAGTTGACCCTTTTCGTGTTGTTTCCAACATTACCGGAGGCTTCTGCAGACAATATACGTATGATATGATTTACACTAGGTTTCGCTGGTACCACGAGGACAAAGACATATTAGAAATTTCATACTTTGTAGGGAAAGGTGGCACCTATGATTTACGATTCTTTGTTGAAAACAAAGCATCTGGCTATGAAAAAATACAGCGTTTGGCTCTTGTAGACTCACTAATAGGGCTGAAATTGCTAGCTTCTGATCCTGATCAAGATGGCGTTGTATCTTTCTATTTGTTGGTTCAAGATCCAGGCACAGACACAAATGTTACTTGGAACTTGATTGTAGAGGAGGAATTCACTGAAAGAAATCCAGCGTTCTCAGCCGCTGCTTCACTCCCAAATATAACAGCTGTAGAGGAAGCAAAAAGGATTGACTTGGGAAAATATATTGGTTATATAAAACAGTACAGATTCAGATCGTCTGGATCTTATCCGGTCACTGTTTCTGCTAGTGACCCCTTCTTAACACTGACTGACACGAAAACTGTCTACATATCAAAGAGACCTTGCCAAAGACCAGTCGTTACCATATTATTAGGAAGTGGCAGAAGTCATTTAAAATTCAGCGTTCTAGATTCGTTTACAGTCTTATCTGATGCTGTAATTGATTGTGAAGAATCAAACCAGGCTACATTCCTTTGGTCGCTTTTCAACAGTAGCATGTACGCCATGAATAGAAACGATCCGGCTGAAAAAGACAAACGTATCAAGTAAGAGGCTTCAACCTATTTCCTTTAGATGGAAGAAGAAACTAAGGCTTCATAATGTTTTGTATTAGACACAATTTGGTAAGATAAGGCTAAGTATTGCAAAATTGAAATGAAATTTTGAAGTTTTCATAACATGAACGATAGTGGCTCAATAGTAGAACATTACCAGGCTGATTATTTAGAAGCACAAGAATGTTTGCTATTTTGTTGGATAGAAAATTTGTATTTTCAAGTAAACTTACGTGATTTTTTTCATACCCTTGCAGTTTCCCTCCAGATGTGGTGACAAATCAACGTGAGATAGCGATCCAGAAGAGCAGCCTCACCCCTGCAGTATACAAACTGAAACTGGAAGCTCAGATGCACGGTTCCAATTACTCTGGCAGCGACGAGGCTTTTCTTGAGATTACAGCCGTACCAATAAAGGTAATTATCGCAGGAGGTACAGCTAGGCTTTTGCAATGGGAAAAGGACATTTTCCTGGATGCCTCTGCAACACATGATCCAAATATCCTGCATGGGGACAACGAAGATTTGATGTACTGGTGGTTTTGCAAAGTCAAACCGAACACTATACACTTTGTTATTGGTAAAGGAGGCTGCTTTGGTCACGGTGAAGGGGTTATCGAGCATAGAAATGACACTTGGACGATCCCTGCTAAGACTTTAATAAAGAATGGTGTCTACAATATGACACTTAAAGTAAAAAGTAACACCGTGAAAGGAAGGGAAGGGAGATATGAGCAGCATATCGAAATCAGATCTGGATCTGTCATAAAAACAAATATCAAGTGAGTAATGGCTTAACAATTTCCTTCTCGACTGTCATCAAAAGTGGAGAATTTTAAGGACACCCTTTTACTTCTTTCATATGCAATCCTTTCTTACCCGAAGAAAAGCTGATATGATTTTTTATTTCCTTATTAAAATATTCATAGTTTAGCCTTACAGTCACGAATTTTTTTCAGCTTAAAGAGACAACTTTTTAACAAAAAAATAATGATTTGTATATTCATCTCAAAATCTGGATTATAAAATGATTGTAGCATTTTTGGCTGTATAAAGTCGTTAATGCTTTTCTTACTAGATTCAGGAACAACTTTCTATAGTATACGGCAAAATTTCCTACACATGACCATTGTAAGCATCAATGATCCTTAGACACACTTTAGATGTAACGTTATTGTTTCTTCAAAGTAAAAAACATCACAATAAATTGCATTTGACTTTGGTAGATGCAACGCAAACTGCAAAAACCAGGTTGATCCCGAAACGAGATTATCATTATTGGGAACCTGTGACGGTTGTGGAGCGTATGTAAGATACAACTGGAAGCTACTCGTTAAAAAAGATTCAACCGTCTTTCCTTTGCGTTGGCTTGTGGATACAAGAACACCGGAAGATTCAATCTCATTTGTTCTCAATCCAACCATATTAACAAAGAATACAGAATACCTTGCGAGGTTTACCGCGACTGACCCATCAGGTTGGTGATTGTAAATATATCGCTCTCGTCCCAAAGAAGTCACAATACTCAATTGTGAAGATATATTAAATTTTGAAGAAAACCTGGGCGTTGTCCGAGATCTAAAAAAGCATAGCCCGATTTTAAGTTTTATTTTCTATTTTCTTCAAATGGAGCTAATCAAATTTGATATTATCAATATTCAAAAGTGTTTTATTCATATTTCTTCAAGTAAGTATTTCACATTGTCCTATTTCAAAATGGCCCCAAGCGGAGAAAGCACGATATCCTTCGTCCAAAAATTCAAGTTATCCGACTACAATAACAGAATGAATGCAACACATCAATCTTCTTAGCCCAAAACATAGCTTAAGGAAGCAGTCGTAAGAGCAGTGATGGTTATAAGGGAGGCGAGGGGACAAGGGAGGGCAAAGGGGCAAGGGTGCAAGAGGGCAAGAGGGGCAGTTGCCAAGAGGGGTCCAAAAATCGGCAAAATTACCATTTGACAATTTCTGGTATTCGCTATTTTGTCATTTTCAAAAAAATTTCTAACATTAATACTTCAATCATTTGGGGCCTTTTTTCCAACAACACGCATTTCAACAGAAAGCAAAGTAGAATCGATATGGAGGATAGGTGAAATATATTGTCAGAGAATCCAGAATTTTAACGCAAAATGCCTTAACTCTGTCTAGTATTTCTTCTGTTAAAAAGCTTCCAAAAACAATGAGAAAGGGGAGAAAGGGAAAGTTAATTGTGAAGCAATGTACATGCATGAAACCGGACTGTGTAAGGCCCTAATCTGTATAGAACCTTTCAAATATAATCGCTAAAACAGCCAGTGCTAAAGGGTCTTTCTAAAAACTAAAGATGAACAAAATTGGTCAGCAACGATTCAAGGGGCTATAGCTTCTCTCAATTGAAAACAAAGTTGAGGAAAAAAATAAAATAAAAGCAAAAATGTTTACAGCTTGCCTCGTGACACGTTGAAGGTTTATAACTATTTGCAAAAATAGATTCTTTTGGGTCAGAAAAGAGGCTGGGATTGAAACAATTCAAATAAAAACGAAAACTTAAATGAATTAAGGGATAACTCATCAAGTATTTGTAAAACGTCTTCTTAATGTGAAGAGGCTTTTACTGATTTCTTTGGGCTTATTATAACATTATGATATGGTTTGAGAATTTTGGCGTACTTTGTTGTTATTTTTAACCATATTTTTTAGTATTTCGCAGTATTTTGCAGTATTTCGTTTCGTTTCGTGTCGTTTCGCTGATTATAATCAGCTTTCCTTTGAACCCTGCTAGTTATATCGTATGATAACCCACTTGATGGTTTTGCAAATAAAGATATTCTTATAAAAATTATTTTATACGTTTTTGTATAAAAAAATTATTTTGAAACAGGTTACAAACCGGTTTTGAAAAATTGAAAGTTAATATCATGTATAGGACGGCTCTAAAATTCTCAAAGAAAGTTCATTTTGAGTTAATTCACTATTTTAAGTTACATCAAGTTTGAGGAAGGTTTAGCTGAGGAGAAGGGCAGTCAGAGGAAGGTTTAGCTTTTGCTGAACAATAAAAGTCATCACATCACATTTTTGGAATACCGTCCAAAACTAATTTGCGCCACACCACACCATTTACCATGAGCCCATTTACCAAGTAACAGTTGGCAAATTTCACACTGTTGTCCTCTTGAAATTTTACAAAAAACCACCACTGCGTAAGAGTGATGCATACAATCTTGTTTGTTACAGAAAAATTACACCACTGAATATCACACGGAAACGAGAAAATATGATACGTAAGGCAACAACAGTTGTAAAACACTGATAAGCTAAGGTAGAGCTAAGGGTACACAGACGTTTAAGCATGTCAACGAGGAACTCTTGGCAATTGCGATGGTGTCTTTGAAGTATAATACTGTAAATGGTGTTTGACGAAAAGTACCACTTTCATCCAACTCAATCTAGATATGTTATGATATTACCATGCTCTTGCTTGCTTCTGTTCTTACTACAAGGAGACTTTTTTTATGGACTCTACCTCCTTTCCTTGCTGTGTTAGTTCTTGGCTTTCTGTGTTTCGGTTTATGTTAATCCTTTCCTGCGTTGAACAGGCGATGAAGGCTACACGGATTACGGTTTACAATTGACGACGCCACCTTACGGTGGATACTGCAACGTAGAGCCAGAGTCTGGAGAAGCAGTAAAAACTGAGTTCAAAGTTGCTTGCTTTAACTGGAGAACGAGCACGTCTTCACTGGAATACTCAATGTCTCTGATTAAGCATTCAGCTGTGCTTGGCGCATTGAAAGACGATTCAGAGTCTACGTTGCTTTCATACAGTCCTCTGTCTCACACAACTGTAAAATTACCTGAAGGATCGAGCAAGGACGATTACAACCAGACAATTGAAATAAGAATAATTGATACCAATGGAGCCAGCACAGTGATCAATACAACAGTAAAGGTATACCAATTTTTTTTCTTGGTTTTCCCTAATCTAGATACAAAATTACCCTGATTAATATTTTCTTTAAAGAAACATTTTTACTGGCAAATGTTAGACACTGCTTTCTGACAAATGAAGCCTTCATTATGTAAAATCAATAAAAATGATATCTTACAGCTTATTAGACTGAATTTGATATTATCCCCATAACTAGCTGAGTTACCCAATGAACTTACAACAAAACATATGCATGTGAAATTATTTAAATTCATAATCTTTTTAAACCAATTAAGTGGCTGTCCATCATCCCGAAATTATCAGCAAGCTGTTGTTTAGAGGACTTCTAACAACATGGAGCCAAATATATTGCAAAATCTTTTATTTTGAATCTTCATAAAGTGAAAATCTACAATTAGCTAAATACATAAGCCGTAATGAAATGGCGTGTTCACAAAGATTTTCCTCAGACCCCTCCAGTATTGCCAGCTCTGCTCACTTTTGCCACTCAACCTTACCACTTTGGCTACACTACTGCTAAACTGTTTGATTGAAATGCCAAAAGAAGTTTTCGGTATCATCCTTTTCAATGAGAATAAAACCAGAGCTTTGAGCGTTTATGACATTAAATTTCTTGCACTTTTTGCATTTCAGGTGCTACCGTTTACTGTTGAAGACAAAACTGCAGGCGACACACCGCTAGAATCAGAACTCGAAACGTACGTGCATGGAAAAGACAGCACATTGTCAAAGTTAGTGGGATCAGGCGATGTACAAGGGCTGACCCGGTTCACAAAATCAATTGGAAAAAGTTTAGATTCTGCTAAAGACGATAAACCCAGTGATGCAACCGATTTGAAAGAGAAGCGCAAGGAAAAACGAACAAAGGTACTTCGTCAAAGACCAGTTACAGTTGAAAATCATTGTGTAGTACCCCGGATAAATCGGAAAGTCACAAAGTCAGATCGATTCTCAATTTCTATTGATTGCTTTCTACCTTTCCCGGAAAGGTTGGGATTTCGCTACCAACCATTAAACTAAATATATTACATATACCCCTATGATTAGAAAAACTCTAATAGAAATTATGCTTTAAAGAAAACATTACTAATTTTTTCATCATAGATGCGGGATGAGATAGTGAAATCTCTCACTGATGTTAAGTTAACAACCCTGGAAAATTTTGCAGTAGTAAATAGCGCTCTTGAAAAGGTTTCTGTCACTGAAGATGAGGTCACCAAATCATCGCAAGTAAGTTTTTATCCATGTCAATATCAATTTTATATGTCATCAGAAATAAAACGGTCAAACATTCTGTTCCTGCATACAATTAACAAACTTCGAAGCACCCTAATGTTTTTAAATTTAAAAATATCTAAACATTTTTCCTTTCACAACGAGAACTCGAAAAATAAACGATTACAAAGTTAACAAAGATGGACTCAATTGTGCATTTCTTCAGTTAAATCAAGTAAACGAGCTCTATTTGTCTTGAGGATAAAATGCTAAAGTTCTTTGACTCTGGTACAAAGTTTATGGAAGAAAGTTATGATCAGTGGAAGCAGCGTGACCCTAAACTTGTTCAAGATGCAATGGCTTCCCATTTAGAAGGAGTTGGAAATATGATGCAGTCAGCAGTTTCAAGCAGATCTGAAGCTCAAGGACAGGAAAAAGATGATGTAAGTCCTCGATTGTGTAAAATGAATGATTTTTTGTTTTTGTTGCTCCAATATTCTGTAAAGTAGCTAAACTTTAAACTTTATATAAGAAATCACTGAGGTAGTTTCATCAAAGATTCTTATGATACAAAAGATCTCCTGAGGCAAAGACAACCTAGCACGATCTAGACGGTCCAAGAAAGATTGCACGAGTGTTTTTGCCTGCACAATCCCTTTCAAGTCTTTTGTTGGATTATATGAAAGTATTTCTAACTGCTTGTAATGACCGACATTCATTTTTGCATGTCGATTATATTTCTTAGTGTAAATTGAATAGCTATGTAATATAAAGTACGCTTTGGTGTGTAGAACAAGATTGTACTTAAATACAAATAAACTTTGTTGAAGAAGACGGATCAGACCTGCGATTGTGTAATACACGAACATTTCATTACATAGCTTATCAAAATAAAAGATTTAAATGTAGAATATGAAATGATCCTGGAAATACCTAACTTTCTAGTCAAAAGGACGAAAACAATCATACTCTTGTAGCTTAATCATTTTTAAAAATTGCGTATCTTTCTTAAAAATCATGACAAAATTTTATGCCAAGACATCACCGTAACATATACTTGAAGTACTAGCTCACGATTAAAGTACTAGCTTAAAGTTAAGTACTAGCAACTAGCTTTACTTACTCGTCTTTAAAGAGCTATCCTAAGGCCTAATTGTCATCATTTGTCTTCAAAGTATCTTAAATTCACGGATAATACCATGAAGATCATTGAAGACTCAACAGCACTTTTGTTTCGATCAATCGCCGTAAACGAAATAGCAAAACGAATAGGCAGTAAGTCAATATCAGTGGAGGTGAAAAAGTCAGAGGGGAGCGATCTGAACAGTTTAACAATGCAAACGCTCGAAGGAGGCAAACTGCAAACTCCATCAGGTCAAACACTCTTTGGTGTTAATAATACGAATAAAGATGTCATCGAAGTTAAGGTATTGTTATTCTAAAAGCAATTTTATACTTATATAAAATTTGATATACCACTTATCTGTATACTGATAAAACTTAAGGAATCTCTGTGCACATTTTGTATTTTGTGATTCAGTGTAGCGCACAAAATTTGTGGCTTTGTACTTAAAGTTACTGTGTATCGTATTTATCAGAATGTTTAACAGCAATAATATCCTGGCTGACTTGCAAGCTACAGACAATTTCTCAGTGTTTGTAGATTTGCTAGTTTTCTCACCCAAAATCAAAACGCTTACAAGAAGAAAATGTTTAAGCATAAGTACATCTTAGCAGTGTTTCCAAAAGAGTTGTTGTATTGAGAATCTGTCTTCATTTAGACAAACCAATTTGCTTTTTGTAGATGGTTTCATTATCGAAGAATCCTTACACTTGGGACGAAGAAGGTACTGGCAAGCTAATTTCACCTACCATACCGAGTGCGAAGTTTGTTGCAGATGGGAGCGAAATTGTGGTGGAAAATCTTCCACCTGGGGAAGAAACTATCGTAGAAGTTCCAACTCCAAACATCAAATTTGTAAGCAGTAAACTTTAATTTTTAAATCGTGTACACACTTACACAGCATTCTCTTTTAGGCAAATGGTGCACGATGTCTTATTGACATCTAGGAAACGGTTTATTATATGCTCATGTCAAAACATTTGATGCGTTGTCATTACATAACAAAGAAAAACCCAGTTTATTTTATCATGCTTAAAGCTACATCTGCTGTTGCGTGCCTTAACTAATTAGCTCTTTAAACATAGGGACGTGTTTTAGATCCAGGGCTTTCTTCGCTTGCAAGAAAAATAGCCTACATCTGATTCGCGTCTTTTCAGATTGAGCAAAGTGAAACTTTGAGAGCCAGCCAAAGTCTGATTTATCTGATCACGCTGCCTGTGACTGGATTGTCAGTTATGCTGAAGACACGTTGTGTTGGAAGTCCTTGCAGAATTTACGTAAGCAGTAAGGGAAAGCCAACATTCTTGAGTAGCGAAGGCAGCTTTGCAGTAGAAGATAGCAGTAACAGCAGCCAGGAAGCACCGTTCACGCTGTACCCTGACGTACAGAGCACTACATTCAATATAGGAGTCAGAAGTATCCGCGAGAATGCATCATCTCTTGAAGAAACAAAATTTTCCATGGCAATGTTTACAACTGGTTGCTTTTTTTGGGATGAAAAGTCAAGCAAATGGAAAACTGATGGTTGTCAGGTATTTGATTTTTTCTGAACAATTTGCTGTTCGAGCTTCCTTGAAATATCAATCAACATCATATGACCAAACATCTGAATGAATTTTTGTATGATGGTTTGAAGATAGCCTAAAAACAGCAAGATTTACTAAGACATAAGCTTTGAGACAGCCCTGAAAGCACTAGGCACAAAAATGATTCTTCATCTTTCATGAAAAACTATTCATCGCACGTCTCATTTGTCTGCTTAGGCTGCGAATATCACGTAGCTTTGTTCTTGAAAGGCTTTGGCAAACTTATTTCCTAACTGGATACTTAAGCAAACTTATTTCCTTACTGGATACTTTAGCAAACTTATTTCTTAAATATTGTTAGTTTGAGCATCTATTTTTTCGTTGCTGGTTTTCTTTCAGTATCAAATGAAGAAATTTCGTAAAATATTGTGAATTACAAATCCATGAAAATCTTTTGGATTGTTTGCACAGTTTATCAAAAAAAGCCTTTCTAGTTCACTTCTTCGATGCCTTCGTTGAAACTATTTCTTCTCCAGATATCAAGCCAAACAAATCCACAAAAAACAGTCTGCAAATGCAACCATATGACATGGTTTGGAGCTGGTCTGATTGTGCAACCAAAGCTGATTGATGTCGAGAAAGAAATTCTCAAAATAAAAGATCTAGCTGATTATCCGGCTCTGTTGGCAACTGTCTGCGTCATCGGTGGTCTGTACATAATAGCTATGATATGGGCAAGACGTCAGGATAACAACGATGTTCTTAAGGTGAAAACATTATGCATGCTTGTGTCTTCTCAGCATGAGATTTAGCACTTTTAAGTACATTTTTCTAGAAATATACTTGAGAATACCATTAAAAGAAAATCTGAAGTAGCATTTTGCCTAGTATTAGCAAAAATACTTTCTCGCAGTTTCCGTTGGTAGCTTCTGTTATCTGTTATAAGTTCGTGGCTATCAGTGGAGCAAAATTAGACGATTTCATGTGTGCTATGAATTGCAAGCGAAGCTCTTGCACGAGCAGATATTGTATGCTAGTTAGACTATACTTTTTCTTAAAGGCGGCTCTTATAATTGTCGATGATTGCTGTCAAACCCACAAACATCGTTATGAGGTAACAGTTTACACTGGAAGTCGACCTGGCTCTGGCACTACATCATCTGTCTGCATCATTCTTGGTGGTTCCAACGGCGAAAGTGACCCTCACTGCTTGTCAACAGTGTCTGAAATTCTGTTTCAAAGAGGAGGCGTGGACTCTTTTCTTGTAACCAGTGCAGAGGTAAGAAATTACAACTGCAGGTCACTAAACCTGCAAAAAATCTTCTCAAGAAGCACCTTTCATTCAATTTATTTGATAAGTAAGAATGACATGGAAGTAATAATAATATAGCTTTGAAAAAAGCAAACATTTTACAACATACTTAAAGCTTTTTCGTCTGACACTCCTCAGAGCATAAAACGTCAGAATAGGTTCCGAAAAAACACGTTTGAAAAATATATACCCAGTTGTGGATCGAAATAGGCCAATCAGAAAAACGCAAGCACAAGACCGGTATAGTTGACCAATCAGTGCCGCGAGCCTAAAGAAAAAATTACCAATGGAGTCCAAGAGAGAAAACGAACTCCTTTTGTCTACACAATGGCGGCTTTTTCGTTTTTATGTAGATTGACTCCAAAACTGCTAGATGGAAGGACGACCGGGCTCTGCCAATTATCCGAAACATGTCGTCATTATAGAGTTTTGCACAATCTGGGTTGTCTAAAAGATGTTGACCAATGGCAGAATCACTTGTTTTAACAGTGTTCTAGACCTACAAGATCGAGGAGGCTGTTCTCTTTGAGGGGCAGTTTTGTTTCGTATGTTGGAAGGAACATGCTGTTTTATCCTATCCCCCAATCTTTGGGTTGTGCGCCCTACGTAGCCAGAATCACACTGGCACGTAAATTCATAAATGACGGAACTTTTTTGTTTGGTAGGGACGCAATCCTTTTGAATGGATGGAAGGGCTCTCCTAGTGCTGTAAACAATCCGAGGATTGACAGCAAAGAAACAATTGGTTATGGCTTGCCTAATCTGACTCTCGAATCGCAAGGAAGTGTTACCAATCCATGGTAGTTTCAAATAAACTGGGCACTTTTGCGGACCAAACTTTTGAACAGCCGAAAAACTTGCGATCTTCTCCTTAGTATAAGATAAAATGACGTCTTCAGGATAGCCGTTGTCCAAGAAGATCGTTTTGAGTTGTTCCAGTTCAGCGTGCAGTTTAGATTTCGAGCAGATCATAAGTGCCCTATGTACTAATGTTTCTCTTGGACTCCATTGGTAATTTTTCTTTAGGCTCGCGGCACTGATTGGTCAACTATACCGGTCTTGTGCTTGCGTTTTTCTGATTGGCCTATTTCGATCCACAACTGGGTATATATTTTTCAAACGTCTTTTTTCGGAACCTATTCTGACGTTTTATGCTCTGAGGAGTGTCAGACGAAAAAGCTTTAAGTATGTTGTAAAATGTTTGCTTTTTTCAAAGCCATTTTCAAATTCTGTACCGCAAAAAAATAATAATATAATAATAACAATAAGAACACAGACGTTTAAAGAGCAAAATCTCAATAATTTCAGTGTGCGTTCATGAGAGTCCTTAAAGAGTCCATTGTTTGTACCACAACATGAAAAAAGAAGCTATAATTTACAATTTCCTCCGAAATACATGCTGATCTTAATTAAACATCAACAATGCAGTAACAGGAAGCGATGCTGCTTTAGCAAAGCGAACCCATAAACCGGTTCTATTAATTTGGAGCTCTAATATTGTTATGGCCATTTTGTGTTGCACATCTCATGTAAAGCCTTGGCCAAACGATTCGATTTTTCACTCGATCTTTCTCTTGACATTTGATCTCAAAATCGAGCGAAGTCGAGCATGGGTGGCCAAACGATTCGATTTTTCGCTCGATTCACTCGACTTTTCACTCACACGAACAAAACGAAGGCAATGAAACGCAGAGCGGCTGCCGTTCTTATCATTAGCATCATAAGACCCTGTTCCTTCATTTCATGCAGGAACCACCATTTAATATTTTATTTTGTTTTAAGAAAATTACTATTTCAGGCAAACATTTGTTTCGTTTGATTGATTTCATTCCTGAAATGGAATTCATCACTTTGAAAGGTCCTTTGAAACTTGAAGTCCCGGGGTAGTATACTTCCCTATCCCCCTTTGGCCGCCTCATTTTCGAGTATATTAGTTCTTTTAAAAATAACTAAGCATAAAAGATGATAACTGCGCACGCGCTCATTCGACTCACTCGACAAGGTGGCCAAACGATTCGATTTTCATTCAACAATACCATTTTCAGTGGCTCAGTAGAGAAAGGAGCAGTTGCCAAGCAAGCACAAAGATACTACGTATCACAAAGAAATAAAATCTATATTTTTCTAATTAATCTATTTCAGGATTTAGGAACATTAACATGGATTCGAGTGTGGCACGATAACACTGGTTCAAGCCGATCTTGGTATCTCAGCAGAATAGTAGTCACAGACATCCTGAAAGGCACTCAAACGACCTTCGTTTGTCACACGTGGTTAGGAATTGGCATTGAAGATGGCCAAATCGACAAGACATTCATTGCTGTTGAAGGAGAATTATCCAAAGATTTTGAAACGCTTTTCTTAGCTAAAACATCAAGAGGATTCAGTGATGATCATCTTTGGTTCAGCGTTGCTATGCGACCCCCAAGAAGTCACTTCACACGCTGCCAAAGAGTCTCATGTTGTCTTTCTGCTCTTCTGTGCACAATGCTTGCTAATGCTATGTTTTATCAAAGAAAACAAGTCTCTGGTACTGAAATTAAACTTGGTGCTTTTTCGTTCAGCTGGAGCCAGATTGCGATCGGTGTGGAATCAGCATTGATTGTCATTCCTATTAATTTGCTGGTTGTGAAATTGTTCAGGAATGCAGCACCCTCTTTCAAGTACGTGCCTGAGGAAGAGGTCACCAAGTCAACAACATCATCCGAGGATAAAACATCCAGTGTTGGTTTGCATGATCAAGACGTCAAGATCACAATTCATGATACAACTGAGCCAACCGAAAGTTCCTTAGTAAAAGTTGGATCAACAAATTATCCGTTCATGGACATCATGTCTGAAGATACTTTGAATCTTATCCAAACACTGAATGAAATGGAAAATGATGAATGCAATACTCTTCATTTTGTGCATTCAATCACCTCAAAGATGTCTCAAAATGAGAATATGTGTGCCTTAGAAGACATGACACTTCATGTAAATCTGAATCGAGTTCAAAACAAAGACTGCTCAATGAGGCAAGATGGCTTCCTGGCACCCATTGGTGCATCGACTAAGAACCCAAACAGAGCTACTCTAAAATATTCGCAAAATATTCCAGTGCCCTCACCTACAGACAGAGATAAAGATGCTTCCTCTCTTTTGGTTCAAAAACATGATATGGTTTCAGCTGGTGTAAAGAAAAACAACAAGTCGATGACAATGCTTGATCAAAATCTAAAGAATTCGATTACCAAAAACATCGAAAACGGCAATGAAGCACTATTTAGTAGACAGGATATTTTTATCAACATGGATACAAACAGCTTTTTAAATAGTTAGTAAATTACACGCCTTTGTATTTGACAATTTATTTAAATTCTGACCACCAGGTTTAGCCACTTCTGGTCTTGGGTCATATACAAACAATGTCGATCGCAATCTTCTATTTTTTCACTTAAAAATGACACTAGGAACTTGACCACGTAAAGCATCTAAGTTTGCTTAAAGTTCTAGCGACAAAACGTTATTTATTTCTCCTACACCAGTGATGTGCAACGAGCGGAAAATTATTCATTTTTTGGCCATTTGTAAATGAAACCAGACACATTTACACTACTCACCTCTCACTTAAGCATAAAAGTTTTGAATTCTCTTGAATAATGCAGCAAATTAGACAGTTTGTAGGGTGTTATAGCCTTTAGAAGTTGCCTTAACATCACTTTGTCATGGAAACGCTGGTGTTTCATATTTATGTACTCTACAATGCATGGTTTTCTGTTTGTCTATCTCTGTTTGGAGATATCTGAATGAGTAAAATACATTTATGGTCTGAAGAAATTGTTCTCCTTGAAAAGCATCATTATACGTCAACTTCCTGTACTTAAATTGTTTTTTTCAGGTGAATTGCTTGTAGACAAAATCTCCATGGATGCCTTAGACCTGTTGAATCATTTGAATGACGAACAAAATGATGCTCATTCGGGAGCTAGGATAGAACCGGACGTGTTGAAAGAGATTCTGAAAAAGAATTCCGGAATCCTTGAAGGTTTGTCTTTTATTCAAGAAAGTATCTTTTTACCTACAGCTAGCACACCTTACATGTAGTACTATCAACAGGGTTTTTTCAAAGAAAATTTAGAGCTGCACATTTTTCTTCTAAGCACTGTGTTGAAGAAATAATTATTGGTTCTTATAAGCATTAAAAAAAAGTAAATGATGCGCAGGTAAAGCTAGCTTGTGCTCCAGACCAATGACGCAGCAGGGGTTGAAAGAATGGAGGGGCAAAAGAGGAGTCCGACAGCAGAGGGTCCGGGTCTTTGCCACGGGAATTTCTAAAGAGCGTGGAGGACTTTTCTCTATAGTGCCTATAACGAGATGAAATTGAAAACCATTCAGTAGAGGTACAGAGGAGGGTCCCCTGCGAGCGGAGCGAACAGAAAATTTTTGCGACCACGCCCTTTTGATTAGCTTAAAATAATTCTTACAGTCTTTTGCTTGCAGTCTTTGAAACATTTCAATTTTGTCTGAAATATCAACTTCCCCCTCCCTCCTGAGGAACTAATTTAATTGCAGATTTGCAATTTTTTCAGACAACAACTTCTGTGCATTGGGGGGGGGGGGGTGACTGCTACCTTACCCCTCGCTACGCTACTGCTCCAGATGCCTTACTTGAAAGTAGAGGTTTTGACATGGTTAATAAGCATGTTCAATTGCCATGCTCATCGGTAATATGATTTAGACCTATATATAGGGTCCGTCCATTTTAAAGAAAATCTTTCGAACTCGGTTTCTAACGTATTATCGATTTGCAGAAAAAGCAAGTATATTCTAACTCAACTTGGAAGTAAAATTAAAGAGTACATTATAATAGAAAGCCTAATTTTCGAGCATATGGCAACCATTGTGAGTTCTTGGTTATATAGAATCACAAGAAACCAAAGTCAACTGTATAGTATCTTGGAAACAAAATGGTGTTTGTTGAGTGACATTTAATAGTGATGTAATATCTAATGTTTTAAAAACTTTAATATGGTCTTTTTTTTCGCGCTATGCCAATCAGACGGACGAAACTGATGACGTTAAAGCTTTTTATGTTTCATCATTTAAACTTTTCTTTGTTTATTTTGCAACAGTTTTCCTGAATTTTTTTCATTAGAGTAAAATTTTAGAACTGCACAGATTATTATTTAGAGCTGCGCAAAAAACTTCAAGAATTGCACATTTTGTGAAGAACTGCACGTTAAAAAAACCCTGACCATCAATTATAATTAAACAGCCACAAAATCGACTGCTAGCCTCTTGCGCCATGTCAGCCAGCGGAAGCTATATAAGAGGAGTTGAAAACTTGCTTTGTGTATTGGTATATAACGTACTATCTAAACTCCGTCGTGCCAGCAACTCAGTTGCCACTAGTGAGAGTAACAAGTAATTGCACGATAGCTGGATTATTTAAGTTGTCACTTCTTTCCTAAAGAGCTTGACTATGGCCTCACAGATAACTTATTTTGTGTACAAAATCTCTTTCATTTTCTTAAATAGACACAAAAAACACAGGATAGTGTAAGATCACATTCAGAGGTTTGATGCTGATGTAATAAAACTTAGGCCACATAGTTGTTATGATAGATAGATGATAATCTATCAGTTGACTGTATTTTGTTTTGTTAGGCTTACCTAAGACATTGACATAAAAATGGTATTTCGTTCAGCAGATGATAAAAACAAGAAGAAAGATGGAGTGAAATTCTGGCCCCACTGGTGCTTGTATGTTGGCTGGACCATCTGCATTCTGACAACCGTTACTGCTGGATTCTTCACCTTACTTTACGGTCTCAGTTTTGGTCGGGTCATGCAAGAAGAGTGGCTAGTTTCCTTTTTCACCTCTATTTTTCAAGACATATTTGTTTCACAACCTTCAAAGGTAAAGCTTTACATTTTACCTATCTCGTAATTAAGTTAGTTTCTTTTTCTTTGGTTTGTCAAAGCGCTTCATCTAAGTTTAAAGAAATTTTCGGTTAAGAGGGGATCTACTACTTTCTAGATCAAATACACAATGTGCCTCAATGGTTGTCACCTATCATTTTGGTGCAAAAGCCCTAAAATCAAATTCAGGACCTTTTTGAAATAATCAATAAAAGCTCTTTTGGCATACCACTTAAGATTCGAATTGTAAGTTGTACATTTGTAAGGCCTGTAGACGCTTCTAATCGCAATAAAAATATGTCATCGTATTGCTCCATGTCTGATGAACATTTTAAGCACAAGATCTCTTTACTTTTATAAGCTTGCTGTGTTGGTGTACGATAAGGTTTCATTTTGGGTTCTTTTTAGTACTTTCTCCGCACCCTGTCTCTGTCTGTAGATGTCTGTCTGTAAATTGTCAGCTTTGGCTCTTCTGTTTAGGTTATTGTGATTGGCTGTGTATTTGCATTTATCCTGAGAAAGCTTTCTGAAGACGAGAAACTTCCTGAAACTGAGCTTGTTAAGAACACAGAATGGGTAAAGAATCACCTACCTCTGCAAGACAAGCGCGTGACTGGATCAAGAATAAGAGTTCCATTAACCGAATCATATGTCCACAGGGCTCATATGAACAGATTGAAGCAAATGCAAATGACAGAAGTGACATTAGAGATTATTGTTTACTTCTTCTACATATTCCTTGCATTATTGATAGCATATGGACACAGGTCTCCAAACGCGTATGGCATGGGAATAAACATCAAACAAATGTTCGTCAACGACAAGTTTGATGCGGTAAGGCTGCAGCATTCCCGTTTTTGCAACTCATATAAATAAATATTTATTCAACAACTTTGTTTTTATTTAGCTATTGATAGACTTTTTTATGTATTGTTGGAGACCATATCGATTTCCCTTTCAAATAAGGATTTGTGCTTACTTATCTTTGTAAATTTGCCTCCCTTTTGTATCTTAAATCTCTGTTTTTGTAATGTCATGTTCATAATAGCAAAAAATTAGAATATTTGCAATTCTTCCATTCGTTCCCTTCATTTTTACTGATAAAACCACTGATAAAAGCCTGTTGATCTGTACAATGTTGTCATCATAAACCCCCGTCCAAAACTCCTGGACTCACCCCACTGCAAACATGATTTCATTCAAAAGTCCTACATCCCTTCTAGATTACAAATGTCAATGACTTTTGGAAATGGGTGGACAAGTCATTTTTACCATCAATGTATGGAGAAAAATGGTATAATGGTGAGCCCACCAGTCAAAAGCGGTTCCTTTCTGACTATGTCACCTATCTAATTGGAAGTCCAAGATTACGACAAATCCGAGTGGTGCAAGGTATTTAGAATCAAGAGTCATATTAAAACTTTAGCTTTAAACAAACCATTTTGAATGTTTATTTATATTATTAATGGAAGGTATGAACTTATCGAAATTTTCAAAACAAATGTTTATTCAAAATTAATAAAAATGAATAGCATGCTTTCTAGCTCTTTCTTGTTTTTATCATCTGCTGAACGAAATACCATTTTTATGTCAATGTCTTAGGTAAGCCTAACAAAACAAAATACAGTCAACTGATAGATTTTTTGCATGCTTTCTAGATCCTGGTGCAACTTTTTATCCATTCATTTGTTAATGAATTTTTTCAGATCATTGTTTACTTCTTTGCTTAATTTTTCCAAAATGTAAACCCAAATGTATCTCAAAATGTAAATACTTTTCTAGCCATTGTTAATTCATTCATAGAGCCATGTAGATTGACGGGTACTAAATACCAGATTGAAAGGAAGAAATGCCAGGATACTTTTGATGAGTCAAAACAAGACAAAGGTGACTATTCCAGAGGATGGACTAGAAATGGATCAATATCGGACAGTTTTTCAACTGGAAGCAATAGAGAGAACCCATGGCGGTATTACTCAGACTCAACTTTAAAAGGACATACATTTGTTTCCCAGATAAACAGTTATCCAGGTGGGGGATATGTTCGCACGCTCGGAACAACTTTCCAAGAAGCCAACTCGTCATTTTCTTACTTGAAGAAGCATCTCTGGCTGGATACTCTCACGCGAGCCCTGTTTATCGAATTTTCAACCTATAATAACAACGACAACTTCTACTGCATCGTCACAATGGTTTTGGAATTCAACCCTGATGGGGGAGCAGCACCATACGATAAGGTCCTCACAACAAGGCTAGATCGTTACAACAGTGAATTCTCTTTCTTCTTGGCCGCTTGTGAAATATCTTTCCTTCTTTTAACTCTATACTATATGTGGCTAGAATTCAAAATATTCCGAAAGAAAGGATTCAAATATTTTCGTGAGTTCAGTAGCATTATCGAAATGCTCAGTTTTTCATTCACATGGGCTGCATTTGCATTGCTTCTAATCCGCCTTGGCGTTGTCAAGTGGACAAAAATGGAGCACCAGGAAAATCCTGACGGGTTTACCAGTTTTCAATATGCAGGTTCAAGTGATCTGGCGTATGGTTATGCATTGGCAACGGTTGTCGTTATTGCATTTCTGAAGGTTCTGAAGATTCTCCGGTTCAACAAGAACATGCTGATTCTTTTCAAAACATTACAGTACGCAAGTGATGGCTTAAAGTATTACCTAATATTCTTTACAATTGCCTTTGCTGCTTTCATACAATGGGGTCATTTGACTTTTGGTAGACACCTTTCTGGTTATGCAACAATGGTAAGATCGTGTATGTCAATCATGAATCTTCTTCTGGGCTCTCCTCAGTTCTACAAGTTGCAAGAGACAAATAGAATAGTAGGCCCAATATTCTTCACTTTATTCATTCTCATAGTTATGTTCGTCCTGATGAATTTGTTTCTTTCGATAATCATGGACGCTTTTGCTGCTGTCAGAAGAGAGATGGCTGGTAAAGCAAATGAATACGAGTTGCTTGAGTTTCTATACGAGCGACTTACTACGTTCTTTCCATGTCTGCAGTCAGAAACAAAACAAGCTGAGTTGCAGCTCAGTGAGGAAAATGTAGAAAAATATTATCAACGACGGTTGAAGCAAAGAAAAGGTGAGGAATCAGAAGACAACGATATGGGGTCAATTGGCAAAAGTATTGATAAGATGGAGGATCTGGTCAATAAACTTCTTCTCTCAGAATATGAAGAGATAGAGGAGCTGGCTCGAGTTGCCTTGAAATTAAAGAGCAAATCATGTTTATTGGACACAGAATCAACAGTAGATGAAGAAGATATCGATGTTCAAATCTGACTCTTTTTGATGTTGTGGACATACTTTATCACATATTTTTCGTCGGTTGATAGGCACTTAGGTCTTTCTGTTTTCAGAGCCGTCTGTTTAGAATGAAATAAATCGGAGATTAGAAAAAGAAACTTAAATTTGGATATCATTTTTACTTTAGAACTCGTTACATTGGCCTCATCATATAGATAACATCAAAAGGAGTTATATAACGGGAGTATTTACAAGCCATTTTAAATGTATTTGTAAAGAACGAGAGAGAAGAGAATAAATTGTTTCAACAAGGCTATATGCTAATTTTTAGCTTAAAATTGCATGTAAGAAACATCCTTTCCCATCATTTCTAAGATATAGAGACATTCAGCAGTAAGGGTTTTTACTTGTGAATTTAAGCCTCTTTACTTGATTTTAAGTGTAATTTCAAAGTTTTGACATTTTAGAATGCTTCCTTTCAATTCAAGTATGTTAGTAACTTAATTTCGGAAGTTTTAACTATATTAATTATTTTTTATGTTACAAGCTGTCAATTGCTTTATAAAATATTTGAGTATTCAATGTGGAGAAAAATTATGTTAAGCTATGCTTTATATGTTAATAGAGTTATAAATCATAGAAAATTTACGATATTTATGAAACAATTAGTATATCTTATTAATCATGTTTGATTATATTCTAGAAAGTCTACATGAACAAGCCTGAATCGATTATTTTTGAGTCCGGATTCTTCCAGTTTCTCGCTGCGAGTCATTGTTAATTACGATTCTGGGTGATTACAACAAAGTTAAATCAAAGTACTTTGCAGAGTCAATGTTTCCTTTCTTTTAAAATTGCTAAAATATCAAATTTTAAAATCAGGAATGTTAGGGATACCCTCAGAAAGTCTGAAGACCAAAAAAAAGTTTCATAGTTTGAAATAAACATATATGCACAAAATGATGAAAAAGATAGAAGGTGGATACTTTTTTCCCTTTAAATTGCCTTTGGCCTATAAGCATGAACACCGTTTTGCAGTTTTTCAACAAATGGGCTAAATACAGTTGAACTTATACAGTACTCTTGTGTGCTTAATTGTAGGGGAGGGTCATGTTGCATTTTTCAAAAATTTTCACCCTTCATAGCATTTTATAATTACCCCCCATTTTATGGAAATCTCAAAGGACGACCAACCCCCTCATATTATACATTTTAAACTTCTTAGAAAAAAAATGGTTTGGCTCCATACAAAACTGTTTTAAAGAAAAAATAAATCAGAGTTTAAAATTTCAAAAGCGTTTACTCATTGTCATCATCCATATTTAAATTTCCTTTCAAGACAATTTTTTGCTTCTCGCTCTTGAGGTCTACGCATCTGCCGTTCACCAGCTAACATGTTTGATTTTTTGACTTCGAGCCAGTACTTAGTTTAAAAAGCGCATGCACTTGCAATATCTCCCCCCCCCCCCCATTTTATTGTTACCCTCCCCCCATTTTAGATGCTTATTTACAATTTTCCCTGTAGTTCATTTCATTATGACCCCTCCGCTTTATGAAAATCTAGGAAAATGTCCACCCCCCTCTTTTTTCGACCCCCCCTACAATTAAGCACACAAGAGTATTCTGTTTGCATAAAAACGTCCGCCATTATGGATGTTATGCGGTTGGCGCGAAAATGAAAATCTGACGACAGCAGTTCATTTACTTAGATGCGCAAGACAACTCGACTATGGATTCACAAAGTTCCTCATTGTGGCAATGTTAGGTCAAATACTCAATTACGCGATTAAATTTTGATGCAAAAAGTACAATTGCTGACCCATGGGAAACTCAAAGGCTGCATTTTTTTTACCTCGGATGCTACTTGCAGTTTTTTTCTTTACAAACTCGGTGATTTTCCAAGTTAATTGCTCGGACAAAAATACCGACAGTAAGTATGGGTAGCTTCAAGTAACCTTTTTCTGACATTTTGTCAGCATAAACAAAAAAATAGCTTTTCAAGCTTTGTAGATATTAGGGGTACTTTAAATATTGGATAAAGAATTTATAGATAGTTACTTCTTGGGTTATTTTACGCATCGGCCTGGGCCTCTGTATAGTGGTCCTCATATATGATCAATAACAATAAGTTATTCAAAAACCTACTAAAGATTCTTGTTAGTAACTTTTGTTGTTGCCAACTTTTTCACAGTTTGCTGATCTAGTTAGTAAAAGATATAGGTATAATGCCTTTCATATCCATTTTTAATTTTTACATCGTAGGAACTTTGGTAAATTCTCATAAGATAAGAACAGTCAAAGCTGACCAGGGCTCCTTGGTCATCACTGAAGTGAGTTCGAATGAGAATTGTCTCACTAAAGGACAACCATTTATCATTGAAACACGTTTTAAGTATAGAAAAAAGAAATTTTGGGCGGTCAAATTAAACAACACAGAAGTTAAAGATCTTAAAAATGTAGTCTTTGACAGTGGTAGAAATGCCACTGTCCGAATTGTCTCTGGTCTTTATGGCAGATATGGCAACACTACTCTCGAAATCATCATCTCTGATAAAGAAGAGAAGAAAATTTTAATAAAAAATATATGCGTGCGCTTTCAAACACACAAGGTGGAAGTATCGGTCACAACGGCTGTAGCCAGAGGAACGATTGTGAAATATTACATAGAGTCAGAAAATCCAAGTAACGCGGATAGGAGATTTAGTATTGGGTTCGGAGATGGTTCTTTTGGGAGCAGCAACCCATTGATTTCTCCGCTAGACAATGTAGAGAAAGTGTATCGTTATCGAGGTACCTATGAATATGACTGGGTAATATACGTAGATTCAATTGCAACTGCAACAGGGGTTGGCAAAATTAAAGTGATAAATGCTGTTCAAGACTGCTACAACTTTCGCTTTTCAACAAGTATTGCTCAAAACTGGCCTCAGAATAGGGTTCAGTTTTGGATGAGACATATGTGCTATTATTTTGAATCGCCGGATGAAGCAACTTACAGGATTCACTTTGGAGATGGTGAAATCACGGCTTGGCTTCCACTGCCTCGACTTAGGTGCTCTCGATATTCTTATTTAGTACAGCACACATACAAACTGCCTGGGTGCTATGACACGTGGTTTGAAATGAAAAATCTTCTTGGGTGGTGCCATTACAGCGGCTTTGTATGGATGAAAAAGCCCCTGTCTACATTGACACTGGAAGTAAAGAACACACCACTGTCAAAAAAAGTTGAAAAAGAAGTAGAGGGAAGCATGGCGACATACCTGCGAAAAAGAGATCCCTTTGAAGTAAAAGCCATTACTACTGGTGGGCGGTGCAGAACTTATGACTGGAAGATTATCAATCCATACTGGCATAGAAGTTCATGGGAAGTTGATAGAACTACAATAAGTCATTTGTCTGCTGGCACTTATGATCTGGAAGTAACAGTATCTAACAAAGTAAGTTCTCTTGTAAAAAGGAAAAGAATAGTTCTGATCGATACGATCACAGAACTCTCCCTCTTAGCTTCTGATCCAACACAAAATGGCAGAATTGATTTTTATTTGCTTGTCAAGGAACACGAGGATGATACGCAATTTTTCTGGGACTTTGGAAATGGTGAAACCATTAGTGAAAAAAACCCATCTTTTACACCAGCTAAAGATTTGCCAAACATTAATCAGGCCCGAGGAAGCGAAAGTATCAATCTTGAAAGCTACGTTGGCTTGATAAAACCATACACATACCGCGAGTTTGGGACATTCATTGTCAATGTAACGGGTGTGGACACTCTGGTAACTTTAGAAACAAGCAGAACAGTGTACATCTCAAAGAAAGTTTGCAGAAGACCAGATGTAAAGATATTAAAAGAAAAACAGAAAACGCACTTGATTTTTGATTTCCGTGAATCATTCACTATTCTAACAAACGTCACCATTGAATGTGATGATTCCAGTGAAGCAGTTTTTGACTGGTCAATTTTCAAAAGCAGCAAAGATGATTTGGATAACAATCGCTTGATCGAATCTGATAAAGTTACAAAGTAAGTGATTTTTCCTTTACTGCTGCCTATTCTTTTTAAAAAGATCATTAATTATCAACACAAATACCCCCTTGTTAAAATAAATATTAGCAATTTTCATTCAAATGGCAGAGTAAAGCTATTTCTGCAGGCTTTTTTCTAAAATTTTGCTGGCCATGTTTCTTCGTTGCAATAAATCAAAAAAATTTCAAGGCACCACAATTATAATTAGGGTTGAACAGTAATATGCACCAAAATCATTTGGCAAATTTTTGTAGATTCTTTTATTTAAAAATCTTTGTTAGTATCAAGATACATTGTTTTGAATAGATTTCCGGCTGACGTTGTTACAAACCAAAGGGAAATTACTATTCAAAAGAGAACACTTAACCCTGAAATATACAAAGTGAAGCTCGAGGTTTCCATGAAAACACTTGGATATTCTGAAGCAGATGAAGCATTTCTTGAAATTTCTGCTGAGCCATTGCATGTGAGGATAGAAGGAGGATCGACTAGGCTCTTGTCGTGGCAAGAAAAAGTCTTTTTTGATGGTTCTTCTAGCTACGACCCAAATGTTCTGCAAGGAAATGCAAAAGACTTCATCTACAAATGGTACTGTAGAGTGAAACCTGGTTCTTTGCACTTTGTCATAGGAGGCGGTGGCTGTTTTGGCCACGGTCATAATCTCATTGAGCACCACGAAGCAACGTGGACAATTGATGAAGAAACTTTTGTTCGAAATGCTGTATACATTGTAAAATTGGTTGTGGAAAGCCGAACATCGCCTGAAAGGTCAGGTTTCTTTGAGCAATATGTTGACATTCAAGCTGGAACGTTTATGAAAACTAGTATACAGTAAGTGAAAGATACTTTTCATTTGATGTGTATTTACAGTTTCTAGAAATAGCTGTTGTAGCAATTTAAAAGGTGCTAAATATTGAGTAAAATAGAGAAATCGAGATCCCCTTAAACAACCACTTTTTGACAACGAAATGCGAAAGTGAAAAGGAGTGACAAATATGAAGGACAATACTTTCGAACTGACGAATGCAGCCAATATAGGACAAATTTTTATAGCTGCAGTTGAAACAAATAAAACTATTGTTGCAGCTTGGTTGCTTACTGTGGACAAAATTTAGCACTAAATAACTTTCCGGCCATGCTTTCCAGTCTGTTGGTAAAGTTGATGATATAATTCAGTATCGGCAAGGACTATCGTCTGATCGCGATTCTCGAGTTTAATTGTACACGTCTAATTCTCAAGAGGCTTGCTGGTTCAAAATTGACAAAGTCTGTCGTTTTCAGGAGGCAGCTTTCATTCTTAAGTCGCTAACAACATGTCCTTGAAACCCAATAATTGCTTTTCTAGGTGCAAAACTAATTGTCAAGACAGGCTAGACCCACAAACACGATTATCCCTAATTGGAAGCTGCGAGAATTGTGGGAGATTTGTGAATTACAAATGGAACCTTCTGGACAAGAGTACATTTCAAGTGGTTCCGATTGACTGGATGTCTGACACCCGAACACCTCAGCAATCAGTATCGTTTGTCTTGCTTCCTGGAATACTGGCACAATCGAAGGAATATTTGGCAAGATTCACTGCTACAACTCCAACTGGTTTGCCAAAATAGCATTGCTTTTAATTATATTACCAATATTAAACAATCTCCTTCTTGATGTGAAACTGTACTTAGTTTTTCTCAGTTTAAATCATAATTTTAGGTATTCTAAATACGTTTGTTTCTGACGATTAGAGGACCTATAGATCTTAAAACTACTTGTTAAATTACAAATCCTTCAAAAACTAGACTACATCTATTGTTTTTTGCCAATTTTTGCTAACTGCTTAAGGAGGCATTCAGAATCTTGTGTTAATAAAAGAAGTAACAAGTAAAGGAAATGCTAGTATACGTCTAAAGAACTCTTTGCCGAGGCTTTACAGTGATTAGTGACAGTTTATCAAAAGCAAAGTCTTTATACTGCTACTTTTGCTTGCAAGTTGTCTATTTCATCAAATGACCATGATAAATGCAAGGATGCTGTGCATTGTTTAACATCCATGTAAAGCAATACTCAATAATTCCACAATGATTCTATTAACTAGGTGAAGAAGGTTACAATGATTACGGTATTGCACTAAGCAGCCCACCGTATGGAGGAAATTGCAATGTAACACCTTCTACTGGAGAGGCAGTGAAAACACAATTTTATATATCTTGCCATGGCTGGAAGACCAATTCAGTTGCATTGAAATACTCTATGTCTCTCATAAAGAGTTCAGCTGTCGTTGGCGCCGTGAAGGACAACTCAGAATCCACATTGCTTTCGTATGGGCCCTTGCCATACACTACAGCCAAATTGCCAGAAGGAAAGCGAGACAGCGATTACAAACAGTTATTGGATATTCGAGTTATTGACTCATATGGAGCGAGTTATGTTACCAATATTACTGTTAAGGTAGCTGTTAATTACATGTTTGCAATTTTTCTAGAAATGCTAGAAAAAGAGAAACTGTTAGTTTTAGCATCCAAACTGCAACTGCTGATACCTGTGACAAGTTTGAAAACAGCTGGCTCAAACTTAGAGCCTAGAAATTATAAGAGAAGCCTTTTTAAGCATTTTCTCGTGCAGTGCCTTGAAAAGAAGCTACTACCTGGTTGATTTCTTGAATTTTAGGTTCTACCTTTCACTGCTGATGAGAATTCTGGTGATGATACGCCATTAGAATCAGAGCTAGAAACATTTGTACATGGGAAAGACAGCACGCTCGCAAAGTTATATGGTTCTGGCGATCTGCAAGGCCTTGGTAGATTCACAAAATCTATGGGAAAAAGTTTGGATACGGCTAAAAAAGAAAGCGAAAAATCTAGCGTTTCAAATACTTTGAAAGAAAAACGAAGGAAAAAAAGAGAAAATGTAATTCAAACTTAAATTCTGCCTTAATTTCGAGCAAAATTTCTGTGAAAAAATTGCTTAATCACTTGGCTTATAAAATACTATCTATCATTCTCAGAATACTGTTTTGCTGGTTCCTAGAAAACAATTTTGTCCGTTTTTGCTTTCATTTTACTCTTTTAAATTTGCAGATGCGAGAATCTATTGTGGATTCCCTGACTGATCTCAAGGTAACAACCCTGGATAACTTTGGGCTCATTAGCAGTGCATTAGAGAAAGTTTCTGTATCTCCAGATGAACTAAGCAAGTCTTCACAGGTATTTCAAGTACAGCAGTAATATTTTGGCTTTCTCTATATTTATATTAATAATAATATTTAGTAATATTTATACTAATAATTTTTTGGCTTTCTCTAAACAGGAGATTATAACTTTCTTTAAACTGCAAAAATTGATGAGCCTGATTGTAAATGTTATTGAAATAATGATAACATTGCTAATGATTAACTGTAAAACTGTTAGCATTTGTATTTAAAGCACATATTTCAATCTGTTTTCCAACATTTTATCGCATTGTCATTGGCCCTACAATCTAAGCGGAGGTGTTGAGACAGCCCCTAACAAATGCCCGTCAACATGCATGTTTTGTCTACCCTCTTATCCCCTCCCTCATTCAAATTTGAGATTTACACCCTGTTATTGCAAAGATATAAAGATTAAAGACTCATTGCTAACAATGAGCCATTGCGCTACGCAAGCATCCCATAATGCATTTTCAGACAGTCTGAAATCAATTATGGTTAATCCGTAGAAGTTTACTGCCATTGTTTGGATTGTCGCCTGGATAATTTGCCACCCTCGCAAAGGCTCATTGTTAGCAATGAGTCTTTAAGCTGGTGGAAGGAGGAGGGGGGTGATAAATCTCAATTAGACGATAGGTCTGATTATCTTAAAGGACAAACTTCTGAAGTTTTATGACTCATCTTGCAAATTCATGGATGAGAGCTACTCGCAGTGGGGAGAGCGTGATCCAAAGGAAATTCAGGATGCCTATGGAGGCTTTCTAGAAGGTGTTGCCAATGTAATGAGCTCAGCAGTTTTGAAAAGATCCGGAACAGTAACACAAGGACAAGATAAAGCTGATGTTAGTTTTTACTTTATTTCCATTTTTTGTTTTCCTTCTCATTGCGTTTCGTAGATGCAAAATATTTAGCTTACTAAGAATTACAAAATGGCAAAAATAAGAAATTATTTTATTGGGATGATGCCCTTATGAATTTAGTAATGTACTAGTAAAATATCACTAGCATATACCGATGTCAAAGTTTTTATTTCCCAGAAAAGGCTCTTTTGTCTAGGATTTTTTTAACTTCCTATTAAAAGAATGAAGCTAATAAACTTTTGCAGTATCTCAAATTCACAGAAGACGCCCTGAGAATAATCGAGAATTCAACGTCTATTTTATTTCGCTCAATGGTTGCAAACGAGATAGCAAAACGCATTAGTAGTGAATCAATATCTGTTGAGATGAAGAGGTCAGAAGAGGATCGCCTTGGCATTTTCCATATCCAGACACTGGATGGTGGCAAATTAAAGACTCCATCTAAGAAAGGAATATTTGGAGAAAACCAAACAAATAATGATGTTATAGACATGAAGGTACAAATATCAACATATTTGGCATAAGATTAAATCAGATATCATCTTTAATCAACAATCAGTTTTTAATAGTCTCCCTTATCAGCAGTCTTTAGGTAACACAATCTTCCCTGCACTCCAAAAGAAGCAATCGCTTCGAAACAATCATTATACTTCCATTGTCAAGTCAAGGTGTAGATTACTTCTTTTATTGCACTTTTAGTAAATTCAGAGGGCAAGTTATTCATCATTTTAGGAAGTTACAACTTCAACCGAGGCTGTTGTCTGCAATGACAATATTTTTATTCACATTCTAAGATGCTCTCTCTACTTATCTTTTAAGATGGTCTCTCTATCACGAAATCCTTTTACCTGGGACAAAGGAAACATTGGAAAAGTGATTTCGCCGTCGGTTTCCAGCGTAAAGTACATTGTAAATGGCAACGACGTTCCAGTGACGAACCTCCCTGCCGGTGATGAGGTTGTATTAGAGCTGCCAACACCAAACCTTACCTTGGTGACTACAACATTGTATATATCTTCCACAAACTACAGTGTATTTACTTATTGAACTCACCCTTATCATCAAAGTTCAACATCTTTTTGAAATTTAAATTCGTTTTCCCTCTATCAGAATTATTGAATTAAAAAAAATTATTTCTTTGGTATATCTTTGAACAATTTATGATGATTAGATGCGTTGATTGACTTTTATTCTTGCATTAAAATGAGTTCCTTTAAAAATATACATGCAGTTTTAAATTCTGTCAGGTAGTTGCAATCTATGATCTAAATTCAACGTGGTAGTAAAATGGTTTCTTTAAAAATTCTTAGGTAAATAGAACAATAAAAGTGAACCCTGGTGAATTCCATGTTATCCGCATGAATTTGTCAGCCATTGGGTTAACAGTGATGCTGAAAACACGCTGCTATAAGAATACCTGTCGAGTTTTTATACGGTATGGCGGCATCCCTTCTCTGTCTACCTACTCTGATTCGTTTGACCTCAGCAAAAACAGTGGAGACAACGATTTTAGACGCTATTCAAGAATTAACCATACAACATTCAATTTGGGAATTTTGAACCCATCCGGAAACTCATCTAACTCTTTATCCGACGAGGCTGCAATCTTTGAGATGCTGTCGTACACAACAGGATGCTTCTACTGGAAAGAAGATGATGAAGTATGGAGCTCAGAAGGTTGCAAGGTATGCCTATTGCAGAAAGTTTTAAAATGATAGGACTGTGCAGTGGCGGTGCCACCTACTGCAGAGTGGGAGGGTAATGGGTGTTGCAAGCGAGACCACGCTCCTGTGGCCTCGTTTCAGTACTTTGTACCAGGTTAATTTCTCTTATGAAATACTATCTACCTCTACCTAGCACTTTTTAATCAATTTCTAGAAGTAATGTATGGACCATATTTTGACAAGAGTGGGGGAGGGGGTAATACCCCCAACCCTCCTCATACCACCCCTTGGCACCGCCACTGAGACTGCGTATAAAAGAAGCCGCTACCAACTGCAAAAACCTTCATTTTTCAAAAGTATGTTTCAGAGCCTATATTTCATAACAATTCATCTAGACCTTACAATGCATTTATTGCTTCATGATTGTACATTACACCCAGAAAACATGATGCTTTCTACTACGTTTTGCTTACAGCGAGCTGACTCACCATAGCTAAAGTTCAAGCTGAAACCATTTTTTATATTCAGCATTTTGCTATTAGTACGTAAAATAGAGCTGTTCGGAATAGCTATGCCTGTCAAAATTTGGTATATTTTTCTATCTTGGCCAGTACATGAATTATCTTCAAATTCCAGCTATCCAATGAAACAAACCCCAACAAAACAGTTTGTATTTGCAATCATCTAACATGGTTTGGTGCAGGCATCATGGTGCAGCCGACTTTAATTGACCCAAAGAAAGAGATTCTCAAAATAAAAAAGCTAGATGAATACCCAGCGTTACTAGCTGCAGTCTGTCTGATATGTGGCTTGTATCTAATTGTAATAGTATGGGCCAGACATAGAGACAGAAAGGACGTTCTTAAGGTAAGATTATGCATAAAGAGTAGTGTAACCACAATTTTCCCTTTTTGTAAGCTAGCAGACGGGTTCAAGACTTCTTAGATAGATCTAGGCTTTATTTGCATCTTAAAAACGACTACTTGGTCAAATTTTGGGAAGCCACCCTGGTGCTTCTACTACTAACAGAAAAGTGTTTAAATTAGTGCTGCGCTGGCCCCCGTCTCTTCTTCTATGACTTCTTTTTAAATTTATTTGACTGGCTATAGAAGACTACTTTGATTTGACAGATTCTAACAATAAAATTAGCAATACAGTTTATGGAAGTCTTAAATCGTCTGACCCACTGGTTAGAAAAAATTCTGCGTTATTAGAGACATTACTATGTGGTCCAATAATTCTCTCAAAAATATCTAAAACAAAGATAAACAAAGATATAAGACTATGCGTTTTTTGCATATGTTTGTGATAGTTTCTTCAGAATAAAGTAGTCGACTTACTTGTCAGCTGCAATTCTTGGTTTATATTTAAAGGACGAATCTCCAAACTTTTTTCTTAAGAAAGCCACCGTATATGCGACTGCAATTTGGAAATACAATCTCAATGTCGGATGTTTTCTGTTAATTATGCTGGGTGGTTTGGAGACTGTTGGAATTTTACTGTCTGTAGAAAAGATCTACGTGAGTTAACGATTCTTTTAAATACTGCTCTTGCCTTGTAGACCGCTTTAACAATCGTTGAAAGCTGCTGTCAAACGCACAAGTATCGATACGATGTGACGATTTACACTGGAAGTCGGCCTGGTGCTGGAACATCTTCATGTGTATGTATGATTCTAGGAGGCAGCAACGGCGAAAGCGACCCATACTGCCTTTCGAATCGTTCTGAAGTCTTATTTCAGCGTGGAAATGTCGACTCCTTTCTTGTTACCAACGAAGAGGTAGGCTGTTACACAAAAAGGCTTTTATTTGAGTCCTTTTGTTAATATCTACAATCATTGCAAAAAGTACTTGGTACACCAAAAAATTTGCGTTGTGTTTTTATATTCTGCAATTCTTTTCCCAGATACCCCTATTTCCGCACCCCCTTCCCCCCGAAACAATGTTGATAATCTAGAAAAATATCATAGAAGTTGGTGAAAAACGCGCCCTTCCTAATCCCCTATGCCGTTTTGTAGTAAACGAACATTGTTCAAAGGGGGAAGGGGAATGACTGAATTTTCTCTTGAAAACTGACGTTAGTGTACCATAACTTTTTGCAAGCATTGTAGCTTGTATTTAGCTCAAATAGCTTTTCAATCATTGACATTATTTTTTCATTTTTGATTTATTCTTAATAACTTAATAGAAACTCAAAGTTGTGTTTTTCTTAGGATTTGGGTAAAATAAAGTGGATTCGAATATGGCATGATAATACCGGGAAAAGAGCATCTTGGTTTCTAAGTAGAATCATTATCACTGATATTGTCAGAGGAACACAAGCAACATTTATATGCCACACATGGTTAGGAATAGGGCTTGATGATGGACAAATTGACAGAATATTTCTTGCTGCAGATGAAGAAGAGTCAAAAAACTTTGCAACGTTATTTCTAACGAAAACAGCCAGAGGCTTCAGTGATGATCACCTTTGGTTTAGCGTTGCCATGAGGCCATCAAGAAGCCACTTTACCCGCTGTCAAAGGGTGTCATGTTGCCTTGCTACACTTCTATGCACAATGCTGGCAAATGCTATGTTTTATCAGAGGACTGCTAAAGTCGGTACTGAAATAACCCTTGGCTCATTCTCATTCAGCTGGCACCAAATTGCCATTGGTGTTGAGTCAGCTCTAATTGTCATCCCAATCAACCTGTTAATTGTCAACATATTCAGAAAAGCAGCGCCTTCTGTATGGTATGCAACTAAAGAAAAGGAGGTTGAAGAGAAAGAGGTTGAAGAAGATGTAGTACGCGTAGAAGAGGATGACGTAAAACTAAATGAGGAAATAGAAGATGTAGAGGACAGTGAGCCAGCACAACCTACCAATGAAGTAAAATCTGATTTCCATATTCTAGAGATTCAAGACCCAGCAAACATGGACTGCATAAAGTCTCCCCTGCAAGCTCAAAATGTCTTAAATTCAGCAGAAACTAACGCCAGTAAGGAGTTGATCGTTAAAGAACATGTCCACCTTTCTTCGGATGCCGTGTCACATGATACCATGAATATAATCTATTTGCTAAGTGCTCTTGAAAGCAGTTGTCCTAATTATAATCTTTCTGAAGAATCTGTAGCTAAAGCAACTGATCCTCAGTACAATAATAAAACAATTCATATGCCTGATACAGATGTAAAAGAAGTAGTTAACAAAGTAGAAGTAGTTAAGAACAGTAAACATAACCGGCTTTCACTAAATTTGAAATATCTTGATACCATTGGGCAATGCCGATCAGTTTCATCTGATAAAAGGAAGCTTCGATGCAGTAAAAGGCATCTAAGATCAAAAGGCACTTCTAACGGTATAACGATCAACTCAAAAAGTAAGTCTCAATCACATTTTAAAGCAAAGATAAAAAGAAGCTCTTCAAGACAGTTCACTCAGCAAAAACCACTCTCAAGACATGGGAAACACCGAGCAAAATCAAATTCTGTCCTGCAACAAGCCAGAAAAGTTACAACAGAAAGACAAAATGGACAAAATGTCAAGTCAAATGTAGCAAGATCAAAACCCTTAGCAGAAACAGAAGTGAGCAGGGAAAATATTATAATTACAATTGATTCAAGCAGCTCATTTGCCGGTGAGTATGTGAAAAGATAGGTTGTAAGTGTATTTGTGAACTAGTGCTTATTGCAACAAAGGACTCGATTTTGAAATATTTCTATTTAAAATCTAAATGTTTTATAAGACATCCTAAATTTAATCCCATTACGCTGTTAGTACCATTAAGTCCCCTCAAAAGATAATGACATCCTCTGCCTTTTAAATTATGTCCCAAAATCCACCAACTTTATAGTTTTTTATGTTTCTGTACCAGGTCAAAAGCTCCAAACTATTATATGTGCAGAGGTTTAAAACTATATTGTGTTATCTTAAGTTTATCTTGTGTGCTGCACGGATTATTGTACTGTTTCAATATTAAGCGTGCTTTGCACAGTTGCAGGTCTTGATTGATTATTATCTAATGTTTACTATTACCTACTATCATTATTCGAAACTTAGGATTATCAAAAAAATCTCGTACAGGAATCGTTAAATTTTTCAGATTGATTTTCTTTCGTAGGCAATACGCTAGAGACTGATTTGTCAAATGATGAATTAGATTTATGTGGTTTTCTGAACGACAAACAGGATGACAAGCTGGAAATTGTTTCTGTCAAAAAGGAACAAGTACATCATACCATCTCGAAAAATATCTTACGAGATATCCTACACAGAAAAAAGTCGGAAGACATCGAAGGTTTGCTAATACCAACCTTGAATGCTTATTTTTGCAAGACACTTAAGTTTTGTCAACCCTTAGTCATCAAATTACCCAACCATTGTATAATACAATACAAAGTTGAATTACCAGTCACTCTACTAATACCTTTACTTCCAGCAGATAAGCCTAAGAAACAAAATGATGCTTCACTTCTTCTACCACACTGGTGCCTTTATTTTGGGTGGTTCATGTGTTTCCTGACTACGTTTGTTGCTGGTTTCTTCACTCTGCTTTACGGACTCAGTTTTGGCCGTGTTGTCCAAGAGGAATGGCTTGTTTCTCTCTTCACGTCTATGTTTCAAGACATATTCATTTCCCAACCCACAAAGGTATAAAACGTTATGCATCCCAACAATGCATTCAATTCATTTAAACTATCAAAATAGTGATAGGTTTCATATTATCATTCTTCTCATTTCATTATTATGCAATTGTCCCTGTTTTAGCTTATCCATGCACCTGTATGATATGAAACAAAATTTTTAGTCCCTTCTTTTGCACTCAAGCTAAAATTACTGGCTAGTTTGCCCGACTGGTCATGCTATAATCTTATTATCACTTATTATCTGATCACTTACTTTCTTTCAAAGCAATAGTAGTCAATTGTCTCAATTGTGCACCAACATTTTCCTTATCAATGTCATCGTTTCTTGTCACTTGTCATCTTTTTAATAGGTCATTGTTCTTGGCTGCATCTTTGCATTCATTCTGAAGAAGCTTTCAGTAGACGAGCATCTTCCTGAAATCAAGTTGGCAAAAAACGAGAAGTGGATCAAAAACAATCTTCCTCTGCAAGACAAAAGGACAGTTGGTTCAAGAGTGAAAATACCTCTTCTAACAGATTCCTATGTACGCAAGGCCGAAGAGGACAAATTGAAGCAAGCTACGCTGTCAGAAATCACTGTAGAGATTGTCGTGTATTTCTTTTATATATTTCTTGCCTTGCTGATAGCATACGGACACAGGTCTCCGAACGCATATATCATGGGAAACAATATCCAGTCATTGTTCATAACAAAAAAGTTTGATCAGGTATGATCCGCATGGCTGTTAATCTAGATAGGGTTCCCAGATAGTCGTTTTTAAATCAATTTGGAATATCTCATGTATGCTGAATATAATCAATGTTTAGAGCAAATTTCCTACCATTTTATCAAACTATATTTTCCCGTGGTTATGTTTGTCAAAGGATAATTACATCTAGAAACAAACTTTGTGCCTGATTTCTTCTAACCAAATATTCTTCTAATTATCAATGCTAAGATGAAAACTGTTGATATACAATATATCATTACCTCTCAAATGTCAATCATAACAATTATATGTTTTACCCTAGCACATTTGATAGTAATTTGCATTGATTACAAAATCAAATTCAGGTGCAAAATATTCCATTTTCGCTCTTTCCATCTATGTTTTTTGCCACTTATAGATCAAGAATGTGAATGACTTTTGGATGTGGATGGATAAATATTTTTTGCCTTCGGTGTATGAAGAAAACTGGTACAATGGCGAAGCGACACGCCTACATGGATACCTTGCTGATCGCGTTACAATGTTAATTGGAAGGCCAAGGATTAGGCAAATGCGAGCGGTTCAAGGTAATTTGGAGGGTCTTTACGTCTGCTGCTTTCAAGTTCGCAGACGTATACAAACACTGTAGCAATATTGAAAAAATTTTAACCTTCTCTCTCGAGATTAAGAAGCTTAAATTAAAAGCTTTCATATCAATTGCATAGAAATTTCAGTAAAAGATATGAGCTTATTTTTCGCCGGAAAAGTAAAATTCATTTCAGCCTAATAATGAGGCCGTGCTTTGGTGTATTGGGTGAAATTGCTATGGGAAGTACTGAGATGCCCTTTCTAAATATTGCACAAAAAAGATATTATATTCGATTTTTAATTGAACCTCTAATATATATTTTAGGACCTTGTAAGATATCCGGTTTTATCAGCAACGGCGAAATAACAACATGTAGAGGCACTTTAAGTGATTCAAATGAAGATAAGGCTGATTACTTCAAAGGATGGAAGAAAAACGGGCCAGTACCAGACAGCCTTACTATTTCAAGTAACAACGAGAACCCATGGAGATACTCTCATTCAGATTTTCCTGGAAATTTTCTTATATCAAAGATAAGCTCATTTCAAACTGGAGGCTACTTGCGGACATTGGGGAAAACGTCAGCAGAAACTAACTCTACAATCTTGTATCTAAAAGAGAATCTCTGGCTAGATACAAAAACTCGAGCCTTGTTTGTCGAATTTACAACATACAATAACAATGATAATTTCTACTGTATTGTCTCACTTGCAATGGATTTCAGCCCTACAGGAGGAGTTACACCCTATCCTTCAGTTATAACGACAAAACTGGATCGCTATAATACCCAGTTTTCGTTTTTCCTTGCAGCCTGTGAGATCTCTTTCTTGCTACTAACGCTATACTACATGCGACAGGAATTCAAAGTTTTTCACAGGAAAGGATTTGCTTATATCCGAGAGTATAGCACGCTTGTAGAACTGCTTTCATTTTGTATCACATGGGCATCACTTGGACTTTTCATCATCCGCCATGGAGTCGTTAGCTGGACCAAAATGATATACAAAAAAAATCCTGCTGGTTTCACTGGCTTTCAACAGGCAGCCTATATCGATATAGCTTATGGCTATACGCTGGCGGCAGTTGTAGTCATTGCATTTCTAAAGGTCTTGAAGATTCTTCGCTTCAATAACAACATGTTACTTCTTTTAATGACATTGAAAAAAGCTAGCAGTGGTATCAAGAACTATTTTCTGTTCATTGGCATTGCATTTGCTGCTTTCACGCAGTGGGCCTATCTGAGCTTCGGACAACATCTTCCTGATTATGCTTCTTTCCTAGATTCGTTTATGACGATACTCAACCTACTTCTTGGAGCACCCCAACTGAATAAACTGATGGAAACTGATAGGATCTTTGGTCCTGTCTTTTTTATCTGGTTTGTATTTCTGATATCTTTTGTTCTGATGAACCTGTTTCTGGCCATGTTAATGGACGCATTTTCTGATGTGAGAAAAGAACTGAGCAACCAGCAAAACCAATTTGATATACTTGAATTTCTGCACTCGAAGTTTGCAGACGCTTTTCCCTTTTTAAAGAAGTTAATCAAAGTTGATTCTCAACTTAGTGGAATTGAGCAGTATTATGAAAATCGACTTCAGCAGAGGAAAGGTGATAATATAGCAGACAATTATATTGGATCCCTCGTGGCGAAGATTGATAACTTGGAACAAATCATTGAAAATTTTTGTTCGACTGAAAATGAGGAGCTGAAAGAATTCGCACTCTTGGCATTTGAAATAAGAATGAAGAAGAAATAAACTTCGCAATATAAAGTAATATACGATAACAACCCTTAGACGTTTTGATTTAAGAATCGTAATTTCAATGCAAGACAACAATTCATCTTAACCAATTACTTTCATAGTTTGGTTTGCAATTCAAGAAAAGGGTATTTCTTTATCAAACTGGTATCATTTCACAATTTATAAGGCAGATTTGAGCGTTTTATAAAAGTTTTAGACCCTAGATTACTTGCAAAATTCATAGAAATAAGCGTTACTGATCCTTGGCGTCCTACCAAGTATGAAGAGTATGATTTTTGTGAAAGGACATGGGCAAATTCTTTTCACATCACTACCCAGAGTTTTGGATTTAGGGTTCTGCTCAAACTTGGTTTCGTTTTTAAAACTTATTTTGCTTAAACAAATCTCAATTGCTTTTCAAATTCACATGCTGGTTGTTTTTACTTTGAAACCAGGGAACCTGGGCATGCTTTTGGCTATAAACTTAAGGAAATCTTTAATGGAAGTGACCTTGTTAAAAATCATAGCCGTGTGGAAATATGCACGTCTTGCTTTTGCAATATTTGACCCTGGCTGTTGTTAATGATGATGTTTAGTCAGTCAGGCTATTCTTATTCGCTGTTGTTAATGCGAGCTTTCAGTATATTTACACTCATTAATGTTTGAAGATGGCACGAAATAGCGGAAAAATAGCACACGGAAGCACTATTCATCGTACACACTTCAGAGTATAAACTTCAGACAGTAACCGATAGTTGGCAGAAATTTACATCCAGGTCCAGATCCAAGGTAACATGAGAGGAAGGAAGACGCAATTAATTGGTCTTGTTAATACTCATTAACGTTTTCAAACTTGACCTGCATCCATCTCTACTGTTATCATCAAGGATAAGGTTAATAAATACCATTCCAATTTGAAGTACCCATTGTATTGTTTGAACTTCATTGCATAACCACGCCAAGCCCAAAAAATATGATGTTTTCGCCAAAATTATACTTGTGCTATCTTATGATATTTATCAGCAAAAGTCGAGAGTCAATTCCTACTAAGGGTTGATAATATATTACATAATTAAAATGGTTTTCAATAATCTAGCAAACTTGATGCTTTTTCGGGTGAAATGGGCGTCTCTCCACAAGACAGAATTGATAAAACTGAATTTATTACTACGGATTGATAATGGGAATTCATCGGTCTCCCTTTTTGGGTCTCTGGGGGGCTTACTACTTTTTAGACGGTGCTCAATATTTTTCTATCCTGGTTGAAATATGACATATTAAGTTATAATTCTATCAAAAAGTTTACATCAGCGATGCGAGCGATGTTTAATGAATATCACTGTTTCTGCCGCGCAGTTTTATAGAAAATATAGAGATAGGATTTTTCAAAAATTATCTTTTCTTTTATGCACCTTTTTACTTTCAAACTCCCTCCTGGCCGATTAACCACCCCTCCCTCCCAAGAGAAACGGATTTGGCCATAGTGCCACTTTTTGACCACTGGCATAATGCAATCAAAATCTTTTGAGTGCGCGCTACGTAAAGCATCTAGACACTAAATACTTAAAAGGGCCTAGAAGTTTCGCTACAACAGCTGTAGAAAGGTGCGGCAAGCGTCCTCAAATCCATTTGCATCGAAGTACCTCCAGCAAACATTGCCAATTTTTTCATTAGAATTTATCTGCTAGTCATTCAACATGGCTCAAATGCTCGCTTTTGATGAATTTGGAAGGCCATTCCTCATTTTAAATGACCAGGAAAACCAGAAGCGTCTGACTGGCCTAGATGCAATAAAGGTAGGGCATTTTTTACACCGTACTTTGTGAATAATGCAATAGGCCTATGAGCTATTAAAAGAAAATAACTCGCGAATTATGCTATTTAACGCGAGATTTCTACTGTGCAAGAAGGTTAAAAAACTAATCGCTATCACCGACTAAAATACTGCTTGATTAAGGAAAATGTTAAGTTAAAGTACAGAGACATTTATAGACTTTTAGAGACCTGCATTTATTGACGTTGCAAATACATGGTTCAACATGCAACTTAACTTTTCATATACTCTCTGAAATGTCACAAGGAGCTCCTATTTCTATTTGACATGTTAAATAGGAAATAGATGAATGCCTACGTCGAAAAGAGTCTTTTCTCATCCATCTCTTAAAGGGGGATTATCTAGCATTTTGGGGGGTTGAAAAACGATAAGCACTTCTGTTTCCAGCGTAGTAACTATTCCTGGCTTAGGAATTTGAGAGATTTTTACAGACGAGACAATATTCATTTCTGTAAATGAATACATTTGTAACTATAAAGGTTATAAACATGTTGGTGCCCCCCCCCCCTTCCACCCACTCTCTAGAAATTTTGAAGGCTTTGCTCTTTTACTGTTGCATAATCTGCCTGTAAACATAAGGAACTGTGCTCCAGATTCAAAAGAGCTAAATAACAACCAACATGTACTGTTAAAGAACGATTTTAAGAACATTGTTTTCCATTGCCTTACACTGTGGGAATGCACAATCTCAATATGTCCAAAAATGTCTAGCATCAACCTTGCTCTCTAAGAAAGGCTCAAATGCATAGCAGCTAACAGTAATGGGCATAGGTATGATGCAAATTTGTTTATTTCGCTTTTGTGATGCAAAGTTATATAATAATATTTTGATATTTTACTCCTTTTTTATTCATAACTTCCACCCATCCCAATTAAGCCCCATCTGCTTTGGAAGATACCCATTTAAAGATAAAGGCTGTATTTTGAGCAGATTCTTGCTCAAAATGAAATGATTTCAACATTTTGTAGAAATCAACAAACTGGAGCGCTGGGTGGAAATGGTATTACTACTACTACTGAGTTAATTTTCCTTTTTTTTAATGCTCCTTGAGTAAATACTCCAGATTGGTTGTAAAGCCTTTAGGAGTTAACAATTGAAGATTGAAGATTCTAAATTGTACTTTTTTCTTCAGTCACACATCCTTGCTGCAAAAACTGTTTCACATATCCTTAAAAGCTCTCTTGGTCCAAAAGGTATGTTGTTATAAACATTAAATGTGTATGTATTATTGAATGCAAGTTTTTATTCCATTTTATTGTATATTTTTAATATTATCTATACTGTTATTGTTGTTGAGTTAAATTTTAACTTCAAGGAAAATGTTGATAAAATGGTGCAAGGTCCCCTAAAAAAAGTTCAAAGTTGCGTGTTCAAAGACCATGGCATCAGTAAGTTACTTTGTTGAGATGAACAAGGAAAGAATGATCCTATTGCCATCTTTGGATCCACTTTATTATATATTTATATATATCTGTTTATGCAATCAAATGATTGATGTTGAAGAATACTCTTACAGGCAATTTTATTTAGAGGCTAGAAGTAGGGCATCTTGTGTTCTCTAGGAGCTTTTTTTATGAATCACCTTCATTTTGCTTACAATGCCTGCCAAAAGTCTTGGAACACTGACATCAATTTCCAAGGTCAAAACCAATCATCCCCCTCTCCCCCACGGAACAATGTTGGTTTACTATCAAACAGGTTAGGATTTTAGGAAGCACTTTCTTTTGTGCTTCTTTTATGATATTTCTCTAAATCATCAACATTGTTTGAGGGGGAAGGGGGCGGAAGTAGCAATTTTTTTTCATGAAAGGAATGAAAGATATCAAATGCAGCGTAAATTGGTGGGTGTCCCAAGTACTTTTGGCAGGCATTGTAGATCAAGACCTGCATCTATGTAATATCTATATTTTTCTGATAACCAGAAGCAGCTAAAAAATAATTTAATTGCTTTTTTGCTTTTTACAATTGGAGAAAATTAAGTGTGCAAAATAAAGAAATCAATCATTTGACCCTCCAGTGCAGTTCAGGATTCTCATGTGGCCCCTGGTAAAAATCAATTGTCCAACCCTCGTTTTAGTGAATGTTTCTTGCATTTAAAAATTAGGAATGGACAAAATCCTTGTTAGTCCTGATGGTGAGATAACAATAACCAATGATGGAGCTACCATATTAGAGATGATGGATGTTGAGCACCAGATTGCAAAACTTATGGTACAACTATCAAAATCTCAAGATGACGAAATTGGTGATGGTACCACAGGAGTTGTTGGTAAGCATTTTCAGTCTATTAGGGAAACACATTGCTATAAAACAGGTAGTGAGGAGCCATTTACATAGTATATATACATGAAATGGTGGAAGAGGTTCCTTAAAAAGTGTATGTTAGCATACTGCTGGGAAGGGGGCTAATAGAGCTTGAGTATGTAAGGAATATTTTAGATAGTGTTTTCCAAAAAACGGTTTTTGATATCAATTAATTGCTTCAACCCTTGAATGTTGTTTGAATCTTCAAATATGAAGTTTGTTAGAATCTTTCTCTTTGTTTGTGATATTATTTTAATGATTTTTCACCTCAAAACCTCAGTACTTCGTAACTGCAAGTCTGAGTGCAATGTGTCCAGGGGCTGCATGTCTGAGTGCAATTTTTTTCCATTCTTAGTTTTAGCAGGAGCTTTGCTAGAGCATGCTGAGCAACTACTTGACAAGGGCATCCACCCGATCCGTGTAGCTGATGGATACGAGCATGCTGCAGAAATTGCTATCAAGGAATTAGAGAAGATTAGTGATTCATTTCCTTTTGATAAAGATAACAAGGAATTCCTGATAGAAACAGCTATGACAACTCTTGGTTCCAAAATGTAAGTTTTCTAATGTGATATATGTAATTAATTTTGATTACCTGACTGCCTGTTTTTTATGTGTATACAGCACATTAAGTCTCAGTTTGCAAGATGATGGAGTCAATTTGCTGGGGCTTTAGGCAAATGACCATCTGCACTATTTTGAAATCAACTCAATACTGTCAAAAGTTATAATATTTAAAGGGGCATGCAAACTATGGTTTATATGTCAGGCCATTCATTTTTGTGGGCTACCACTCTCACCAGTGCCCTGAAAAAGTCATTTGTGCAGGCTTCAAGATCTGGATAGCAAAATATACAGCAATATATAGTAATTTTTGATGAATGGATGGCTTCCCACCTGACAGGTCAAGTTGATAATTAGACAATATAAACTATAATTTCAGACATAAATAATGATATATGGATAAACAGCATAATTTATTCAGCATTGGCATTTATCTTTAACTCAAAGAATTTTGTTCATAAAATTTGGATAAACATAGAAGCACAAGTTTAGAAACACAAAGAATATAAAAATTGTGGTCAGTCCAACTCACTTAGACTGCCTCCATACTTTTCTGTATCAAATGAAAGAAGATAATATATATATAAATATATATAGCATTATATATATAAGATAATATATATAGCATTATGCGAAGCTCACTGCGCATGCGCTGTTTGAGCACTCTGGCAGGGTCCCACAATCAATCCGTTGAACTGCCTTGTTGCTCTGACAGCATAGCTCGGGTTGTGTCTCAGACAAGCTCTGTGCTGCACTGACGAGCCCACAAAGGGCGAAACAGTACTGTCTGCAGATTGAGTATATATATATATATATAGATATATATTTGAAAAGGAACACTGCATTTTGAAAACAATATTCATCATTTTGGTAGCTTTCAAATTTGAAAATATTATCAAGAAGAAGTGTTTTGGAAACTAATCAAAATAAAAACATCGCTGAAGGTGTCAGGGACATTGGGATCTTAGTCTTAACCCTTTCCTGGCCAAGAACCCCTTTAGCGGTTTGAGCATCGATGCCCTGTGCGAACACTGAACCGCTTTAGCAGTTTGAGTGACATATCTATTTGAAACCCTTTGATTAGAATAACAATGTTACCATAGCTACTTTTGTCTTATGTAAAAAAGAAAACAAAGGTTTAAACTTTTGATTGACAGAACTTTTGTCATGGGTCATTACTGATACTTCTACTGAAAACAATTAAAATGAGATCTTTTCTGAAATATTTGGGGAAACATCCGATGAAGAAGACGGAAAGTTTGTCAATTTTCGCTTTGAAATGCTCAAAGAGAAGTGGAATGTTTTAGGCCAACCGAGAGGACAACCTGGTCGTGGAAGTTTTGCCAAATGCTGGTCTGACAATCAAGCTACAATCTTATTAGAAATTCTTTAATTTTTCAACTGTTTAATAAAAGCAATCTTTGAGAGGATAGCACATTGCACATAAATGCAAATCGAACTTTCAAGACAGAACAGGCTGGTGTTAATGATGGTGATAGGCCTCAATGGACTGCGAACGTCAAGGAACTCAAGGTTTACTCTGGCATATAGGTTATAGCGATTATTATTCTAATTGTGCCTCTGCCAAAGACCGTATTACATGCATCAAACTTGGAACCTGAGAAGAACTTCATCAATATCTAGATTAAAAGGACAATGGCTGTTAAAATGATTATCATGGTTTCACATTTGAGATAAATAAAAATATTTGAAAATTGTTTGCCTCTATATATTGTATTTTTTTGGGTTTTAAAATTTTTATTGAAACATTATTTAAGGCCCTAACTTTGACTTTCGATTCTTCATTCAATTTTCTTTCAGAATATATATGGTTGTCCTAATAAAAAATTACCATAATTCTTCATGTAAAAACTTCATGTATAAAAATGAGCTTAAACTGTTTAAGTCTGAAAACAAACATTTTCCTTGGGAATGTGGATTTTTAAGGGCATTCGCGTCTGGGAATGTGGCTAGGAAAGGGTTAGATATTTGACTGGACCTCCTGGGCTTTCATTTTTGATTTTATGTAGCTGATAGGGCAGCCACTCTCATATACTTGAAGTTTGTCCCTTGCACAGATTTCTTTATGAAAAGACCTGGGAAAAAGTACAAGAAAATGTACTATGATTTAAGACAAAATGAATCAAGGGACAAATAATTAAGACAAAATGAATCAAAGGAGAAATAACTGATATTATTAAGTTCTAAGACTTAAATGATTTGATGATGATTGCTCTGAATTCTCTTCACCTAATGTTAAGCATTCCTTTTATACTACTAGAGTTAGCAGATGTCAACGTCAAATGGCAGAAATTGCTGTTGATGCAATTTTATCAGTAGCAGATATTGACAGAAAAGATGTTGATTTTGAATTAATCAAAGTGCAAACTAAAGAAGGAGGAGAGCTTGATGATACAATGCTTGTTAAGGGTGTTATTGTTGATAAGGACTTCAGCCATCCACAAATGCCAAAGGTAAATTGATCACTTTGTTATTGTCAGTTGCCAATATTTAGTGCACAGCTATATTCATTAACTCTAGGTTTCTGTGCAGACAAATTGGGTTTTCATCCTTACTGCTGCCTTCTAGAGTTACCATGCAGTAGTGTCATGATAAAATATGATTTGGAATCATTCATTCAAGGGCACTATGACTTGTCAGACCACAGTTCAGAGTAAATAATAGACTTTGTAGCTTGTTTAAAATGGAGACACTTTGAACATTAGCCAGCAAAATGCATAAGGACATAGTGCCTTTAATGTACATGAAGTTTGAGCCATCTTAATGTTAGCATTGAGAAAATTTCCTCTGCATTTTCCTGATGCAGCAGGAATTCCTGTTTCCTGAGATCCATCCAACATTGCATATTGATGCATCATTGAAATTGTCAAAATTTCTTGAGATGAACATGTTTTCCCTACAGGCTCGGATAAAACCATTCTTTTCAAAAGAGGAATATACGATTTTGTATGACAAATAAAAACTATTTTAGCAAGATATGATTGTTTTTCACATATACAAAAAATTTATAATGTATCACATAAGTCCATCCATTTTTTGCTCCAAAGCTTAAAATACATGGTAAATCAGGTGAATTATCTGATAAATGGAATTCTAAACAGATTGTATGTTTGACTTTCCAGTCCTTTTCGTTTAGCGCGTGCGATCGCACCCGCACACGCCTGCACACGCGCAAGTTAAATTGCGCGTGCTTTTGACCACACGCGCAAACAGGTGTTTTTGCAGTTTCCTGTTAAAGGGCCTCTCCAGCCAAATTTTGCACTTGCATTTTATTGGCAATTTTTATAAAGAAGTTGAGCCTGCTGATCACGAATTCGTTATTTGTTTTTCGATATTTTTTTACAGTTTGTGAGATATAAGCTCTTGCATTTCGATAATTTAATTGAATTAACCGACAAAAATTTTTGGTTTGGTGACACTGTGACGCAATTTTGACGTCACAGTGTATTTCGGATAGTCTCGCCTCAAACTGAATCGAACGACGGCGATTCGCAAATTGAACACTGCAAGTGATGGTACTTTCAGTTCTGTTCCGCCAGCTTTTAGTTTGAGCATTTCAGACACAAATTCTGAAGCCTTTAGTTGTTCATCGTTTCTGGAGAACAACTGAAGTGACAATTTCGATTAATTATACGCGAGGGAAGAGCTGGAACAGGAACTGGAGCTGGATGCAGTTATCAACGCGTGACCATGACTCCTTCACGCTTCGGTGGAAGATATACGAAATTCATGGCGAACGAGAGCCGCACATTGTGACGTCAGAATGTCACCAAACCGATTCGGCTTTTGTCGTTTTTTTCTCGGAAAGGTGCAACTTTAAAGCCTTGCAACTTCTAAACTAATTGGAATTTTTCAAAAACAATGACTTTGTCATAATACACGCACCAGATGCTAACTTTTAAGTCATTAAAAAAAATTTTTTTTTGCTGGAGAGGCCCTTTAACATCAATTTCCCATGGTCTCATGATTGTTTATCCTTTCCCTTGTTACTTGATTCGCACTTTTGACCACAATATGATTTTTCCAATTTTCGGAAGTGATGTTTGGCTTTTGACTGAGTGCTCCATTCAACTTAGCGTCTCGTCTTTCAGCTAAGTCGCCATTAGCATGTTAAATGTAATAACTATGCTAAGTGTCAAAACGTAATTAGGCCCTGAAAGCAAGTAGCTGTTGGAAACAATTTTTACTTGCTCTTGTAACTTTGGAGAGTTACGACGACTTTTAAAAGATGGCTGCTAAGGGCAACAAAATCTGTTATGTATTGATTAATTGAGTTTTGCTCTTGCACGTATTCGAGTGGCTTTTTCCTTTTACCAATTTTATCAGGTTTATACTTCAAATTTTCTTACAAGTGCGATCGCACGCGCAAATTTGTTTACATGTGCGATTTGCCACACACGCGTAATTTTGCTCACGAAAAGGACTGACTTTCCCAATTTAAGTTTTCCCTTTCATGATTGTTGGACTATTGGCATATTTCAAAAATTAAGTAGATGTTTGAGAGCATAGCATTTCTATATTTATATATATAAATATAGAAATGAGTGAGGAATCTTCGAAGCCAACATTGGAGATTTCACCGTAGCCAAGGTAGTTATAGATTTGGTTTAACAACATATCTTAAATAACATTAAAAAAACCATGTTCTTGTTTCATTTCATGTTCATTCAGCTGTTCATGTTTTCATGCTTCATGTTTTCATGCTATCTTATTTTTTAGGAAATCAAAGATGCAAAAATAGCAATATTGACTTGTCCGTTTGAGCCACCGAAACCGAAAACAAAGAACAGCCTTCAGATATCCTGTGTAGAAGATTACAGAAAGTTAAGGAAATATGAACAGGAGAAATTTCAAGAGATGATTAAGCAAGTAAAAGATAGTGGTGCCAATCTCGCTCTTTGTCAATGGGGTTTCGATGATGAAGCCAATCACCTTTTGTTGCAAAATGACCTCCCTGCTGTAAGATGGGTTGGAGGACCAGAAATCGAGGTAAAATGGTGCATACTTGATTGCAAAACATTATTCCTAACATCATTTTTGGAATTTGTCTGCATGTATGAATGTTTTTTCTTATAGTGGTTCAGATCGGGGATTACTGCAACCACTTTCGCATCATTTCTTTCTTGTTTGAATGCCATTAAGCGCTTTCTCTAGCTTCTCGGGTTATTGTACTTTTGATTGCTTGAAGTTTTATGACAGCCTCTAGACCCAACTTTTTCTTCTACTACGAATGTAACTGATGGCTTACTGAATATATTTTGTCTTCTAGTTAATTGCAATTGCGACTGGTGGAAGGATTGTTCCCCGTTTCTCAGAGTTAACCGCTGACAAGCTGGGTCATGCAGGTATTGTCAGAGAGCTGTCTTTTGGAACAACAAAAGACAAGATGCTGGTAATTGAGAAGTGCAAGAATACAAGAGCTGTTACAATTTTCATTAGAGGCGGAAATAGAATGGTAATTTCTCACATCTATGTGAAGTAGCCCTTCTTAGCAAAAAATACTGCATTTTGAGTTGTCATGTAAATACAGGTTAGCAATCGACGCCTGATAAAAAACGATTTTTGCAACGATTTTCTGCATTGGTATATATGTTGGCTCTGTTTATGCATAATTGAACCTGCCCTTCAATTGTCCCTTTGTATTCTGTCTTTGTCAGTTATTTAATGCTTGTTAGCTACTTCATCGGCCAGCTTGTCAGCTTTCTTCCATTGGTATACAGTGAATCGTTTCCTAAGCTTAGTTAATTTTTCTTTACTTTGTTTCAAAAGTTGGCGTTTATTGTAGAATTTTGCTGAACAAACTTCTTATTGCTCTATTCAAGCTTTTTACTTCTTTCTCAATATTCATCCAAAGCGCCATTTCGTTTTGACATCAATGTTTTGTGAATATTTTTTAAGAGTTTCTCCTAATCCTGTTGAGTGTCAACATAATTTTTATTGATTTTCTGACGCAGTATTAGCCAGAAAGATAAGCCAATTATAACATGTCATGGTTGCTTTGTTATTCCTTCATAATGCCGTGTCACAATTTTGAATCGTGTTTATTGATCGTCTAGATTCTGGAAGAGGCAAAGAGAAGTATTCACGACGCCCTTTGTGTCATTCGTAATCTGGTTCGAGATCAAAGAATTGTTTACGGTGGAGGTGCAGCGGAAATCGCTTGTTCATTAGCAGTCAGCACGGCAGCTGATAAGGCAAGTCTACTTTAATGTGTAAAACGTGGCGAATACATTTTGGTGAGCACCGTTCGTTGCAAGTATCCAGCTACAGTAAAAAGAGCTGTCTGGCAGCGGACTCAAGCGAAATATTTTTTATTTTTAGCCATAATTTCTGTTTTGTGTGTTTTCACCTAGATTATCTCATTTAGTATCCGTTTTAAGTCTGCCATGAATTGCTTATGGTTTCGCTTAGCAAGCTTAATGTTTCGTTCATTGTATGTTTCAATAATGCATATTTCAGGCATCTTTACTGTCCGAAATATAGGATGAAAGCTTTGAGCCGACTTTTGCTTTTCTAGATTTCTTCAGTAGAGCAGTACGCTATGCATGCATTTGCCGAAAGCCTCGAAACTGTTCCACTGGCTCTTTCTGAAAACTCAGGCCTTAGTCCAATAGAAACTATTTCGCAAGTGAAATCGAGGCAAATAACGGAAAACAATCCACGACTTGGAATCGATTGTCTGAACAAAGGAACAAACGGTAAATGGTGTTCTTTATCGTCATTGAATATTCTTAATTTTAGCATTTTGTATTTCATTTTTAACCTATGTACTGCTACCTATATGCTTGATGATGAAATGTGAATGATGTGTTATGTAACAAAGAGAGTTATTAAAACTTAATCAAATAAGTTTTGTACCGCAAAATTTGAAGATGGCACGAAGTAACGGAAATATAGCATACTTAAGTACGAAATTTAGCATACTTCAAAGTATAAATGTCGAATAATGACCGAAAGTAAGCTGAAAATCTATACATTGGTTTCGATTCAAACCTGGATATAGATTTTCTGACTACTTTCGGTCATTATCCGACGTTTATACTTTGAAGATTGTCGGACGAAAAGAACTTAAGTATGCTATATTTCCGCTATTTTGTGCAATCTAAAGGCTTATCCCCAGAATTCTATTTTTTTGTTCTTAAAGGCAGACTCGATATGAATGTGGTCCTAATGTAGGCCTTATAATCCATTAAATCTTTTGCATTTCTTCTCTTCTATCAGAATTTCTTTTTTTATTATTTCTACTCGTGTAGGGGGCGATATCTCTTCATGGTTTTTTTCTTTCTTTTTCGTGCATTGATATTTTCTTTGCCTCTTGTTTAACAGACATGAAAGAGCAACACGTCATTGAAACACTTCATGGCAAGAAGCAGCAGATCAGCTTAGCTACGCAGTTAGTTCGAATGATTCTGAAAATCGACGATGTTCGATCACACGTCAAGGAGGGCATGTAGGACCAAAACACTGTTGTCTCGTTATCATTAGCCTATAGACTGTTATCTCGGCATATGACCCATTGCCTTGTTTGATATCCTGCAGCAAGAGGACCAGATACCGGACTAACCAATTTCAGTCACATAATTTGGAAAAATGACCGGAGCTGAACTGGAATTATGACTTTTCTGGCGTTATCAATGTTTCTAGATGGTTTAGTTTATCAAGATTCTTATGTCAATCAAATCGTCATTAAATTATGAAGGAACTGTTTTCATGCTTTGTTCTTGTGCTTATTCTTGTTCTTATTCTTGTTTCGTAAATTTGAAACTTAATAAATAAAGGTTTGGAAGCAGTAAAACCAAAGCTACATATAATTCTTGTTTAATACCTTGCACTGGCCAATGAATGCCGTAAGTCTGGGTGTTTCGCTGTTCTGTTCTAAAAGAAAAACGACTCAAGAATAACGCTGATCTTGCAGTGCTTTTTGTTTAGGTTCTCCTGTTACCCAATGCATATTAATGGCTTAAAATCTAGCTTCTTAACTCAAATTGTTTGTTTAAAATCCAGTCAGTATGAATTACAAAGTCTCCCCATACTACCTGCAATTATTATGGGTCCTGCAAAATTTTACGTTATCTGACATATCATAAATCCGATTGTGCATCTTAACATTAATTATTTACTTTAGAAATCCCTTGACTACAAACAAATTTTTTTCTCAATTTAGTTTTGCATTTAATGCAGACAGTTTCGGGGTGTTTGAAGGATTGCAGAGTTTCTTGTTTACCAATTCCCTCTTCTAATCAGCTTGTGTCATGTTGTGATGTCATTTTTGAGTTGCCAAACCTCCTGCGCAGCTCATGGATTAATATTCAATCCCATTTCGCTAAAGGCAAACGTCGCTGCAAATAATTGGCCTTAAATTGACTCCCCTAAAGCTCTTGGGCTTCAACTTGCGTTGGAATGCGAAAGGGTACTGGGACCCTTCATTGACGTTAGCCAGTATATAGCTGTGAACGCAACGAATGCAAATGGAAAGAACATCCTAGAATACTCGTCAAGGACAATTGGCCACTCTTCTTTCAGATAAAACTGAGTCCACGCGTTGTTATTCCCCTTTGTGATGATCCCGGCTGTTTTGCCATCATCTTTGAACAGATCAACATCCCCTGTCAGCTTTATCTGTAGGTTAAAAATGGAAACATCTTCATAAACTTTGGAAGAAATGGAATGGACTTAACGATCCCTTTCTGCTGGTTACGGTGTTTTGCATAAAGATGTTTATTTATAGTTTAATAAAGTTACATTCCCTTAACCATTAAAGTTGTGAATTGAAATACTATAGACTTCGTACACTAAAAGGTTTAAATCAGGAATTTTCTAAGAATAATTAATGTAATTGATCAGAGCAAATTATTACTATTTGTGCTCTAGAGTGCTGAAATAGCAGTATTATGATCATCAGCTGTTTTAACAATAGTCACTGAAAGAAGAATTATAGGATCTTAAGTCTTAAGGTCAAGAACATATTTATATGCAACGTACTCTTTCCAGTTTTTTCCTCTCTTTGCGCTTGATAACGCGTCGCTTTTTGTGTTTAAGGAGAAGCACCAGGACGTATTCCACGAATGCACCAGAAACAAACAGAACGCATCCCCAAACATACATGTCAATCGATTTTATATAGCTGACCTGCAGGAGACATTGAGCAATTATTATTGATTGGAAAAATGGCCTAAATGGATCAGTTGTGTATAGACGCTTCACTTGTGCAGAGCACGTGTCTCAATGCATGTTGATTGCAGTTTAATGAAAATGACTGTTTTACCGGTCTTTCGCGTAATGCTTGATGCCGTTTAAGCAAATCTGTACCCGCTTTGATGTATAGAAGAACAGGACGGTTTTAAGTTTCAACTCAGAGTTCCACGCTTAATGCAATCATCAGGCAACTGTTTTTCTTAATCAAAATGAAGCAGCGGGTGCTTTTAACCGCGGCATTTAGTTTAATGTAAATATTTTCAAAGCAAACTACTCCGTAGAGCATCTTGATAAAACGTTGTTTAGACTTGAGTGGAAGTTCGTTTGTTTAGATAAAGGAAATAAATTAATCTGGCTGCGCACACGGCTTGTTATTGAATTGAATCTAGCTGCTATGGCTAACTTGTGTAGAACATTACGGTTTAATGATTCAGGCAACTGCCAGAGATCCTCGCGTCATTGCAGCCCAGAAATAAACAGCAAGCTTCATACCAAGTGCTGAAATGCTACCTTTTAAAAACCCAAATATAACATACGATAACGTGAAATTGAACAACGAATCAGTCGTGAGGAGTTCTGCTTTCCATTGTTTATATCAATTAAACCAGGAATAGGTACCCAATTTTCTGAAAAAGATTTTCAAATCATTTCCATCTCTACCTACTAAATCATGTTAGGATGAACATCTCATTTTTGAACTGCAACAGAAAGCTTTGTTTTTTCATGTAGCAAGTCACTTTTATCATGTTTATTTGTATAGTGACTTGCATGAAATTTTCTTTCATGAAAGGAAATACTATTATTTTGATGACATCAGAAGGTCAAAAAAATGTTGTCCTACCTTCGGCAATGTATTGTTCAATCCACCTTGTAAAGTTATTATTGTCAACACTGATACTGCGCATAAATTCGTTCTGGCAGGAAAGTGATCCGGGTGGATAAAGAAGGTTATCCACGATGCGATTACAATCACGGTGCAAGGGAAGTACATTGCCGAGATGAAAGCACTCGTCTTTCGTCTGAATGTTATTTGTGCTCGCAACTTTGACCATTCCCCTAAACAAGAGAACAAGAGAGAGTGACGTGATGATATGGATGTAGCTTAGCATTGCAAAGCTACGAAGAAAGGTTGACAATGTTAAGAAGTGGAGGAGATTTTGCCAATAGGCCAATGAAATTCTGGGAAAATAATGCAAATCTAAGAAGGAGCAACAGATGTTGCAAATTATAATAAAATGTATTTGCTTATGGCCATTGTTGGAAATATATCAACAACAGGTTACTGATGTGGATTTTAAGTTTAGTGGAATATTTTTGCTTTGACTTTACCGTGGTTTTCATTCAGCACTACTTCGGTTCGACTCATCGGATCGATTTCGTAATGCGACAAGCTTTTGTTTTTAAAGGTGTACACGTGTCGACTGCTGTTTTTCCAATGGTATCTTATTTCTCTGTTTTCGAAGGCATCTACAAGAGAAAAAGGAAACAAAATAACCTACATCAAGCACAACGAGCTAGTAACATTACCTTCTTTACATGTTTATAGCGGACATAAGTCTTTACAAGTGAAGCTTTCAGAAGCAATCTTTGTTGTATCAAAGCGTGAAAGTTTTAAGAAGCTTGGTAATTAGGTTAATATAGTTAGCAAATAAATTTAGTACCAGAATGAAAATATTGTTAAATAAGTGCTTTTAACAATCAAACTATTATATTTTCATTCTGGTACTAAATTTATTTGCTAACTATATTATCGTTATTCTGGATGAAGTACCACACGCAACGTACATATTTAATTGGTAATAAGGGGACGTTTGAAGAAACTTACAGCTTCCAATTGTTATATTACATGTTTGAACATCGGCAGGGAACATCTTGAGGTCCATTCCACAGGACAGCCTTAAAGACTCCCTTTAAAAAAAAGGCTACATACATGTTTGGAAAATGTGTTGCAAGAGTAAACGTACAAATAAACACTAGAGCCACCGAGGTCAATTGAAAATAATAACATCGGGTAAATGATAATAAGCGTAGTTTAGTAATAAAATTGGGTGTCAGTTATAAAGCTTAGGATGTCATTTAGCTTTATCTTGTATCATTAAAATTAGATGCCAAGTTCGGAGACTTTATTAGCGAAATGAAATTATTACCTTGAGCTATGATAGATACTTCCATTTGGATGAATTCTCAATAGTGACTTTTTTTCCTGATATTGCTTGTAATTTCCTCTGTCTGTGATAGTCGCCTCTTGGAAAAATGTGTCAGGAATCCAAATGTCCTTTATGAAATGGCTAGCATCTAAGTCCTTTTTATAGTCATGACGTAATCTCGGGTCTTCCCATTCTTGCATGAGAAATATTTCAAGTGTGAATGCCTAGAAGAAAAATGTAAGAATGTCATACTGTAAAAAAATACTTTGCTAAAACATCTTTGCCAATGAAAATAATCAATTTTTCTTTAATGATATTTTCTGTACAGCAAAAACAGTGAATTCAAAAGATGACAAAATGCGAAAGCGGACTTGGTGATTGTTGTAGTCCTACCAAACAGAATTACGATTGCCATTATGCATAATTTGGCTATCATTATCAACTAGAGCTCAAGAGCCACAGGGCCACAAATAAAATGAATGTTTGCATTGACCGAAAAAAACACTGCTTGTAAAAGCTGCTTCTGGTGTCAAAGTAGTAACTTACCATGTCTTCTATTTGTAAGTCCTCTATTGTTAGCACAGAAAACCCAACTGTAATATTCGTTAGATCATCTGCAATGTAAACCTTTCATTAGAAAAAGTAAAAACTTATCATGTCTATTGAAAAATAGTCATATATAACTGCCAAACTGGTTGACCCTGCCATCAGAACATACGGTAGACTAAGCTGATAGTGACAATTCAAAGCCAGCAGCCTATTTGAAGATCTAGGCCTTGTTCAGGATCATGAGTGTCAAGTAAGCAGTTCATCGCTTGTTCCTATTTACTTAATTTGGGGAGAATTTTTTTGGGAAGTATTGAATAAGCAACACTCCAGTAGGCCAGTCCAAGCAACGATCCTTCTAGTACGCTTGTATTATATTGGATAGATTTACTCTCAAGAAGGAGATTTACTGCTTCAAACATTGAATCTTACAGTAAATCAAAATGTAAAATTTGCAATGACGTACATGGAAAGTTAGGCCGGATGCGAAAATCATACTGGTCTGATTCCAGCAACCTTTTGACGTACTGCATTTCTATCTCATCGTCGCGCGGTTCACTTGAAGAAGAAACAGGTTATCTCAGCATATCGAACTCAAACAGTATTATTGTCATGACGCAATAACTTAGTTTAGACAATTTCAATTGACACAATCTTCAACAAAATCATCATCTGGCCTCCCTTTTGTTTAGTTTCACAAGTCTCTACTCATTATTCTGCTCGCTATGATACACTTCTTTCTTCAGAACTTTTGATCGAGGCTGCAACAATGTCGTAGCATCGTTCCAACTAAAGGTATTCTATTATTCAAAATTTTCGATAAAATTTCCATTTTGTGGCGCATTTTAACTTTTTAAATATAATCATTAGCTTTCAGAATTGATATATTCTGAAGAAATTCGTTTACTTTGCATGACGATTTCCAACCAATGATATTATCACATACCTTTCCTCTGTAGTGGCAACGTGAGATTTGAACAACAGAAGAAATATATTGAGAATGGCCGCATTCGTGTACTTTCCCATAATGTCCCTGAATCCCCCCTGAGAATCAAGAAAAATTTTTATCAGAAGTCTCGTCTTATTATCTAAAACATCAAACAAGCAAATATGTTTACATTAACAGGAAATGCCAATCGTTAAACGTCGCCTTCTCGTAAGATGAAACTCATTTCATGCATATTTAATACAAATAATTTGTTGAGAGAAATCTACCGCCATACATTATTCAAAATGTTGATAAAGTGAAAAGAAATTTCCCTTCTCAATCTTGTCAATCAAGCATGACTTTAGGGAATGACAGCATGGTGACTGTTATGCTAATACACGCCGAAATTCGTTAGCCTACACCTCTGGATGCTTCAATCTGTCTAAAAGTCTTGTACTGGTTTTATTTTACAAACCTAAGGCTTATCTTGAAATATCCCCTCTTTTACATAAAAATTGATATGCTTTCTATGATTTGGAATGAATTTTAATCAAAGAATTCGGAGGTTGAGTGCATTTCTATACATTTCATTCATTCGTGTGGGCCGTTACAAAAGAACTTTCAATGCTTTTGTTGATAGGACAAGTAAAGTTGGAAATCTTTCTCTACAAACAAAATATACTTGCTTCAATAAAGTACCATTCATTATTTAACATAATTTTTGTTGAGTTTCCTCACCTGCTCAAAAGCTCAGAAAACTACGATAAGTTTATCTGAAAATTCTGTCCTCAGTCACTCCCCTTGCAGCTTCAGTTTCTTTTTGGAATTGAAAAGCCTCCTGAAAAATACAGAGCAAAGCAACTGAATAAGTTGTAGTCGATGTCATTAATTAGTCTTTTGACATAAGCGTTTCTGAAGAAGACGAAGATCGATCAAGTTCATGACAGTATTGATTAAGAAATTGGATGACTGTCAAAAATATTCAGGGCAAAAATTGGATTCAAATAAGAAAAGTGTCATGTAGATGAATTCATATCAGCGATGCTTAGAAGTTCTTTGAATCAGTAGCCTGACGTCTTATAGCATTCGCGTGCCTTAAGCTAGAATCAATGTTAAAAACGCGTTTTTGCAGGCCACAAGTGTTTTATTTTGCCAATTACAGATCAAAATTGGCATTGTGTGAACTTTCTGAAATCTTATTTCTACGCAGAACAGCTCAAAATCTGAAATCGGCTGAAAGCAATTAGATGAAGTATTTTAATTTAATTTTTTTGAATAACATTGGAAGGCTCTCTATTGATTTCACGCAAACAAATCAAGCTAATTAGAAAAGCGACTTGAGGAAGACTAATCATCTAGTCTATGAATGATAATGATATTCATAATCTTTATTACATCAATTTCATAATATTCAAATCCAATTCACGTAAAAGTGATTGAGAAATGGCATTTTCTATATACTGGCTTTATACAATCGCAAATTATTTTCACTTAAGATTGACAAGATCTTTAACAAAATCAACGCATCTTTTGATTTTCGTGGAACTGTTGATCTGTAATGATAGGTAGATTCCTTATGCACAGGCTGATGTTTCTCACATTTTCATGACAGGTATCAAGATTATCGTAATCAGGCTGCTTGTAATGATGGCAATGGTATCTTTATTGTCACCATGGTAACAGCGATTATTATCATAATTGTTATAGAAATCAGTGTGACAAGATTGTGACAAAAGGTGAAGCGGTCACCTATGCCACCGCCCTACCAGCGATGTCATATTTCACATTGATATTTCTTAATATCTAGCAAGTAGATTTTGTAATAAGCAAGAAACTTGCAGAAATATGGCGAAGTTTTTAATAAAACTCTAAAAAGTATCCATTTTACGACAAAATTCAAATACGCTCATTGAATTATCAGTTGTCTGCTTTATTCAAATTGCATTATTCAAATAACCAGCTAACTTTTTTATTTGTTTTCGAAAAATATTCTTTCAGAGTTAACTTTCCTTAGCCAGCTATGAAATGTTGGTAAGAAATTTTAATAAATTCACACTCAAGACTTCATAAGGTAGAAGCCCTATAGCTGTGTAAAGCTGTGACTTATGTGGATATTAGAATCACTCATGTCACCCTAGGGTCATTCCTGAAGGCCAGTTTGCAATCACATCGTCAACATAGCAAAGACCATTCTCCCAATCACTATGTTTCATTAACATGGTGGTTTGTTAATAAACTAAAGAAAGCTTCAGACAGCGACAAAATCATAACCATTATTAACAAGACGTTACCTCTAATGAAGATGCATCGAACTTTCTTCTACTTCTTTGCTATGTCTCTCTGTTCCTGCTGTTTGAATAATTGGCAAGGATAAAGCACAGATTTCTGTAGATTTCATACGCAGCTTAGTGGAAACTAACTAACACAACAATTACCCTTATTTGAAAGCCACAAAACGTTGAAGCTCATCTATTTTTAATGCGTCCCTCAATCAACATGCCAGTAGCAATCTTCCTTGAAGTTTGAAAATTTTGACTACAGCATTAGCTGAACTCACTACGCGCCTTTATGCAGACTTCTACGAGGTGATATTTCTCTTCAATTTGTTTCTCTGTTCTGCAGGTGGACTAGCACAAATTGGTGATACGCTTTCAACGAGTATGGTGTTGCAGTATTTTAACCTGTATGTCTATAAGTTGCTGGGTAACCTGCAACCTGTAAAAACTTCATTTATCTTTGAATGATATTCAGTAAACTAGCTACAGGAAAATCCATTAGACAATGCTCAATGACTTATTATAAATATAGTGGTCACTCTCTTAACATCGTATCAAATTGCCAATTCAAAACGTTGCTTTGAAAGTTATGCAAATCAGGTACAACCGCTTGTTATGCTTTCATTGTCAATTCAAAATATCATTGCCATTTTTGTAAGATACATTTGGCACTCAACAGAATATAAACATTTAAGTTTTTGCATACACATTTTGTCAAATTATCATGAAAAAATTGAAATTTTCACGCACCAAAATCTTCCTCTTCATGTTTTGCACTCGTATAATGCATAGATAGTAATTTCATTCATTTCCAAAGGAACGCTGTCTCGTTGTTATTAAAAGTTAAAACTCTGACGCTCAGTACACCACCTAGTTGGTTAACTATTTTACTTAATGTTTATGTGTTTTCTGACCACCTGCCAATGTTTACTTTAAGGGATTTAATTATTTGTCGTGTAATTTTGTAGAAGAGAGTCGGAAAATCCAAGTGGTAAAAAATCGTTTTTTTCTAAGTGTGTAAAAGCAGCTAATTTGCGATTCTTTGTGAATGTAATACTTTTAGAAATTTCATATATTGGAATAATCCATGAGTTTAATTAAAGATGCGATTGTTGTTTTAAGACAGGGAACCCCTTACCAAAATGTCAAGATAGATCTTGACTTAATCTGAGTACCACAAAACCTGGCAAAGAGGATGTATTTAAGATCCTAGAATACAGATACCTTTAAAGAGGTTCAAAACATTGATCCACTTCTATCCCAGTCCCAGGGGACCTATCTAACCAGAGTGTTGCAACGTTGTATTAATATCTTGCTAGTAGGAAAAAGGGTTTCTAAATACTGCAAGAGACTTTCTAAGAAACAAGACAGATTCATTGATGCGCACTTGATAATTCAATTTATCTTTGGGCCGAAAACATCGTCATACCCTTGACATTTGGAATTCATTGACAGTGATCGATAGTATTTCAAATTGTGGAGGCGAAAAAAGGTTGCTCAAAGGCCATGTTCTGATGTTATTTTCTTTCACCCTTAATTAAATATGCCTTAAAGCTACAGATCTATAAGCATTGAGCTAACTCATAATGTTCTTTAATAAATTTATCGTTAAATGTTTTAAGCTGTGGAATTTAAAAAAATGAAACTGAACTGAACTGTATTGGACTGAATTCCATGGATATGTGCATTAGATTAACTCACAAATGCTGTCATCTCCAAAATTGTGCTTGCCTACCTCGGGTATAGGCCTTTTCCACCCTGGATACTAAAGCCTCAAGAAACTTGCGGTTTAGTATTACAGCAAAGATATTTGATTGCAGACCAATCACAAAACGTGTTATTTTATTGTATTTTAATTCAATTGTCGAAATTCAAGTACTTGTAACATAACATAATAAACTAAACAAGTAGCTTGTAACAAAAAAACATATCGTGGTCAACATTTTGTCATTAGATCAGCTAAGAAAAAGGTTTGGCAAGTTTTGTCTGGAGAGGCTCTTTAAAAATCCTGTTTTCAGCATTCTTAATTTTCTTTTCGCTTTTCTTCATTTTTGTCTCTGTCTTCGTCTGCCAATCAATGCTTAATCGATGCTGTTTACTGTTCGTAAATTTTCAACGAACCAAATTTCCCAAATCACATAAATTGGCATCGTAGGCATTGACAGGTGGCATCGTAGCACTTTAACAGTTTTTTATCTGTCCTTAAGCATTTCATATTTTTGTATAAGGCTACTTGAATTAATTTTCAAAACAATTTTAATATATATGTATTTACAAGCTACAAATAATATTATTGAGAAAAAAATGTTGGAGCTTTAGCGTTGTCAACAACAACAACCGTTGCTGTGGAAGAACGCTTTTGGCCTAGCCACAACAACCACAAGCTGCAAGAAATGCAGCACTTGATAAGCTTGAAAGTATCTTAGCTCTTCATAGTTTCTGTGCAAATTTTCGATTTTGTTTTGCGTAGATTTCGAAATATTGCGAATCGTTGAAGAATATGGCATCCCGCATTCGATACTGCACTGACTTTGAGAAGTCTGTGCTTGTGAACAATTTCGAAAAGCGGGGATGGATTCCATGCTCACCAGACGAAGACTGGAATTTTTACTGGTAATTTCTTGTTTATTTGACATTTCTATGTCATTTCACAGCTCTTCTCATTATAGCATTTCTTTCCATTACGGTCCAGTTCTTATCATAGTCGCTTATTATCGATATTTGTTGTTCCCGCTCATTTGTAATTGACGTTTGGTGTGGGGGCAGGGGCGTCGGAAGCATTTTGAGGCGACGGGGCAGCTACTCAAAAAGGGCATATTACTAATATTAAAATTATAACGAAAAATGATATAACATAATACTTTCGTAACGAGAAAACTTTTAATCTAAAAGGCCATTGGCATTTGCTGGAGGGGAGGAGGAGTACCTTAACATGATGAAAGGTAGGGGGCGTGCCATTTTTAGGGTCCCTTTTTCTGAAAAGTGCGGAACTATTGGTATCAGTTTTTGAAAAATGTGCAGAACTATGGGTACCATTTTCAAAAAATATTGCAAAATTATTAGGGAGGGAGATTGAGCATTAACAAAATGAATGTCCAGTTAGAAATGGAAGTATGAAATATGTGCAATATTGCGATTTTTAGCAAAGGACATGCAAAATTTGTTTGATGATTTTGTTGTACTTTAAAAATGTTATTTGCTTTGCGGGATTATGGGCATAGTTTGCATCATGTTTGCCGAATTATCGATCACATTTTTTTTCAGACATATGTGGAATTGTGGGTCCAAATTTTATAACCAAAATGGCACGTCTCCGTTCAAAATTAGGCTTAGTTAACCCCCTCTCCCACAACCCCGTGGGCTGTTGGCTGTCATGTTGTATAACACTGCATTGTGCTAAAGTACGTTCTGCAGTTCCAGATGATTGTGCAAATGTATTGTACAATTGCAATGACTTGTGAGCTATGGCAGGCATTCTTTATGGCATTCAGTTGAAGTCATGATTTTTTTATTGGTATGGCAACATCTTTCTTATAAATTCTGATGACTTTGCCAAAGTTCATCTCATTTTTAAAAGCTTTTAGATTACTTCAATTGAGGCTTCTACTAATTAACTTGGATAAGTTTTACGTATTGCATTAGTGTTTGACATTCTATACTACAGTCCGTTAATAGGGGCCCCATCTTAGTTTTTGCTTAGAACCCCAGATGCCTCTGTTACGCCACTCACTTTATTCTACTGTAATTTCCTACATTTGAGAGTGTTGCCGAAAGAAATAGCTTTATTGCACACAAACGCACCCAATGTTTTAATTGCTTTCATTTTGTTCCTAACGGCACTAATTTTTTATCTCATCCAAGAGCTTGACATTTGACATTTATTCCATTTGCATAAACACAGTGCCATTTCACAATGGCAAAGTGTTGCCCCCACTGCCTCTGTAGAGTCAAGGCAGGGGCAGCTGCCCCTGCGCTTCTGTTGTCCCTGTGTGGGGGCCATGAAAGTTTTCGAAACAATGGATTTCTGACAATTTCTGGACGTAGCAACAGAATTCAACACTTTCAAAAATGATGCAAGGGATATGAAATTTTTATAAAGTTATAAAAATTTGTGGAATTCTTCACCTGTTGTCTTGTAAAAACATCTTGGAATGAAGGTTCTATCAACAATTTTAAGGCACGGAATTTTTGCTAAAAATGGTCCGAACCCCTCCTCCTTGATTGCCCCCCTCCTCCCCTCCTCCTTGATTGCCCCCACTTCAAAAGCACTCGCGTTCTAAAAAACTTTCAGTTAAAATGCATCAATGGAATCCATGATGGCACCACTAGAAGATGTGAATTGAATAATAATGAGAACAAAAATAGTGACAAATGTTGCTAACTTTTCCCTAAGTGCTCTCTCTACCTTTCTTTTGCGGGCAATACATTTTTTTCCAAGGTGGTCAATAGCCTGTGTGAAACAAAAAAGCCTGTCTAAGCACTACTACACAGTCATGTCACACCCAAATCTCAAAATACAGAATCCTTTACCAGATGTGCAGGGTTATTTTGGAAAAAATATCTTTGTGTGCACTTGCCAGTCTGGGTTGATTGCAAAACTGAATCCCAAAATATATCAGGACTGTAATATCCATTTCTACAGTCAAACCAGTCAGGTGCTCAGAACTCAAATTTGCAAATTATGTTTGATTGCGACCTGAACTTGGGTATTCAGCAAGTGCAAACAGTCTTCATAAGATATTTCAATCACCACTTAATTACTGTTAATCTATTACCATATAGGGCAAGTGTGCAAACAGTGCGGCAGCTGTTCAATGTTGAAAGTGGATACAGAATGACAGATGATCAGTAAGTTTTACTTGCACCTTTATGCATCTACCTTTGGGCAAATTTTAATGCCTCTCATTGAATTTTGTTTTTCTGTAAATGTCAATATTGATGCAAAGATTTCCAACGCTATGAAGTTTCAGAGTTCTTGAGGTTTACCTTGATGAAAAGGGAAATGACCAATTACCCAGCAGCATATGTATAGTGCCGTCGGAATGAAATTCATATTGGGGGGGGGGCTGCCCATTGTTTTCCTTCTCATTCAATACACTGTTATAAAGGAAACATACTACAGTTTGACAATTATTGGGGGGGGGGGATCCTTTAAATGCTAAAAAGAGCATGCTAATCGACAAGATGATAGAAGATTAGCAAAATGGAGCACTTTAGCTAAAACTTGAATTCAGTAAGGGAAATGACACAAGACTGGACAGGATTTGGAAGAGTATACTGAGTGAGAATATGACACAATTAGTAACAGTACTCATACACCACTGTTTGTCACAGACACCGTTCAACACAGAAACCAGTGACACTGTTTGTCATTTCTCTACAAACTGAGCTATTTGGTCATGTTCTTCAAGCCAGGTCTCTCTCATACAAATTCAAAGCATTTTCATTCATCATTCTTTACACTTAAATTTGACTCATTTTTCCAAAGGATAACAAACCACTTCCCAAATCATTATGAGCTGACTAGAAAAGATCTTATGCTGAAGAATGTAAAAAGATACAGAAAAGAGCTTGAGAAAGAGGGCAGTCCATTTGCAGAAAAGGATGAAAATGGAAAATATGTCTACTTAGGTTGGTCTTCTTTTTGGCTATTAGACTGATGCTAAAGGATTTCTCATAGTTATTTCAGGCTTCCATTTCTTAATCAGATTGTATATGTATCATTCTATTTTGTTGACAAATGATGAAAAATAGAGTTGAATCCTGCTACGTTTCAAAGGAAGGAGTTGAGGATCCGACTTTGCAAATGCCAACTTATTTGCGGTAAAATTATTTTTTACTTGAACAAGGGAGGAAAATTCAATGAGAATTTAAAATGTTGAAATATTCTGGATAGGACTTAATGAGATTAGGAAAAAAATTCAATTCACAGTTTCTTTTTTTAATTTTTATAGATTTTGTACCAACCACATTTCTACTACCTGGTGATTATAATTTGTTTGTTGAAGAATTTCGTAAGAATCCTTCATCAACATGGATCATGAAGCCTGCAGGAAAATGTAAGTTTTCAGAATTTACCCAATGAGAGAAGCCTCTCATTGAATTCTGTACAAACAGTTTTCATAAGCAGGATCATTATCAAAAGGCTGTTCCTTGTTTACTGCTTGATTGAAGTTGCTACCCTTTACTGCTTGATTGAAGTGGCTACCCTTTTCAAATGATCTTTCATTGGATAACATCCCTCAGTAATTTGGCTCTAGTGTTCGAAAAACTGCTTCAAAATAACTGGAAGTAAAAGATTCAGCTGCCTTTTGGCATTAAAAAGTCGGACTAAACCCCCAGATGTCCCCCAGCATTACCTCCCTGCTAAAAATAATCTATGTGCTTTATTCATTGGTATGCTCTTTTGTATCCATAAGTGAATAAGGTGTTTGACTTTCTTTTTTTATATTTTTGTAGCTCAAGGTGTTGGGATTTTTCTAATTAATCGTCTTTCACAAATAAAGAAATGGTCAAGAGACGGTAAAGGAGGAACGTGAGTCTTTGTGGTGTTTTATAGCTTAAGTAACTTTATTATAGCAGTCCTTGCCACAGATTAGCTGTATCTCCCCAAATATTAGTTGGTTTTGGAACTCTTTGAAAGATTCTGTGAACAACTTTTTGGTGGTACAAAATTTGAAACTTAAGTTTTATACGCTTGGAAGTTTCAAACAAAAAAGCTTTACCTATGTTCTAAGACGTTTGCTTTTTTCAAAGGCATTTCAAAGATTCTGTCTAACGTCTGGTCAAGCAAAAAATTGTTTGACCTAATTAACATTCAAAATTGATGGCTCTTATTTTTATCTTTTGTTAAAGCTTTTCTGCTGAACCAACGCCCTCGCCGAATTTTTGGCGTTGGCTGTTGACCGCCGTTGCAGAATCATCTCTCATCTCTCAATCAAGTTCCTAATGAAAGCAGCGCTATTATTCTCCACTATTAAAGTTGTAGGTCATTGTATAAGATAGTTTGTTTATAAATTGGTGGTAATCAAACATTTAGAAAGCCAATGGTTAGGCAATTGTTTACCCTGGTTACCAGAGCCTCAGAGAGGAGAGGAAGGAAAAATGGGGAAGAGTGATTGTGAAGAGAGTTGGAAAGGAAGGTGAGTCGTGATGTGATACCCTTATACCACCCTCAGGCTCTGCAGGACTTCCCTTTACAAATATTGTTGGACGGTTGCCCTCGCAAGCACATCCACGCGGGCAGTTCGTCACCCTTATGAAATTTCTTAACAGAAAGACTTTGCCATCTTACATAATCATATTTTTTGTGGCAGGTTTCTGCATACAGCGTCACGTGACACATATGTCATCTCAAGATACATTGACAATCCTTTGCTCATTGGTGGGAAGAAGTTTGATCTTAGGCTCTACGTCTTGGTCACCTCATACCGGCCTTTGAAGTGTTATCTGTAAGCCTGTATTTTTCATTCATGAAAACATTAGGATAAAGTTGCTTTATCATTTTTGAATAATCAATTTCCAGTTTTTGAATGATTTTTAAGATAAATGATTGAATAATCATCTAATTCTAAATATTCGGGTTTTCCCCGCCAGAAAATTAGTTATTTTGAGGTAATCAAGATAGAATATTGGTTGCTTTAAGATAATTGACTTAACGCATTTCTCACCAAAGAAATAAAGGTTTTTGTATTGAATTTTGAGCAATACAAAAAGTAAGTAATTTATGGAAGGGTTTCGCAAAATGGATTTTTATTGCCATGACTTTTCTTGTCATTATTTCGGCACATTGCATGCTAAAATTTAAATGTTTTCATTAAATGAAGTTTATCTGGTTTGGGGTTTACGTTATCAATTTGCTCTCAATTCTTCATTTTTGAACAAAACATAAATACAATCCGTTGTGGTTAAAAGCCTTTTACAGTTCAATTTTTTACTAAGCTTTGCTATACTTTTCGTAATCTATACGCGTTGGGGTCGCCTGAAAGGGTAGGTTATAAAAAGGCTAAAAACATGAGCCATAATCTGGATTTGGGGTCCTATGGATCTTTAACTAATACCATGGTGCCTGAGTATATTCTATTGGGACTAAAGCACAGGTTTCATCTTATTTAAATAATATTTTTACAGGCTATTCAAGCACTGGGTCACAATGAGTACTTTATGTCTTCATAGTAATCTTCCAGTTTCTTTGGATTTCTTTGGATTGCAAAATGGATTTTTATTGTTATTTCGACACATTGCATGCTAAAAATTAAATGTTTTCATTAAATGAATCTTAATCTGGTTTGAGGTTTACGTTATCAATTTGCTCTCAATTCTTCATTTTTGAACAAAACATAAATACAATCCGTTAAGGTTAAAAGCCTTTTGCAGTTCAATTTTTATACTAAGCTTTGCTATACTTTTCGTAATCTATACGCCTTGGGGTCGCCTGAAAGGGTAGGTTATAAAATGGCTAAAAACATGAGCCATAATCTGGATTTGGGGTCCTATGGATCTTTAACTAATACCATGGTGCCTGAGTATATTCTATTGGGACTAAAGCACAGGTTTCATCTTATTTAAATAATATTTTTACAGGCTATTCAAGCACTGGGTCACAATGAGTACTTTATGTCTTCATAGTAATCTTCCAGTTTCTTTGGATTTCTTTGGATTGCAAAATGGATTTTTATTGTTATTTCGACACATTGCATGCTAAAAATTAAATGTTTTCATTAAATGAATCTTAATCTGGTTTGAGGTTTACGTTATCAATTTGCTCTCAATTCTTCATTTTTGAACAAAACATAAATACAATCCGTTAAGGTTAAAAGCCTTTTGCAGTTCAATTTTTATACTAAGCTTTGCTATACTTTTCGTAATCTATACGCCTTGGGGTCGCCTGAAAGGGTAGGTTATAAAATGGCTAAAAACATGAGCCATAATCTGGATTTGGGGTCCTATGGATCTTTAACTAATACCATGGTGCCTGAGTATATTCTATTGGGACTAAAGCACAGGTTTCATCTTATTTAAATAATATTTTTACAGTCTATTCGAACACTTGGACACAATGAGTACTTTATGTCTTCATAGTAATCTTCCAGTTTCTTTTTAGAATGTGTTTAATGATTTGGCATTTACTACATCTCTTGGAAAATGCATTCATCCAAGCATAGTCCTGACACTATAGGCATCCTTTCTTATATTTGTAGGATATCTTAATGTAAAGGTCTTTACTTTGTGTTCCCTTTGCTTTTCAATATGTATCCAATGTCAACGCAGACTTCATATCACAACAAAAATTTGTATTATGAAAGTATATTCCCATGTTTTCTCTCTTTTGTAGGTATAAACTTGGATTTTGTCGATTTTGCACTGTAAAGTACAATGCAGATGTCAACGAATTGGACAACATGTTTGTGCACTTAACAAATGTTTCAATTCAGAAACACGGTGTATGTAGGCATTAATAAATGTTTAAATTCAGAAACATGGTGTATGTAGGTATAAGCAAATGTTTTAATTCAGAAACGCTCCCTGCGTAGTTTAGTAACACGGTGTACAATAGGCATCAGCCATCTCTTTGCACCTTTGGAATAAGGCAATTATGGATCCCAACCCTTTGCCTATGGACTAAATGCTTTATATGATGGCAAATGCATATATCAGAACTTTTGTATAAAAAATTGTTTCGAGCGAGACGGTAGCAGAAAGATTCTTTATTGCAAACAATATTGTAGAATGTATTCTCCAGGCTGTAAGACATAGTATTTTTTAAAAATATTTGGCAATTTTTTTCCACTTTAAGTTTTCAGTCATTGTTATTAATGATATAAGCCTTACGACTCCGCAACGAGAAAGCATTCTCCAGAATACGACACTAGGACGTCGTACAATTGGATGTGTTCATCTGTAACATTAGTTGATAAGGTATGATTTCGAAACATGGTTTTTTATAGGATAACTCCTTTTAAAAAGGATGAAATTGATTTTATTTAGAAACATATTTTTTTATAATTTGAAGTATGTATTGTTGGAATTTATCACAAGTTTGCAAAAGTTTTGTTATCTTTTTCTGAAGGATGAGTATAACTCAAGTCATGGCGGTAAGTGGACGGTGCATAACTTGCGAGTCTATCTTGAAGGAACCAGGGGCAAGGAGGTATTTTTAATTATCTTTTACTCAACGTGAATTCTTGCTATAAAAAGCACACTGCATAATTGCGAAAATTCTGCATCGCTTTTTTGATGTTTTGATGTAAAACAATGAGATGCATTCTACTTCAACAGCTTCCCATTTAAAAATACATTCTCGTTCATTTTGAAAACTTGGTATATCAGGTGAAAGCAGCATTGGAGGCTATAGCGATTCAATGTTGATAGCTGAATTTTGGACTTGAGGGTGAAGTCAAAAAAGCGTTTTGGGAAGTGATTTAGCCCACTTTTAAGTGTCAAAGAATCTCGAGAAGATTTTAGTCTTGTGATTTTAGTTACACCGGTTTATTTTGACGCGCTTGGTATAGACTTGCTTTTTGATTAACACCAACTTCAACTTATGTTTCTACATTCAAAATATGAAATGTTAAGGTTTTGAACAATATTTTTGATGCAGGAATTTTGTTCTTCATCTTTTGCTCTTTGAAACGTAGGTTACCGAAAAACTGTTTGATGAAATGGACTGGCTAATCGTGAATTCACTGAAAGCTGTCCAGGTATTTGTCTTTTTCTAATAGGCCTCATGATTTTTCTTGACAACTTTTGACAATAAATCTATTCTGTTGTCATTGATTGCGATGGTTGTAGCAGTTAAAAGACAAAACGTAGATTTGGTCTGTTTTCAGGAGACATTCACCAGCGTAGGTCCTTCAATCAGGTGTGAAAATTTCAAAGTAACACTCAGTTTTTTCGAAAATCTGAGGCTGGATTGTTCTTAGCAGTGCTATTGCTAGCTATTTCGCTCCAGGGAGGTGTCCAGACCCCATTTGCGAACAAAGTGACTGAGAAAAACTTCATTTGCCTATTTGTTTTTAAAATTCACCGAAAAGGCACCTACACATGGCAAAAAATCCTCGTTATTGAGATGAAGCGTTGCTTAACATTACATTAAGTAGCTCAGCTAGAAGGGTTAGCTAGGTAGCTAACCCTTCTCTAATCAAAAGAGTAGCTTTTAAATCATTTTTAATTGTACGAAACATTTTTTAATAAATCAATTTTTTTTAAGATCTTGTAATTCCAAATATGAAACAGTACCTCGAAGAGTTTTGAATTTTCCTAGACCTTTCCAACACTGTTTCGGTACCTTCGTTTCAAAATGATTTTTTCTCGGTCTATCTCTATTGGCATCGCTTCTTAATTTTGCTGTCTCAAGAAATCAGCTTCATTTTCTGTTTTAGAATGTTATGACAAGCGATCGTCATTGCTTTGAAAACTATGGGTAAGTTTTGAATTTTTTGTGCAACGTTAAGCCTTTTATTATGAAAAGTTTTTTGAGATTATGAAATGAAAACTTTTTTAATTTACGATTGATTACAAGAAACACAACACTTAGTTTTGTAAAAGGGTAGAAATTACACTAGAAAAGTCCTGCAGAGTTTTAAGTAATGACTTTATTTAATGAATGTTTGACCTTGGATCACATAACCTGAAAGAGTTATGAAATACCTGTAACTGTGCAAAATCACTTAAATTTGTTATTGGCTGAAATATGGGCAGATAGACACAGACTCTTTCCCCCAACAAATTGCAGTTATTTGGTCTAACCTTTATAAATCAAGCCATAATAAAGAAATCCATCAGCAAACTTTAAATCTTTTATTGGCCAAATTTTAAAAATTATTTTACTAATTTTGCATGATTGGGGTATTCTTTAAGGTTAAGGTAATCGAAAGTAAAAAATTCTGAAAAATATTTTTAACGTTGCACTTACAAAATTTATCCAACCAACAACTTTCAAATTAGCTAAACGGCTTTAAATATTTAGGACAGACAAGGACCAGCACTTTTCTTGAATCGATAATATAGTGGTATTTTGTCGTTCAAGAGGCCACTTCTTGGTGGCTGGTGAGCAAAGCGGCTTGAGGCCTCAGCAAAACGCCCTTCGTCTGGGTCATTGCTTGGCACAGTTACAAGTTTGACATCAAGTAGAGTTCTTTGAATTATATATCTTGGCTATTTCCTGGGAGGGCACAATGCGGATCTATTGCGATCCACCACTTTAAGCAGGTCGTGTTTTTCGAATCTCTAAATAAAATTAACAAGCATTTTCGTATAGTACTAAAATATAAATCGATTTGCTTTAAGCTCTCTTGTTATCCCATTCATATTGGGTATCATTCGATAGAAGGAATGAAAGTTTTTTTATTTTGGTGATCTCAGGCAGCCCAACCCCTTTTAATGAAACAAAATTCTGATTAATCTTCCAATACAATTCGAATCATGAAGATCTAGTGAAATTCATTTTTGAATTTGTTTGTTTAATCAAGTTATTGGGACCCAAAAATTCCCAAAAAGCCAAAATGAATTCAAAATGCATTCAATTTGTTATAAACGTTATAGCTTTTTTATTTCATGAGAAACTTGGATTAGCCCTAAGTACTAAAAGTTTCTTAATTTGACACCCAAATTTGCCTTATTGTTTTGAAGTTGAGCATTTTTGGAAGAATATAAACGCAGATCGGCACCGAAAAAGACCACGCGGATCAAGACCCTAAGTATGCTATCTTTTCTAGAAAAAAATCAACAAAATAAGAACCTTTGGAGTACTTTTTTTAAAAAATTTTAAATTTTACAGCCTCTTAATTTTTCTTAAGCTCAGTACTAAAGTTTCTTAAATTCTGAGCATCTTTGTACTCTTTTGACTGAGTTTGAATGAGACTTAGGTTTGTGGAAACTTCCAATGGTTCGAGTCATCTTGGATTAATTTCTAAAAAGATGATAGGGTGAAAGAAAAGGTCGTGAAAATTTAAATACTTTGTTAAGAAAGGAAAATTTATGCCTGTTATTAAATTTTTTCCTAAATTTTATAGACTACAGAAGAGAAAGAAATTCTTGCGTTTTCAGATTTGCCCTGCCGGTCATCCCGGCTATCTCCCAGTCGGTCATCTTTGATATACTAATTTACGATACTCATTTACCCGTATACCCACAGATTTAGTTAATTATCTAAGTCTTGTAAGACATTCGTATATGATTAGTTCAACTTACCGTTCGTGCTTCTTATTAGCAAAATAGCCAACCAAATTATCATAATGGCAGAAAATCATTGTGGGCTCCAATGCAGCAAGCCGAAGGTGAATAGTAGCGACATTTTCAGACAATATATTTGTGAAACATGCACTTTATCCTGGCACTTTTCAAGCACTTTTCATTTCAAGTATCAGTTTTCATTTCAAGCATGTTTTTATGTAAAATTCAATGAAAGAGTAAACTGATAAGATGCGGCAAACAAGCAGCCAGTCAATGGAGAGGAATCTTCTGTTTGAAAATAAAAGGAGGTTATCCAGAAATCGCATTTCTTTTAAGCAGTTAATTCTAAAGAACCGGCGGATTCCGAATGACGACGTATATTAGGAAACAGCACGAAGCTTAAAGTTAAAGCTGTGGAAAGTAAGACATTTTGAAATCTAACAGTAAACATTTTTAGCCTAGAACAAACCCTTTTCAAAAGCACGTTTGTGGGGATAGACCACAGTGGGCTTATTGAGATTTCTTTGTACATCATCGCTTTCAGTAAGAAGTAACAGAACTGTACCCTAACGATCGATAAGATAGGATAGGATAGGATAGGATAGGATAGGATAGGATAGGATAGGATAGGATAGGATAGGATAGGATAGGATAGGATAGGATAGGATAGGATGGATAGGATAGGATGGATAGGATAGGATAGGATAGGATAGGATAGGATAGGATAGGATAGGATAGGATAGGATAGGATAGGATAGGATAGGATAGGATAGGATAGGATAGGATAGGAAAGGAAAGGATAGGATAGGATAGGATAGGATAGGATAGGATAGGATAGGATAGGATAGGATAGGATAGGATAGGATGGATAGGATAGGATAGGATAGGATAGGATAGGATAGGATAGGATAGGATAGGATAGGATAGGATAGGATAGGATAGGATAGGATAGGATAGGATAGGATAGGATAGGATAGGATAGGATAGGATAGGATAGTATAGGATAGGATAGGATAGGATAGGATAGGATAGGATAGGATAGGATAGGATAGGATAGGATAGGATAGTATAGGATAGGATAGGATAGGATAGGATAGGATAGGAACTGAAAGGAACCAGCGTTTGGGAAAATTCTGAGCAAAAGAGTTCATTGGAGTCAAGATTCCTCTTTTCTTTAGAAGGGCACTAGTCAAAACCCCTACCCCCTTCCTCTACAAATAACAGTGAACAGTCCAGTCCAGCGCTGGAGCAGATGTATGTTTATTGATGGTTGAGGAAGGCAAAATTCATTGCAAGCGAAGAAAAATCAGACAATGCATTAAAAATCGCAAAGAGGAAGGATGGCCAAACAAGCTGACATTTGAGGCAGCATCCTAAAAACGCATGTTTGCTCAGGGCCAGCGAGCCCCCTCCCCCCACTTTTCTGCAGAGCTAAAGAGAATTATTAAGCAAAAGTGGAAATAAATGTAGTATATGATTCTGTAAGCAACTTTGCCCAGTGTTCTCTTAAATGTGTCCTTAGCTTTACCTCGGTTGCTATGTCTTTACCATAGAAGACATATATAAAATTGAATTTGGGAATTAGATCGAACAAATCGGTAATTGTCTAAGTTTTGCAACGAGTAACATCTTGGCTTAGCAAATGGATCGAGAAACCTAGTCCAGAATAACATGGTGCCAGCACAAATTGAAGGAGTTTCGTTTTTTCCATTGCCTAAACTTGGCACACAAGGTCTATTTGTTAGCGAAAACTTTCTCAGAAACATTATAAAAAGAGAGAAACCAGCTGTTGAAGGAAAAGAAACAGCTGGAAAGAACTTTTTTGTGGATATGAGAAATAAAGTATGGGCAGATTTGTTTTTAAAAAAGTACCATCAAGAAAACTTCAGAGTTTGGATAATCCATTCCTACTAAGAAAGAAAAAGTATCGACGCAATTATAAATTCTATTTAAACTCATTTTGACAACCCCAGTTTGAAGGTTTTTCAAATTTTTGTTAAAGCACTTAATTTCTGAAAAAGTTAAGATCAGATGTTACAAAGTTATATCTTAAATGTACAAAACTGCTTAACTTTTTATTTTAATTTATAGTTCCTCTGTTGATATTTCAACGTTAATGTTTTTTATTAATCCGTGTTTCATTTATTTTCTCCCCCATTCTATTTCGAGTACTTTTAAAATCTAAAAAGAAGGTTTTATTACGAACTTTATGATAGTGGTTATTCTAAAACTTTGCAGAACTTTTCTATTCCAAGTCAACATCACAATAGACGCGACTATGCGACACCTTCAGACAAAATTCATTTTAGATACAGTTTCTGGCCATCCCTAAGACGCCACAACTTTAAAATTCCAAAAGATCTTTCCTAAGCCGTTTCAAGACTTTAATATTTTGGCCCCTCCACTTTCAAATACGTTTCGCAGGCCCTGTTGCTGAAATGTTGGTTGGAATGTTGGCGCTTTTTCCTGGGCTCAAGGCAATTTTATCCATCCCGCGCATTGAGCCGTGAAAGTCACAAAGTACAAAAACGTCAAGCCCTCGAATGCATTTCTTGCATGTACTTTCGTCATTCCATTCATGCACGTACTCATAGTCATCGTGTACTTCTAGAAAATTCAAAAACATGCGATGGTTAAAATTCTCATGCAGTTCTTTTTGGAAAACTACAGTAGAAAATAAATCTTTAATAAAAGTCGTCTAGGGAACAGCTGCTTCACTGTTGACACAGAACTGTAAGTGATACCCCCAAATGAGTTCCTTTATGAAATCGAATGAGCTGCATTTGGGGCATCATTGTGAGGCAATCTGTAGAACTGGAATTGCCATGAAATTAATTTTATAGAGATCTTGGTTTCGGGTTGATATCGTCGATTTTGCATCTCACTATATACTGACCTTTTTCAAAAAAGAATCTCAGATTTGCTTAAATGTTTCTAATTCAAAATTTAATAATGTTTCTCAAAACATGAGCGGAATCGATTCCAGTGCAATTTTCACCAATATTTAGTTCTTTATGCTAATTTTCAGTGATGTTTTGACGGATTGTTCTTAAATAGACTGGGTCCGAGTACCCCAGTCTAAAAATAGCATTCAGGGGCAAATTTGAGTTGTAATCTGACCCTTATCGTTTTCAGTGCACCAAATTAATTATCTTTGAAAAAATTCAGTTCTTTATCTTTATTTGCAGTGAAATTATGATAAATGCTTTTTAAATGGATTGGGTCTGAGTACCCCAGTCTAAAAATAGCATTCAGGGGCAAATTTGAGATGGGTTCTGACCCTTATCTTTTTCAGCGCAACAAACTGGGTAGGTGTGGGAAATGTCATGCTGATATCACGATTTGTATGATTGAGCCTATTATTGACTTTAGAGCCTCCACTATTCGGGCTTTTTCTATAGACTTTGTCTTCATATAGACAGCCCAGGACAAACGCAGCAGAAACAGATTTACAATGAGCCTCGGTGATTATCCACGATATCGTTCACTCTAAATTCAACTACATTTTGCATTCTTTTTCAATTTAACTATTCTTAAAACACAAAACTAATCTTTTTCTACATAAATAGTTTATTGCTCTTATACAAGAGTAGTGAAATGGTGTAGGTTTGGACAACAATGAATACATTCCTATAATTGCTTTCTGGGGCAAAAATATTTGCTTTCTATAATGGATAAGTTTATGTGGACAGGGGATATAAGATAATTAATTTTGCTCTGATAAATGTGACTACTAGCAGCAAATCTACCTATACTTATAGATTACGTCATCAGATCACAAGACCCTGGGTCATTACGTCGTATAATTTTACTCGCATGTTTTAGCTGTCAGGTTGAATTTGGTTTGCAATTAATTGTCAAATGACTTCCCGATGTCCAAAACAGAGCATCTGGTGCTGCCTCCAGAAAGCAAAAACTGGTCATATGGTGTTTCGATCGGAGTATAGCCAAAGTCCTTGAGCTGCTTAGTTAGAGATTTTGAAAATTTGTTCCCTACAATTATGTGTTTTCCTTCATGTTCGTAATTCACTGAGTTGCATGCAAAATTGAAGGCATCTTCTTCGGATAACGGGATACATTTGTTGCCACCAACCTGCCGAATGCGGCTGTTTCCTTCGTCGTCGAAAGCTCCTGGAAAGTACATCAAATGGCCTAGCGAAAGGCTTGCCAGACACGTGTCGATATGGTAGAAAAACTTGTTCACCAGCCTCATCGGTGAGAGGGTGTCATCAGACAACTCCAATACATTCTTCAGGTAAGGGTGTGCAGCGGCATCACTTCTAAAGCCATGTGCAACAAAATAATGTGACTTATCGTATGTTGACATGAAATCACCACATCCCTCGATATGTACGCCTTCTTCGCTAGGGTCAATCACATCAAAGTCTCGTTCTGCGAAAAACTTTTTGTAGAACTGCGATTCTCCAACTCTTGGCTCAGCCCCAAAGTTTGCAATTACTGCTTTGTTTTTGTAAATAATTGCAGCATTGGCGCTGAAAACCATGTCAACTAAATCAGGTTGTTCTTCGATGAGTTCAATTTTGACACCCTTGTCTTTCAGAGTGTTGTAGAGATTGTTCCATTGTTTTACAGCAAGACTGTGAGAAACCGGCTTCTCCATCCGCATATGAGCATTCAAAAGAAAATGCTTCACCTGGAAGTATCTCGGATAACACATCATTAAATGTTTCCATGGTCCTGCCATATTTATCCCACAGAAAGTTTAGATCTACTCAAATGTTTATGTCGTGAACCTGTGTAAGACCACGTTGCTGCCTATCCTTGATTTGCTTGTTGTGATTCTTGCGCAACATGTCAATAGATGCATCAATAAATAAGACGAAACAATCAAACACACGTGATCATAATTAAAACACAACAACGGACTTTTCTCTGTTTTCGCCCTCGGTTGCAAGCCGATGCCGACGAGGGTGGGAGGGTGCCGCAGCCGCAGCCGATTCTTTGACTTCAATTCAAACTACACTCTTTTCTACTCCTGATATCATTAATTTCACTTTCTCAATCGTGATATCATTAATTACAGCATTTAGGGTGCCATGTTTTATTTTAAACCCTAGGAAATTTTCCAGCAGAAATGTCTAGTGGTGGGTAGCAAATGTTAAAAAAATAGTGCTACTAGAAGTATCACGCAAAACAGTTATTTTGGCCGTCTAAGAATAAAACAATGTTGAAATGAGAACCACATTAAGAACTTTTGATCAGATATTGTTATGTTTGTAGATTTTTGACAGTGTAGTGACAAAAAGAAACGTCAAATGTAAAGCTTTTTATGATATTGTAAATAGCAATTTCAGTTCTGATTGCATATGAATGTTGGAATTTGGGGGCTAGGGGGCTGGAATTGTCAAACTACCAAATCACCTTAATATAGTTTACTGAAAAGGAAGCAATAAAATGGACATCCTCCTATTGTCTTTCCCAGGTATATTT